TATTTTTTTAAAATTTACTCAGAAAAATTATTTCTTTCTATATTTGCCATTCCGAACTTCGAAAAGATGTTTTATACCAGCATAGAATTTTTCTCTAGAGCTTGGTCTTATATCGTTTTCATAACAATATTTTCTATATTCTTCATATAAAGCCTTTTTTTCATACATTTCATAAGGACAGCCTAACCAAAAAAGCGCATATCCATTTTCGTTATCTAGGTCTCTATATGTTTCTTCTGTTTGTAGAATTTCGCTTTCTCTATTTAGTTCTATGTCTATATATTGTGGCTTAAAAAGATGTGGGCAAGAAGGGTTTGGCGCTATGTAAAAAGTTAATTTTTCTGCCATCTTTTCTATCGGATAAAAAAATATTTTTTTAAAATTTACTCAGAAAAATTTTTCTTTGTATATACGCCGTTCTGTATGTCTAAAAGACTTTTGACATTTGCCAAGAATGTTCGTTTAGACGCTGTCATATAACCATACTCTTGACAATACTGTTTATATTCATCGTACAATGACCTTTCATCTAATGACACAAAGTTAGTCTCATCTATAAACAGTTCATATACACTCTTGTTTGCTTCTAACAATGTTTGTCTCTCTTCGGTATATGGAATTTGTCTTGGATTGAACTTAGAAATATCTAATGTCATGAAATATGAGAACAAGTGGTTGTAAAAGTTAGGTGTCAAGTTTCTGCTAAGTCGTCAAAATATTCTGTATCTTGCATATGAGCTTCTGACGTTCTGACAACTACATATCTTCTGTCAGAACTTTCTAACTTCATCGGAACAGTATTGTTTGAAACCATAATGAAGTTTGCAACATTTTCACAAACTCTTTGGTCTTTATACTTTCTTTCAACAACTCCAACTTTGTCTGTTATAAGACTCTTCAAAGCATCTGAGTTCAAAACTTTTGTTGTATCTATACTTTGAAGTTCATTGCAAACTATAAGTTTCATATTCTCAATTGAAGAGTTAAATTTACCGCAGATGTTTTCTAAGTTTGTCATATTCGGATTCGAATAACCTTCTAACAGTTTGCACAAAATATCTGTAAAGAATGTGTTCTTACCTGTTCCTTGTTTTCCAATTATAATGAGAGCAGTTTCATTCTTAGCACTTGGATGTTGTAAGATGTTTGCAAACCAACATAAGATATACTCATAGACTCTTTCGTTTCCATTGCATATAATTTCTTTGACATGGTCTAACCAAGCTTCTATTTATATTTCTTTCCATTCTACTTGTTCGTATTTATATCCAGTGAAGATAGAATAGAAGTTTGGAGAAGGTGTATAGAACTTTATACCTCGAACTGAAAAATCTTCTAACTTTGACAATAAGATATCCCAAGCATCTAACATCTTCATGCCAACTTGTACGACTTTTATTTTCTTAAGTTTCTGTCTACATTCTTGTTCTGAAACTATTGTTGCTCTTGGTTTGTTAAAGACTACATCCCATTCTTTCATGACATAACATTCTGGGGCAGAGTCAACATAAATGACTAAACGTTTCAAATTCTCGACTGCTTTGTTATAGTCTCGAAATGGACACATATTTCTGAATGCTTGGAAGTCATAAAAATCTGAAACATCTATTCTGTACATTTTTATAAAAATAAAAAAAATATTTTTTTTATTCTTGACTTTGTTGTTGCATTTGTTGCATTTGTTGTTCTTGAGCTATTTGTTGTTGAAGTTGTTCTTGTAATACAATACTTTCACCAGTTGCATCTTCCAATTCGAAACTTTCTGCCGTCATTGACAAATACATAGGACATAAAAGTTTTACAGGAACAAAGTTTGCGTCAACTAAGGTTAAGTTTATGTTTGCTAAAGTGTTTGAGTTTACTAAAGCTGAAAACTCTGCATTCGAATGAACAATAGGCAAACCAGCAGAGAATGTGTTATTTATACGCATAAGTATCTTTTGGTCATAGTAGTTTCTGTCGACATTCGAATAACACTTTGAACCTAAGTTTGAAACAATATATAAAAATAGGTGTACTTAAAGTCAATGGAACAGACATTCCTTGTATGACACCTTTTCCTGTTATAGGAAACTGTTGGTAGTAAAAACCAGATATAAGTTTTGTATTATAGCTCATATTGTTTATAGTAAACTCAGTCGGACATCCAAACATAATGAAACCTGCTCTAGTTGCAGCACATGTTACACCTGTACTTAAAGTATTAAATAAGTCAACAAAACCTGTTGGTGGTATATCTGAGTAAGTATCTTCAAAGGAGTATTTTTTACCATTCACAACAATAAAGTCTTCTGGTGTCAAAAGAGCAAAACAGGCTTTAGTCGTCATTGTGTTTAAGGTTAGTTTACAATACCGTCCTTGAGGACTTTGTAAGTTTGTTGTTATAGAATTATATGACCCAGGGTTTTTAGTCGTAATAGTATAAACCATTATGTCTTCTGCCATTTACTTAGCAAATAAATTTTAATGAAATGTTGTGGTCGTCAAATATTTTTATGACGTCTGGGAAACTATATTTTAAGTTCAACGTTTCACCTCCTTTCATAACGTATATCTTGTCAATGACATTATATGAAACACCACAGCAAGCAATGTCGGTTCTATTTCTTTTGATGTTTATATCATCTGCCTCTGTCAAAAGTTTCAATAGTTCTTTCAAAACTTCATGAGGTGCAATGACATATGAGTTCACTTTTACAGGGTTGTGTTCGACCAAGTTTAACATTATAACCTAAAGCTTGACAAATCTTCTCCTGAGTTTGAAGTTTGTCTTTCAGTTGTTGGTAGTCGTTTCGAATATCTGCAACAGAACTTAAGTCTCTGCTAACTTCAGGGTATGTTGGTTGTTCTTTTACAGGAACTATTGTTATACCATCTTTGTCTTCGTATGGTTTCCCCATTTCAACATCTCTTTCTTTGACATTGACAATAACACTTTGACTGTTTGTTTGAGTTGGTGAATTTAACTTCACATCTGCCACTGCCATTAAACCTTTTGAAACACTCACGCTTCTATTTTTCGGAAATGACATTTTACTTAGAATAAAAAGATGGACGTATTCGAGTATCTCTTCGAATTGAAGCAAAACAAGGTTTATACACACAAACAATACAAATACATTGACAGAATAGTTCTTTACACAAACAATGGAAAATGTTATAGAATAGCAATATTTGCTGAACCTAAATATTTTCATAAAGCAAAGAAAGTTGGTATAACTGAAATGGTGAAAGTTCTTGAAGCAGACAAAAATATAACTTCAAAACTTACAGATATTTCTAAAGGTAAGTTTATAATACAATATTATGTCAAAACTGGCGTACTGTCAATATTTGACGGAGAGAAGTCAGTTCAAGAACAACTTACTGACCTGCTGCCAAAATCTGCTCGATGGAAGCTGTCGTTATGCCAATCTGAGGAGCCCCAGCAGGTTTCATCGAACGAATCTTCAAAAGAGCATCTTCCGTGAAAAGTGCTATTGGTTTTGTAAACTTCTTTGCTTTCAATTCATCTGGACCGTCTCTGTCACCAGTATATTGTATTTGTACAGTACCAACAGTTGAAATACCACCCATAAAGTCTTCTGAGTCAGCAAATGGAATGCCAAGCCAAAAGTTTGAACGGTCTCCATTTGTATATTGAGTTTTTTGACCTCCTGTATGAGTCCATACTTTCACATATGGCATAATAGAACTTTGCATTTCAGGGTTAATGGTTGTTGTGAAGTTGTTGTTAAAGTTCATAGCATCTAATGTCAAGTTGTATGACCTCATATCCTCAACTGTAGAATATTCTTCTCTTGGATAATATTTGCCATCTATGTTTATATGATATTTAATACCAGGGTTGTAGAAACAAGAATAGTCATTTATAGTTCGTCTGAACAGTACAAACATAGTATCTGCATGTTTCATTGCAGTTGTTAAGGCAATATCTGTTCTTGCACCTGGGTCAGCACTTTGGTTTCCAACTTCACCTGCAAAGTCTTTGACAGATATTTGGTGTATAGGGAACATAAGTGGAACTGCAATATATTTGGCAGCTAAAGCATTTGAAATATCTGGGTCCAACATATAGACTGCAAGTCTGCTTTCTATTCTCTTGCATTCAAACTTTTCGCATGTGAACTTAACTGGGTCCCAAGCAGTTCCAGCAGCATTGAAATAATAGTTTACTTCATTGTTGAAGTTTGAGAAACCAAAGTCTAAGTCAACTTTGTCTTTGCAAAAGTCACAGAACTTGGCTCCACCAGTTCCAGCTACAGTAATGCTGAATGGGTCTTGTGTTGGTGCAATGACTAAGTTATTTTTGCTTGGAGTAAGTTCGATAGAAATTTTTCCTGCCCAGTTTGGTAAGTATCTTAAAAACCTGAAGATGAGGAAAGATGACAAAGGAACTCTAAGTTTCAGTTTTACTTTAGTGGCAGCATTTCCATCTGAACCAGAAAGGTTAACATAAACTCCTGGAACGTTAGGGTCAAGTCTTCTTATTTTCTCAATATTTGCATACTGGTCTGTTTGTTCTCTAGCTTGTGGTTGTACTGAGTTTCTCAAAGCGAACCATTCATAGTTTGCCCATGTTACTGTTTGAACTAAGTCAGAGTTAGAATATATCTTATATCCCATGAAAACTTCTGGAGCATATTGGTATCCGACATAGAAAATTCCATTGCAACCTTTCTTGTCAGACAACTTGGCAGAAGGTTTTATTTCAATGTCTTGTTCCACGTATAAGAAAGAGTTGTCAATAGAAATTATATGAAACCTGTCGCAAGCAATATCTACTGTTGTTGAAGAACCTTCTCCAAACTCACCTACGTTTCCATAAGAAACAGCAGTTGTATATTCGTAAGTTCCAGGAACTATTTCTGACCTTCTAATGGCATTGTCGCATTCGTTATACCATTCGGAAACATTTCCGTTCATAGCATCCAAAACTGTTGGCGTTATATTCTGAGCGGCGTACATTTCATATGAGTAAAAATATAGAATAGTTGGATTTATATGTCATAATAGAACCCACGTGGACCAAGCTTTACTTTGTTCCTGACTGAGTTTTTAACTCTTCTTTTTCCTTCATTGCCCTCTGCTTGAAGTTGTTGCATCTTTGCATTATGTTCATCTAGTATGTTGCAAATTTCCCATGTCCTTTTTGCCTTTTGGCTCTGGTCGCCCATCTCAGGTAACCTATATCCTAGAAAGAGTTTGTCATAGTCTGTATTTGAGTCTTCGCGTATTGTTTGCATGACTCTTTCCTGAGTTTCCGGTTCAAGCTCTTCAAACAGTGCCTGTCCATATGGAATATGCTCGTTTCCAAATATATGTTTTTGTAGCCATTCTGGTTTTCTTTCCATGTTACCAATTATATCTTTTGTGAATGGGAAAGCTTTTACCCAATCTTTCAGTCTTGCGTCGTTTATTTCTGTAGTTGGTTTTATTTTGTCAAGGAACATGTTTTTCAATACTAACATTTCATTTGGTACTGTCCATTTGAGTTTTCTTAAATATTCATCCCTTCTCGGTTCATTGTCTGCAAAGTAAGTTTTTATGACATTTTGTAAACTTTCGTTTGCAAGGTCATGTACAATAGGTTCTCTTCCTTCGCTCTCCCTAACTTTCTTTCTAAACTCTTCACCAAATATACCATCTCTATGGTTCTGTGTAGTTCTTTGAGATAAATGTTCTAGAACGTCAGGTGTTATATTTCCATCAGCCATGTTCATTTCATACTGGTTCAAAATATCTGCATCTTTCATATCTTTCAATGGCATTAAAGCCGCGCTGAAAATACCAGCTATATCTGGTTCACCATTCACTTCCATTGCGTCTACAACTTCTTGGAATTGTGGTTGTAAGTTTATGAACCACCTATCCGGGTTAGCTTTATGACCCCATCTCATTGTAGTTCCATCGTCTGCAGAAACAAAAGTAGGTTTGTTTCCATCTTGGTTAGGTTCTGAATGAACTTTAAACAATGTTTCATTTCTATATGTTTTCTTGAAATTTAACCTTTTATCTTCACCGAGTTCATCCGAAGATTGAACGTTAAATGCTCGTAAGTAAAAAGGGTTGTTGTATTTGTGTACATTTTTTTTTCAGTTCTTCCATTCTATGCTGAATATTTTCATCTGGTGCTGGAGTCTTTTGTATGTCGGCAAACATTTTTCGATATTCTTCTACTATGTCAGCCGAATTTTTTTTAGACTCTTGGAAATATTCCATATTCTCCGCATACTCTTGTTGAGGGTCAAGATTTTTCGGCTGTTCCAAATCTTCATCTAGTTCTGTGAAGTTAGTTTCCAAAGGAAGGACTTGTTCGTTTCCTTCAGGCTCTTCTAGCTGTTGTTGCTGAACTATTTCTTCCATGTCTGGTTGTATCTGAACTTCTTCCTGTGGAGTTTCTTGTACCTCATCTGCTGGCATTTCATATATTCCGAGACCGTTTTCAACAATTTCCCTATCTACGTCATCCGCATTCATAAGCTTTTGTTCTTTCGTTCCGTCTCTATTTTTTACGCGTTTCATGACGAAAGTTGAATTGTCATTTAGCTCTGACATCAAATATCTCGGAGTAAATTCATCCATGTCATTTGGATGATATGCTATTAAATCATATCCCTTAGCGAGCTTGTATTTTCCAGGTTTGAGATTATATCCGTTTTGGTGCTGAGCCATAAAGCTAAATAGGTTCGGGTCAGTATTTCCATCCTTGAACTTTCTAATAGCTTCTTTATATCTGTCACTAAAGTCAACAGTATCTGGGAAACCACACTCTTCTTTAAGCATTTTTAAGAATTCTTGGTTTCCTTGTTCTCTACTTCTTTTATGTCCTTGCTCTGTTTGTGGTTGTTGTGCTGGTTGTGGAGGTGGTTGTTGTGCAGGGTTTTGAACTGTTGGTTGTTGTTGTTGTTGTTGTTGTTGTGCAGGGTTTTGAACTGTTGGTTTTGGTGCATGCCTGTGTCTGTGTCCATGTGACGATGTAAATGTTCTAGGTAGTCCTGGTGCAGGTGCTTCTCTTGGAGGGTTTGGTGGTATATAAGTTCCACCAGCTGGCACATATGTTCCATCTGCAGCGTAATGTCCTACCTGACTTTTCGTTCTTAAGAAAGCATTTACTAGGTCTGTTTTGGTCTGTTGTAACTCTTTTTCTTGACTTTCCACAACAGTTGCTCTAACGGCGTCATAGGCACTTTGAACTGCCTGTCTCGTTGCTGCATCTGTTATTTTCGTCATATTTTGTGCTACTTCTCTTAACTCTTTGTCGAAACCTTCAGACTTCAGTTTCTTTCCAGATGAGAAGTCGTTCACTTGTTTCACCTTACTATGAAGAGCTTCGAAGGCGTTCTTAAAGTCAGCATTCATTAAAGCTTCATTTGAACTGTCTTCATCCGCTTGTATTTTTGTCCTTATTGACCCTATAAGTTGGGCTGCTTTAGCGTTGGCTTGGGCATCTAACCAGTCATTGTTAGCTTTTATATATTCTGCGCTTTTCATTGCCTTTTGCATAGCCGCGTCGTTATTTTTACTTTCTTGTGCTAAGTTTTCATACTGTACGGTTTGGTTTTGCAACTGTAAAAGTTTTTCTGCCTTTACATTTGCTTCAACTTCCTTTTTATACTCATCGCTATCCATATATGTCTTCAGGGCTTTTTGTTTTATCTCTTCATCTTTCAGTATTTTATATTGAGTAGTATGGTTTTTCAAATTTATGACATCTTGTTCCATTTTTGCTACTTCTGCTGCTTTTTCTGACACTTTTTTTGCATATTCCTCTGTACTTAGTTCTTTCAGTTGTTCTTCTTTCTTCTTTTTCTCTACGTTTAACTCATTGAGTTTCTTTGTGTGTCTGTCATATTCTAGTTTCTTTTCGTTTTCACTTATTTGCTTCTGTATGTCTATGTTTGACTTTTTGACATCTGTTATTTGATTTTTGAGTGAACTCAAATTCATTTGACTTTGAGGGTTATAAGCTGTTCCGTCTGCAGCTCCACCATAGCCTGCCATTTTCGCTAAAAGTGCCGCTCTTAAACCTCCACTCTGTGCACCAACAACTCGGTTTAAAAGCATAGGATTGCTTGACATTTGTTGCAACATAGTGGGGTCATTCAGCATTTGTTGTTGCAACTGTTGTTGTGGTGTCAGTCTTACTATTGGATGTTTCAATGCTCTCTTCCTCTTACGTATATTCTTACGTAGCTTACGTGGCATTTTAAGTGAAGTTAAAAAGCGGCTTTTGACAGATGTTTATTGTGACTTCTTCGTAAAGACTTTGTTATGACTTCTTCGTAAAGACTTTGTTGAGATTTCTTCGTAAATGAGTGTAAATGACCCAAAAATATATTTTAGGTGAAGAGGTGAGATTTCACCTCTTTTTTCACCTCATTTCTCACCTCTTGAATTTTCATGAATTTCTTCGTAAATGTTTTGTCAAAACTTCTTCATCTAATTTCTCATGAACTTTCTTGTCTATGTTTTGTCAAGATTTCATCGTAAAGACTTTGTTGAGATTTCTTCGTAAATGACCCTAGTAGTATATTTTTGGTGTAAATTTCATGAAAATTCAAGAGGGTGAAAAATTAGGTGAAAAAACAGGTGAAATCTCACCTCTTCACCTAAACATTATTTTTGGTGTAAATTTCATGAAAATTCAAGAGGGTGAAAAATTAGGTGAAAAAACAGGTGAAATCTCACCTCTTCACCTAAACATTATTTTTGGTGTAAAATTCTGAGTAAAATGACAGATGGAACACATACTTTTTCAGTAAGTACATATGGGGTAGAAAAGAGGTAGAAAACGGGGTAGATATACCCTTCTACCCTAAAATATATTTTTGTCTGATTTACGCTCATTACGATGAAGTTTTGACAAAGTCTTTACGAAGAAATCTTGACAAAGTCTTTACGATGAAGTTTTGACAAAGTCTTTACGAAGAAATCTTGACAAAGTCTTTACGATGAAGTTTTGACAAAGTCTTTACGAAGAAATCTTGACAAAGTCTTTACGATGAAGTTTTGACAAAGTCTTTACGATGAAATCTTGACAAAGTCTTTACGATGAAATCTTGACAAAGTCTTTACGATGAAATCTTGACAAAGTCTTTACGATGAAATTCATGAAAATTCAAGAGGTGAAAAATGAGGTGAAAAAACAGGTGAAATCTCACCTCTTCACCTAAAATATATTTTTATTGAATTCTGTATAATATTCTGAGTAATATGACAGATGTTTATATAACACTTTCTCCGGTTTATAGGACCTCTCTCATATTCTATCTTGTCATATCAAAACTCATAGTCATGTTTGTCCTCTAAGACTTCATTTATACTAAACATCTTCAGGGCTAGAAGGCACGAAGTGCCTGGAAGCCCCACTTCCTTTTTTTTTTTTTTTTAATTGAATTGATAGTATATGTTTACTCTGCTTACTTATTTTATTCCTAATTTCATGTCAAATTTCAGTGAACGTTTTATTTTTTGAATAGTTTACGATCTTCGATAAAATAAGAACCTGAATTATCATCAAAGATGTTTGTTATTCCATCCGGATTTACGCAACTTGAGAGATTGGGTGATGGTTCTTTTGGAAGAGTTGAATTACTTCAGCGTGAAGACGACGGTGTCTTATTTGCAGTAAAAGTTTTTGAAACACCAGCAGCAATAACAACTGCCGAGAAAGAAATCGACTTAATGAACTTAGTTAGCTCACCATTCATTGTTAAACTCTACGATGTTTACAGAACACCAGAATCAGTCGGAATATTAATGGATCCGTGCTTAGGCGGATCTCTTAGACTCAAAATTGCATCAAAGTCACCTTCAAATCCATTCACATTTAATGAAATTATCGAAATTACGACGCAATTACTTCTCGCACTCAAAGAAATTCATAAAAACGGATATGCTCATCGCGATTTATCACCATCCAACATATTATTCTGCAAGGAGAAGTCAAATAGAATACAGCTCATTGATTTTGGTGTTTCTGAGTACGTCGGAAAAGGAGAAGCACGCGGAACAGCAGGAACTCCAAATTACATGAGCCTTGAAATGAAGAAAGGTCTTCCTCACAACCAGATGACTGATATGTACTCTCTTGGCTTAATTATTTTTGAAATGTGTGAATTAAGACTTCCAAGGCCAGGCGAGACAACATCTGAGAGCCAACCATCTCTTGGTGCATTAATCGAGAATTTACTCTCAGAAGATCCAAGCAGTCGTCCAAATGTTGAAGATTGTCTTTCATTTCCTGACGTTGTTGATATTCTTGATAGATTTAACGGAGCTAAGAGAATACAACTTACAGCATACGATTGGCGTCCATCTTCTGACCACGACGATGATGATTCTCCAGAAAATAATAATGATCAAGATTTTAACTTGGATTTCGAAGATTTACCTCCAATTGAGAGTTCAGCACCAGTTACGCCAGGTCGTCTCCTCGATAACGGCGTTAGAAAGCATTGGAGAGATCCAGATTTCGAAAAGATTCAAGATGCAGAACGTGTTGCAATCGAAGAGAAAGAACGCGTTGAACACATCCTTCAGGAACGAAAGGAAGCCAAAATTGCATATCAGCAGAAGCAGCGCGCCAATTCTAAACTCTCTAAAATGAAATGGAACGAACAAAAAGGAGATCTCGCGAAACACGGTGCTGAATACAACAAAAGACTTGAACAGGTAAAGAAACAACCAAGACAGAGTCGATTGTTGCTTAATTCTGCCCAAGCTCAAGCAGTCAGATCATCACATGATGAATTCAAACCTTCAGCAGATGAGATTGAGAAAGTTACTTACGGATTAGAGAAGATTCTTGGATATGACAAGACTGTTCAATGTATCAAAGCATTGGATGATAACCCTCTTTTGTCTCCTGGAGAGTTAGGAGTCACTCCAAGAATCTTTGATATTTTATCTAAGTTAATGCGCCTGAAAAAGGAACTATTTTGTCTATAATTTTTTTCTATTTTAAAAAACCATGTTTTATTCGTAATTATGATGGTATTTTATATTCTTCACGTTTGGCTCTCAAAAATTGAGATGTTTACACGCATTAATGAATGAACTTTGATTTCTTCCAATTTACAGAATCAAATAGAATGAAAAGCTGATGAGTTCATTCAATAAATCTTTCATTCGTAACTCAATTACTATCAATGATCAATATTTTCTAAAATCTAAAATTAAAAGTCGCGAAAATTACAATTATTGTTATGAAGATCTAATCCAAGCCTTTTCAGACTTGCATACATTCCAACAATGTAAAAAACGCATTAACCGAACATTTCCAGACCTTTTTATAAAGTTAAATAGAATGATTAGATTGCCAAAATACTTTAATGTTTTAAAATTCGTATTAAATCAAAGATTGCATACAAAAACTCAACAAATTTATTTCTAAATCTTTATTTCAGGGAAAGATTTTCCAAAATTTTAAGTTTTTCACTAATAAATTCTTTAAATTATATCATTTATGAATATTTTATCATACAGTGCAAATAATGCTCGCTATTTCTCGTTACTTTTTCATGAATCAATTGATGATTGGAATCGATACTTCAATGATCCACCATCAGAAACAAATACTGATGGATCTAAAATTTATTGGAAAACAGATTCACCTGGAAAATATTTTGTTACAGACTGTAAATTTGGAGACTTAAAGGCGACATGTATCTTTGTGAATTCAGTAGGTCCGAACTATTTAGGAATCAGTGAAACAGAATTTAATAAATGCAGTGGAGATATTGGAGTTCCATGCACTGTTTTTTACAATGGATCATTTTTCCAATATCGAGTTACAGGAAAAGACTGCACAATGACAAGTGGAACATGTGGTGGAATTCACACAGGAGTTCTAGTTAGAGAGAATAGTAAGGATCTAAATCTGATTGAAGAAACATCAATTTCAGGTTATTCAAGTGAAACATCAGGCTCTGTACTTTGGCACAAGAACGGAAATGTTTCATTTATTTCAATCAATGAAAGTAACTGCAAAACAAAGATAGAAGTTGCATATCAAATAACTAATGAACCATCAGGAATATCACATGTTAAATTTTGTCAATTTATTTCAGCTAAATCGGATGAAAAATGCTTTTATTATGAAATATCCCAACATTTCATTCAATGCAGCAGTTTCTTAAACAATTCTTATTCTTCAAAATCTACAACATCTCCTGGAATATTTTATCTTGCTACTCCGGATTCGATACTCACTATTGCAAATTCAGTCATAAAAGATAATTCAGGAACAGCATTATTATTTACAAATTACGGTAGTAGTATTATTGTAGATAGATGTTTTATCGAGAATCCAAATGTACAAATGATATCAGTAGGATACGGAAATTTTCAATTTATTCATAAATATTTCATTTACATTTTAAATGTTCCACATAAGAATTGTATTTTCACTGATGTTAAATACAAAACTATTTATGTGAACAAATTATGTAGATGTGATTCAAATTTCATTTATTACTTTGCATTTTTATCTAAATAATAGTTTTTATTCAAATTAATATTTCAGACAATTCACCAAAAGATTTTCCAGTAGATATTTTGACAGGAATTTTGACATTGAGACCGAATTCATAAGAACACTCTGATGATTTCTTAATTTTGTGAATCAAATCAATGAAAGAAAGAGTTCCTATTTCTTCGTCTGTTTCGAATATCCATTCGTCGTGAATCTGAATTATTGGAATGAGATTGGTCTGTTTTATTACATTTATTAGTGCGAATTTTACGAAATCTGCCGCAGTCCCTTGAATGATTGTGTTGACTAAAATTCTTTCATCTCTCATCTTATCAGATACTTTTTGACATCTTATGTTTGGCAAAAATCGATATTTCCCAGAGAATGTTTTTATGAATCCTTTGTTCTGTGTTTCAATCACTGTATTCGTGATGAAAGATCTTATCCCTTGAAATATGTCTATGACTGAAATTCCACTCATGTTTTCAACTTTCTTACCATATATCGTTGCATAAATATTTGTTTTCGCTTCTTCCTTCATATCTTCTGTAACATTATTTTTATTGAATATCATCTTCGCAATCATCGAATGAATATCTCCTTGATCAACATTACAAAGATCTTTTAATTTCTTATCATCAGAAAAATGAGCTAAAATTCTCAATTCCAACTGAGAATAATCAACAGAAATCATTGTTTTCTTTGTTGGAGGCAAAAAGAATTTTCTTATATTCAATGACTGTTCATCATTAAAAGAAGGAATGTTTTGTAAATTTGGAAATACAGAAGAAATCCTTTTTGTTGCTGTAGAAATTGCTAAAGTTCTTAACTCCAACTGCAAATAAGCGCGGATTGGTCATATCATTCGATTATTCTTAAAATTTACACCTTCGATAATGAACTGAATTCCAAATCGACAAAATATTCATACTTTCACTGATGAAAAGTTGGTGAATATTACATATTGTTGATGGAGTCAAAAAGAGCATTCACATAATAATCTGTCTTTTCGTCAGTGAGAGAAAGGATATTTTGTAGATTTGGAAAAAAGATAAACTTGCAAACATATTCTTCGTCTGTATTGACTAACATTTAAAAATCAGTGCTAAATATAAACAAATTAAAAGTTTTATTTATTGATAGCTCTATAAAAAAAATAAAAAAATTAAATTTCAGTATCTTCAAGAACAGTAAGGAGAGGATCAGCGTCAATTACTGGTTTCAAGAACTTGTCATCACCGAGAATAGTTGATGTATCAAGCGGAGCCTTGTGTTTGTGCTGGCAGACGTGATCAGAGTAATTTCCAATTACGTTTTCTCCGCAGATGAAGCATTTGTTGTCTTTCTTCATCTGCCTTGCGTAATTGACAAATCTGACCAAGTGGTAGAAGTCATTTCCTACCGCATTTTTGACTTCATTGAAATCGAAGCCGTGGAGGGTGTGCATGTGCTGGATACACTCTGTTGGTTCACTTAGGACTGCATCGCATATGAGACATTGAGTTTCGTCGATCTCAACTTCATCAAAATCTTTAAGTCCGTCTTCTAGCGTTTCTTCGATCTCCTCGTCACTTTCTTTCTCGATATCATGCCATTTGCGGTCTTCTTCGAGATAGTTGACCATGTAGTAGCGATCGAATTTCTTTTCATTTGGAATCTTGTCGTGTGGTTTCTTTTTCATGTGGGATCTGAGCTGCTGCTGGCTCTGGAACTTCTGGTAGCAGTGGATACACTGGTTATTTGACAGTAATTTCTGTAAATAATTGACAAGATGTGGAATATAAACTAAATTTGCAGGGCGGCCTGGGTTAAAGCCATGAACTTCGAATAACCATTGGAGATATTGATGCCATGTGCCTGTAAATGTCTTAGAACAGAAGAGACATGGGATATCTTTTTGAACAACAGTTCTCTCTTGTTCATGTTGAAGCATGATGTGGTCAAGACGAAGCTTGTGAAGTGTGGCACGGATACTCTTCTCGTCTTCGTTCTCAGGATCAATTGTTTTACGCTTTTCTCCATAAAAATCCATTGTGATGAAGGTTGGAGCATGGAGTTGCCAGTAGTTGAGATAGTTTTGAAGCATGGCAAGACCGGAAAGGCGGTTAATGCAAAATTGGTGATGATCATTCAAGTGATATAAAATTTGAAGTGGATCATTTGTTTCAAAATCGCAGAAAATGCATGGAAATGTTGTGTCTGGTTCGTAGAAATCCATATGACCTTCGAAATCTTGTTCGATGGCTTTATGGAGGTTAGTAGACATTTTTTAAATGTTTGACCAAAAATTTTAGGCACAAAAAATTTTGACTATTTACACTGTAAAAATGGCAGAATTTTCATTAATTCAATTCATTGATTTTTATACATAATTATGTTTAAATGCTAACAAACCATTGAAATATGAACAAATTTCCTGAATCAGTATAAAATTTTGGAAATTCAATATTATATCCATCAAAATCATAGCTCATTTACTGATCTTACAAATTATTGGAATAATATAATGTTTTTTATTCAACAACAAGCTTCAAACATGTATAAAGATGTAAAGATATGAAAAAATAAAGCTATTTCTCATATAAGAGTTGACATTTCTAACCGTATTGCAGACGGTTGGTGGTATTAGGCTGCATTGGCTTACTCGCACCAAATTATTGCAGCCACCAAAATTTTCATATGGATAATCATTTTTGACATAAATAATGGATGGACAATTGTTCTCTTTCTGGTCTGTTATTGTAAAAGTTCCATTAGGAAATGAAGTGTTGCCGCAATAAATTAAAACCTTCCAATTAAGATTGCCTCCTAAGGAATGTTGTTTTGGAATAGTTGTAACCGACATTGGTAGACGCAGATATTTCAATTTTTTCAGATAATAAAAAGTTCCTGAATGAATATAAAATAAATGGCTTCCTTCTTCAAAGTATATATTTTATAAGTTACTGCAGTAAGCAAAAGTATCCCAAAACATATATTCGATATTAATTGGAATATATACATCAGTAAAATCATTATTTTTTCTAAATGCTGAATGTCCAATCTGTGTTACAGGCAAACCTTCATAATTATTCAAGATATAAATGATTGTAGATGTAAGTGATTGACCTGCATTATTATCATCAGTTGATATATTGGTTCCACATATTGCGAAGTCATTAGACTTAGTATACAAAACTCCTTGTGTGTCTACCGTAATTAGTCTCTAAGAATCATTTTAAAAAATGATACTTTTTTGAAACCTTCATATGTTTATTACGACTTCATAATATCTAATATGCTCAGTAGCTACTTATTGACGATATCTTGTCACAATTGAACTCATTACTTGGATGAAGCATGTTAATAATAGAAATTATTGAATTTTATTTCTAAAAGAAGAAGTTCATTTGTATTAAGGATTGTATTATTCACATTTCTGTTCAATAAGAGAATTATTAAATATAAGCACCATAACTAAGGAAAAAAAGAAAAAAAAAATTAATTTTGTATCATCAAAAGTTCAAATTGTTTATCAACTAAGAGATGCCTAAGTATGTATAAGTTTTTGTTTAATTTTTATTAAAAAGTATTGCTGATATTAAAAATTATATTTCAAGTAATCAAAATATCGATTATAATAGAAAAGAAATAATTATTGCATCTAAAATTATTATATCTCAACGTTAAGCAAGGGATTCGTGGATAAATAGTGCATTGTTTTATTCGAACAAGGCTATAACATCCACCAAAGTTATCATATGGATAGTCTTCCATAACATATATTGCTTTTGGACAATAAATCTTATCCCATTCATCAACTGTTGAAAATGTCAAATTAGGAAAAGATGCTGATCCGCAATATGTGACTGTTTGAATGTTCATATTAGCTCCTAGAGAAAGATATGTTGGAATTGCTGTAATCGACTTCGGTATGCGAAGATGTTTAAGTTTCTTATTAAAATAGATAGATCCGGAAAATATATAAAATAGATGACTATCTTCTTCAAAGTAAACATTCTCTAAGTTATCACAGTAAGCAAAGGTATCCCAAAACATGTATTCGACATTCTTTGGGATATAAACAGTTTGAATGATCGAATTAAAGCGAAATGATGCAGCGCCAATTTGTGTAACTGGTACACCTTCATAATAATTAAGAATATAAATTGTATTCGAATTGATATTTGCTCCTGCATTGTAAGCAACTTGAGAATTATTTGTTCCACATATAGCAAAATCATTAAATTTCGTATAAACGACACCTTGAGTAGAATCTGGAATTCTACAATGAAAGTTGTCACTTTTTGTGGACTTTCGACAATACATTGAAATTCTTTCTTGAACGGAAGAAATTACTGATTATAAATGCGATGTTTTAATGATATTAGAGCAGATGAAATAAAATCCCTTTAATTTGTGCTGTGACGATATATTTTTATAGTCAATTCTATCGGTGCTTCGCGAAAGATTTTGTAAATTCACATTTTCAACATATCTTAACTGGATTTCACAGTCAAGCTTCTTATACGGCACATTAATCTTATACTACATTAACAATTCTTAAGATTAATGGCAGATGAGCTTCCAACTAGAAAAATAAATACTATATACTATAACAAATCTTTTTATTCCATTACTTTCAATCCGCCTGGCAAAGGCAAATGACAGCAAAACTGCGTCAGAAGCTTTCAAAATTGTGTGAAAGATTGGCCGAATGAATATCCGAAATCTTGTAGTCAGTGTTTTCCAAAGGTACATTCACTAGGCGATAACAGTAAAATGGGATGAAAATAGGATAAATAGCATCCCTATATAGTGCCTAACAATATTTATACGGGCCAAAAAAATTTGGCTAGAGATTTTGCGAGTTATAAAACTTAGAAAATTGAGAGGGGTTTTTATTTTTGAATTTTTTTTGGAAAGTTAAAATTGCGATTAAAAATCGATTTCCAGGAGAACTAAGCATCTCATCATATACTTAAATCGATAAAAATATTAAATAATAGTTGAATAGTATAAATACATGAAATTATGGCCGAATCTACAGAAAAAATGAACATATTTGACATTTTTGAAAATTCATACGTTAGATGGTGACAGACTCATAAACTATACTTTAGCTAAGATTGATATATGGTTTCAACAACACATGGTTAAAATCGTAAAAATATTTTAGATTTCAAAAAGATATATATGGTAATATAATGGAACAAAGTCAACAAATAGTATGTTAAATATGTTATAATTAACTTTTTATTAGATCCAATAGTAGATATCGAATGGTTTCCAGCTTTATGGTTAAATATTTTCTTTTCGAGCTTCTCTTTAACTGTTGTATTAAGGTTGTAAATTTTTGATGCTAGAAACTATGGAATCTTCTTTGCTGCTGCATTTTTCTTGAGAGTTCTTGCAATTTCGAACAGATCTGCGCATTGTATGAAATGGAGGCTTTAAAATATCTTGAAAACAGAATAGGACTGCTTTTCCAAAGGAATGCTTACTTGTAAATCAGAGAGTTTCAAAATTGACAGCAAGATTATCATCATAACTTTCGATTTTGCTGCGAAAAAGGAAGACAAGTAATTAACAAATCATTTACTGTTGTTCATCAAAAGAAGAAAACTTTGATAACAACTAATGATGATAAAATCAAGCTATCTTTTAATATTTTAAATTGATAAGACATTCAAAATATTTGAATGGTTTAAAATATTTTCTTTTAATTTCTATAAGATATTATCATGATTATATAATAAAATTTAAATTTTTATTCAAAAAGGCAATATTTCAAACTTTTAATTTCAAAAATCTTAATTCTGCAATAAGTGTATTTAATTGTAGCAAATTTAATGATCCTTCGTCATGCTTAGCAATTTAGAACTCATAAATTAATGATTTCTTCAAGTAAAATTCTGCATTATTTCAAAAGTCAATAATTCTCTAGTAACTTTTCTTCAAACCCTAACCATTATATTATATGTATAATGGAGAATAATTGCAAAGAAAGATAGCCGAATTTACTGGGTAGTTCTTGTGATGCGAAATAATTGCAAATTAACACCTAGTTTTAACAGCATCAATCTCTTTTTGCTCTCATTTAAATGCATTCGCACACTTTAATTTTGAAATATAAGAGTTTTGGAAATTATCAAATTTATCTGCTCAAATACTATAGATCTTCATAAGTGTTAATAGAATCATTAGCCTTACATATAGTGTTTAATATAATGATGCACATTATACTGGGATTCATTCCTTATTCATCTAGTTATTATAAGATTTACAACCCCATGAAAATTTAAAATTTTGTCAAAAATAGTGAATGTACCTTTGTGTTTTCCATATGGGTAACGTAGCATTATCTCCTTTGAACATGAATTCTAAAGAAATTTTTTATTATCAAATGCAAATATATGACTTTTAAATTTTTTCATGTCTGATCAAGATATTCCACCAAGTAAATACATTGAATTGCGAAGTACATATAAAAACTACATCGATTCATATAATGCGTTGTATCAGCTAAAAACCGAAAATGAAGGAGAATTAAACTCAATTTACAAAATGATCAAATCAGAATTGATTGATTCAAAGAAATATCTTCCCCAAAATATAATCATAGAAATTTTATATATAATTCCGTTTAACAATCGCTATACAAAGTCATATTTATCTCTTGCCAAACTCGTATCTGATGAATATCATGTCAAAGAGGTCAAATATGTTAGCTATTTGTCAAATTTCCTGTTTTATAAAGAATATGGAATTAAATTAGATAAATCGCGTGGTTTCGAAAAAGATCATTTTAAAAATCTGGATATTCATACAGAAAATACAATTTACAGAGCAATTATGTATAACGACAAAGAAAAATTCATCATATTCACCGAAAGAGATGAATTTGATAAAGATCAAAAACTTAAATGCAATTTATATCCATATTCTTACAAAGGATATTCATTACTTGAATTATGTTGTTACCATGGAGCAGTTGATTGTTTCAAGTTATTAAGAACAAAATTTAACTCAGAAATAACTGAAACATGTTTACAATTCTCATTTTTAGGAGGAAATCCAGAGATCATGAGTGAATGTTTGAAATATCAAACACCAAATAAATGGTGCATGGAATATGCAATTATTTCACACAACATTGATTTTGTTACATTCTTGATGAATGAATACAATATAGAGATTGATTTAGAATATTGTAAAGATTATAATAATCTTGAATCATTTTTAGTTTATTATGATCAAACAAATGATATCAACATAAGTTTTGTTGAATCAATAGTTTTCAATATTCCATCTCTTTGCGAATATTTCCTATCAAATGGTGCAAATATTAATGCAATAAGTAGATATTTCCAGACAGCTCTTCATAAAGCAGTGCGGTGCAATTATAAAGAAATAGTCGAACTTCTTCTTTCCCATGGGGCAAATATTAATGAACTAGATACTGCTGGACATACCCCTCTTACTATTGCAGTACGTAACAATTATAAAGAAATAACCGAACTTCTTGTTTTACATAGTGTAAAGATTAATGAAAAATCTGAAGCTTTGAATTATGCTCTTCAATGTGCAGTAGCTGAGAGCAATAAAGAAATGGCCGAATATCTTATTTTACATGGTGCAAATGTTAATGAAAAATAGAAAAAGAGAAAAAAAATGCAACATTTTATAATATTAAAGAAACTGCCGAACTTCTTCTCTCACATGGTGCAAATATTAAGGGTGCACCCGTATGTACGTTTATTTGAGAGGAGGAGGATTACCCTCTCAATTTTGAGGGATTCGTTAGTTTATTTTAGTAGTAGGATAGGATGGGTTGTGTGACTTTTTTTGTTACATCTATATATAGACGATGCATTAAAATATATTTATTTATAAATCATTAAAAAATTAACATATGAAGTAAAAAATGTATGATTCTTACGGTTTTTATTCTTACGTTTTTGAATAAATCAAGATTTAAAAAATTTTCAAAATTGTAAGACATTTACACTCAGCCCAAACATAAACGCATTAAAAAATTAACATTAATTTTAAAAGAAGCTATATATAGATGATATCAGATATTCCGCGATTAATTAAACATTGTTTAAATCCTGAATGGAGTCATAAACGAGTAAAAGATTCACTACCATAATGAAATAAAAAAAATAAACTAATGATTATTTGAATTTATGAAATCAATTATTTGATTCATTCTTTCTTCAATCTCTTCTATTCTTTTTGTTAAATCATCAATTTTCATTAATGAGGTGATTCTTGATTGAGGAATAGATTTCAAACTAACCACTCCTTTTATTTTTGAAATTTTGAATCCATCAACTTTAAACATTTTATTCAATTTACACGTTGTCAATTCTTCAAATAATTTTTTATTATTAGCATAATAGTCATTAAATTCTTCAACAGATGAAAAAATTTTTATTTCAGTAATTGGTTTAACAACGTTTATTTTTTGTTGAACATTTTCACTTTCATTTATTTCTTCCTTCTCTGTTTCATTTATTTTTAAAATCGGTTTCATTTATCATTAAATAAAAATTAGAATATAAGTGATGAAATATATTTTTAATTAATATTAAATCAGAAATGGCTGCAGGATTCTTTAAAAAATTATGGGATGGAATTAAGAAAGCTGCAGGTTGGGTTCATAAAAATATTATTAAACCCGTTGCAAACTTTTTGGCACCAGTAGCGAAAACGGCAGGAACTATCATAGGTGGAGTATTAGGTACTAAAGCAGGTAATCCGGCGATGGGAGCACAAGTAGGTAACGCAGTTGGTGGAATTGCTGAAGGAATACTTAATAAAATAGGAGGTAGATAGTGGAAAAATAAATATTATTTTTATCTTAGTATCGGTTGAAGTCTTTGATAAACTTTTTCTCCTTTATTTAAAATTTCTCTTATTGGGGCAGCTTTTGGTGTTATTGATTCAGCAACGTCACTAATTGCTTCTTTATTCTTAAATATCCAATTTGCTCCTTTCTTCATTGTTTCCCAAACTTTATGCCCTCTCTTTTTACTTTATCCCATAATTTTTTAAAGAATCCTGCAGCCATAGTTGATTATTTCATTAAATTAAAAATTCATTTTCATCTTTTAATTTTGATTTTTTATTTAATAATAAATGACGACTAACTATTTGGTGCCAAACACTAAACCAATTAATGGAAATGTGTTTCATTCATTTGAAAAGATAAATGAAATATTCGCAAAGAATGACGGTAGAAGATATTATAGAGAACTTGAAAGTTCATGCTATGACTCTGATGCTCCATTTTTGATGATAAACAAACTCATTTAAGAATTACAAATCCGGCTCATGATGTGAACCAATTAGGTGACACATATATTAAACGCAAAGTTAAAGCAACTCTAGTTTCAAATAAAGCTTTCACATGTGATGCCACTTTTAAATGCATGCGTTTATTCGTTGGTTACAAATCATCAAATCAAAGCTTTAAACAATTAGAAGTAGAAACTGAAAGAGGTGATGCCGGTTATCTTCAGATGGATTGCGCCCGTGAATCTTTCGCATTTGCAACATATAAACCAAAATCAGAAAGGAAAGTTAAAAAGTTTGTTCATTCGTTATATAATAATGTTCAAAAATATGATAACTCAGTATGTGGTAAATATATTGACCCTTCAGAAGTTTTCAAGAAAGCAAATGAAGAAGTTGATATCACTTTTGATATGATTATTCCGGTAAATGATTTGTTAGCATTTCAGGCGTTCGATGATTATCCTAAATCATTTGGTGAAATCATTCTTAAATATTATGTTTTCAGGGATACTTTAGTATTTTGTCAGGTTGACCCGTTAAGAGTTGCTGATTTACAAAATTACGTTTATGAAAAGATAACTGATGAAAATTATGAAAAGATTATGAATCATGTTTATAAATATGATCGCAAATTCCAACAAATCGGACTTCCTGCCAAATTAATTACAAGCTTAGCCGCTACATCTGCTGACGCAACAGTTGATGACGTTATTATTTCAAAGATGGAAGTTTTAGAGGATAAATGCATTACACCAGGATACGGTTTAATTGAAGAATCAGTTAAAGCAATACCACGTTTATTCAGTAAGGAAGATCCATTCATGATTCCAGCTCAACATATTGACGTTCGTTCACTAAATGGAGGTTGCATCACTCCTGAAGGTATTAGCTCAGATTTCTCATACGCTCTTCATAATGTTACAGATGTTGTGTTACATTTCCGAAGAATGCAATGCAAAGAACAGTTTTAGAAAATCCAATGCTTCGAGGTCTTCAGGTCACTATAGATTCCAGAAACTTCCCCGATCAAGCGATGACCACAATGGGCGACATATTCTTTACACGTATGCTTCAAGCTTCTGATTTAGATGGATGAATGAATGCACGGAAGATACGAGGACTCATTAACTAGACCACTGAATGCAGATGATGGCACGCCATTAGCTAGAACATGGAAAGACCAAACTCATTCTTATGCACTATTCCAGTTCAACGTGATGGAGCGGGTATATTCTTTGATGGATTAGAAACTTTCAACTCACAAGTTACAGTACAAGTGAAAGCTTATCAATCATTCAGGTGTAAATGACACTTACTGTTCAAAGGTGACAAATCCTCCTCAGGTTTTGGTTTACTAGGACTACATATTGGACATGGACACCGGACGAAGGTTTGAAATATCATCCAACAGGTACACCACCACAGTATAGAAGTTCATATGATGAAATATTGATGAATAGAAATGTTTAAAATTATAAATTTATTTTTGATTAAATGGATTTAAATTCATCCACCCTTATGAAGAATTAGCGGGAGTATATAATACATACGTAGATGATATGATTAATGAAGCATTGAGTGATAATAGAAATGCTCTATCTAAGGAAAAATTAATGAAAATTCCATATTCTGAATGTTACTTAAATTCAATCACTGCAGCAATTGGTAAACAGAATAAAGGTAAAACATTAACGATATTAAAACAAATTATCATTATTGCTAACACTTCCCCCTATTCACATGTGTTAATTTATATCAACCGTTCAGGTTACCTTCAGATGATACATTTGAATCTTTAAAGCATTTAATCAAAATTCCAATTATTTATTTATCACAAGAAGAAGCAGAAGATTATTTAAAAAACTTTTTAATGTATAAAGAATTATATAATACAATCAAGAAGCAAGGATTAGAGGATAAAATTATTGATAAACAACGGGATGAATTATTTGAAACACTTTCTATTTCAAATTTTGATAGAGAATTTTTGCATTCACTCATTTTTCTAGATGATGCAGTGAAATCAAAACTAATAACAAATGAGAAATCATATTTTAATCAGTTATTAACTCAATGTCGACACATTCAGTGTTCATTCTTTATGGCTGTTCAATACTTCAAAGCATTAAGCACAAACATTAAATCAAATCTATCAACCTTTTCATTTTCAGTGGGTTTAGTCGTCAACAGTTGAACGTTATGCTTTATCAAGTGAATTTACCAATGAGCATTAATGAACTTTACACACAATATCAGCAATTAGGTGAACATGGAAAAATAATAGTTGATTTAAATAAAGGAAGTGTTAAATTTGATTAACTTTTTATAATTAATTTTTATTTTTTATTTATAATTAAACATGACAGAAATAGCAAATCTTCTACAGGTTCCATTAAAACAAGGGACAAACAAAAAGGGTGCATATAATAGAACTATGAAAGTTCCTGATGGAATGAAAGAATTAGTTCATATTGTTGCTGGTCTTCAAAAAGATGTTAAACAAATGAGAAACGTTTTAACATTACCAGAAGCTCAAGCATATGCCAAACGTCATGGTCCAAATTGGGAAGCACACGAAGCAGACATTACGGGTCCAAATGGAAAACCTGATGGTATAAATGAAGTTTTCGTTACTGATGGTCAAGGTAATATTAAAGTCATAAATGGTTATAAATTAACTATATCTGATTATCCTAAACGTAAAGCATATAATGAACGTTATCCTATGCAATTTGATGAAAATGGAAAAGCTGTTAAACAATACATTGGAGAAGGTGAAAATGGTCCAATTAATTCATACCGTCATAATCCATATTCTTATTTCAATGAAGAATTAAATGCTATTGAAGAGGGACCGGATGGATTACCACGATATTCTAACAGTTTGATGGTCAATATGCAAATATTAGACCTGAAATTTCAGCTAAGAAATTCTTTAAAGTTGCTTTATTCGATCCAGTTTTCGCAAATGTTAAAGATGAACTTAAACAGCAATTCCAACCAATTATAGTAGCAAGAATTGCATCAGGTGCTTTATCTCAAGCATTCAAAGATTTAATTAAGAAACCATTATATCAGCAACGTGGTTTAACTTATGATTTAGTTAAGGAATCAGATAAAAGAAAATTTGAGAAATCAGATGATTATAAGAATGCAATTAATGAATATATTCGGTCTATTAATTTCGATGAAAATGCTAAAAATCAACTTCATGAACAAATACAGGGAATAATAGATTCAAAAGTTCCAGCAAAATAAAAGTTCCAGCAAAATAAAAGTTTAAATATATTTTTTTTATTCGATTATAAATGAGAAGACGTTTCACTAGTCAAAAGAACACTAACGCAAAAGCAGAGATTACGGTTGGTTATAACGTAAATGATGATAAATCACGAATTATTCAAAATGTTAAAGTTAATGTTAGCCCTGAATTAACAAGGTCAGCAACTCAACCAAATTTATTAACTCGTGACTTACCGAAGAATGAGGAGAATGAAGAACCTGTTGAAATTCCCAATTATCCAACATACCCCCCACCTCTTTCATCAAACATCGAGAACCCATATAAAATAGACATTAATTCTGAATTAATGAAAATTTACCGTGATATAATAATTAATAATTATGATTCAATAATAAATTTAATTGACCAATCCGGTTTAATTATTTTACCTTATGAATCATTAATTCACATTATTGCCATTCTTTGTGATGTTCAAGATTCAGACGTTAAGATTCAATTTTTCATAGATGATGAGGTTTCATGCTGCGGAACAGTTGCAAAAATAAATCCTATAAAGGATATTAGCACAATTAAGATATCAAAGAACGGAACAACAACTGAACTTCATTTAACATATAATGATATTTATAATAAAATAGTTGATGAATATAAAATATCACTTGAAAAATTCTTTGTTAAGGCTATTTAATATTCAAGCATTAACATTATTGAATAATAATCCTTTGAATCATAATCAATAATAATTGACCTTTCACCAGTTTCTATCGTTTGTTTTATTTCTTTTTGTTCCCCACTATCTGGATCGGTCATTGTAATTGTTTTTGTTATAGTATCAGCTTTATCTTTAACTTCAATCTTTTTTCCATCGGGATATTTAAACCAAAATTCCAAAAATTCGATATTGTCAATCTGTTCATATTTTAATCTATCAATTACATTTTTAATACCATCTGAAAATCTTATGAAATGGTCATTATATGGGTTTGATTGAACTAAATTTGAATGAAGTGAAATATAACCTGTTGATGAATATGACATTGACTCATATTTTCTGAAAACACTAAAATTTATAACATGAATGAATTTCTTATTCGTTGAATTTATGAATTCTTGAGGTAATCTTATTCTAGTTTTATTTATCACTGGAAAATAACGCTTTACCATATTTTTAATCGTAATAAAAATGTCAATTATCAATATTATTTCGAATAATAACTGTGAATTAAATTTAACAGTTAGCGGAATTTATAATGTTACTCTCGTTTCTGTGAGTGGTAAATTTAATCCCATTCTTTTAGACCCTTCAGATTATATATCATTTATTAAAGATGACCATGAAAAAACGTATGATATGTATATAAATAATGTGATAGCGAAATGGGATATTAGCATGATTTTAAGTTATTTAAATGAATCATTTATCGTATGGTATGAAGAAAATTTTAAATCAAAACCTGATAAGCTTTTTGAACTTGATGAAATAAATAACCTTATTAAATTCCCGCTGAAAATTAAATTTTGTACTCCTCATCTTCGTTCATTGTTGGGAATATTAAATTTTGAAAAAAGATGTTGGGGATGTTTTGTATTCTGACACCGGTTCCAATTTCATTTTAATCAAATGTGATAAAGTTAATACCCCAATGAGATTTTCACATCAAACATTAGACCCTAACTCTTACCCATCAATACAAAACATTTTATCCATCAACTTAAACACATTTTCTTTATCATATCCGTTTCAATTATCCGGGAATTCATTTATTCTTCATTCAAAAGATTTATCAAATATTAAATTTAGAATAACTGACCTATTTGATTGTGATTTAGAATTCATGAATGAAATATTATGGCAATTTCAAATAGAAAAAATAGCTGATGAGATAACGGATTAAATATTTATTTTTAAATCATAATAAATGATTAAACAACAGCAACTTAAGGCACAAAGCGCCCAGGTCCTTCAGACCATTACATACGCCATATATGCATATAATTCAAAGACGGCAGAACAAACGCAAAGGTTGAAATATGGAGATTTGGAGATAGTATTGAAAAATGACCATTTCGAATTCGTTTGCAAAGGTGGTGCAGTGATATCAAATATAAAAGAAATTTTATTTATGAATTCAAAAATTAAAGGAATAACGGATGATATAACATCAATTCCACCAGAAGAACAGAGATATTACGCATTAAATGCATTTCCTAAAGTTTTGAAGATTGGAAGATTTAATTTAAATGAGGAATTCATAGAGGGTTTCCTAAATGACATAATGAAGAAAGCAGATAAGGAATATGTGGATAGTGAGTTAAATAAGAAAGCAGATAAGGAATATGTGGATAGTGAGTTAAATAAGAAAGCAGATAAGGAATATGTGGATAGTGAGTTAAATAAGAAAGCAGATAAGGAATATGTGGATAGTGAGTTAAATAAGAAAAATAGGAGAAATAAGAAAAATAAGGAATATGTGGATAGTGAGTTAAATAAGAAAGCAGATAAGGAATATGTGGATAGTGAGTTAAATAAGAAAGCAGATAAGGAATATGTGGATAGTGAGTTAAATAAGAAAGCTAATATATCATTTGTTAATGAAGAAATAAAACAATCAGAGGTCTATTTTACTCCACCATTTTTAAATTTTATGAAATCATCAGATAAAACCTTTGATATAGATTCTTTTGAATGGATATGTTTCGATGGAGTGACCATGTATTTATTTTATACAGCTGGAGTGCTTTATTATTTTAAAACAAATGATTTTAAAAACTATGAATCATTTACTCCATCTGTTTTAAATCCTGATACACGAGAGCCAATCATTAATCCAATAATTTTATATGTTGAATATAATAACGGTAAATTTATGGGAATGATAACGGTTGGAGATGATTTTTACCCTTGTTATTCATTCGATTGTATCCAATGGTTCAAATGTAATTTAAATCAAGATGCTAAATTTAAATATTCAAATAATCCTATTAGATGCGTTAATAATAAATGGGTACTAATTTATGAAGTCAATCAAATTTTCATTAGTGAGGATGGGATAAATTATTATATGTTTAGTATGATGTCATCAGATTTGAAAATTGATTATACAAGTAAGTGGTATTACATTAACAACATGTATTTTATCCTACAAAATGATAAAATTTATAGATCATCTTCAATATCACAAGGTCAATTTGAACAAATTTTTCAAGCTGATGGAGACATTGAAGCTTTATGTTATGGATCAAATGTTTATGTTCTCGTTTCAAGTAGAATGGTCTATTCATATCCTGTAAGTTATAACAGACATATTTATTTATCACAGGATTTATCAAATTGGGAATTGGTTTATTCATTCACTCCAAAATTTACTCGAAATTATAGATTTACAAATTTATTTTATATTGATGGGTATTTCATTGCTTTAGGATGTGGTGATTTAGTAAATATCAGTAGTGATGGAAGAAACTGGTCTGAAATCACAAAATTTCAAGATGTTAGAAAAGCAATTTTCAAAAATAATACGTTAATATTGATAACAAGACCAGTTTTAAATACTCACCAATATTCAATATTATATAATAAATTCAATATTCATAATGGATTAAATACAATTCTTGAGATGATTTACCCCATTGGTTCTTTATATACATCAATGAACTCAACAAATCCGGCAAGTGTTTTAGGTTTTGGTGCATGGAAGCAGATTGTAGACAAATTCTTATACTGTGCTAACTCTTCAAAGCAAACAGGAGGTTCGAAGAAAATTAAAGAAGCAAACCTTCCACCGCACACTCATACAGGAACTACAAACACAACAGGTAATCATTCACATTCAATAACAAAAAGAGGTTATAGAAATCTTGCAGCAGGTTCGGATAGACAGGGAATGGATAGATATGATATTTCAACTGACCCAGTAGATTCAAGCGCAGGTATTTTCTGTGGAACCGCAGGAAATCATTCACACACTTTCACAACAAATCCAACAGGCTCGGGTGAAGATTATATGCCTCCATTTATGACTGTATTTGCATGGTACTGAGTTCAATAAACACACTTGAGCCTACTTTGCAGGCTTACCGAATGAACTAAATATATTTTATGTCTGTAATTAATAAGGTAATGAAGTAATGGATGAACTGCAGAAATATATTTTATCGTATATGATTACGTTAATGTTTACGTTAATGGTTACGTTAATGGTTTCAGGTTATTCAATAATTAATTATTTTTGAAGAACTGAAGGTGCTACCATGTTACCATGTGCTACCAGGTCATTTAACTTCTCTGAAAAAATGAGACAACATGACATTTTGACAACAACACAGGAAATATATGTTTACGTTAATGCTTTGTCAAGACTTCTTCATCGTAATGAGTGTAAATGACCCAAAAATAATGTTTAGGGTAGATGGTTAGATCTAACCTCATTTCTACCCTCATTTCTACCCTCATGAATTTTCATGAATTTTATATATTAATGTTTTCGTTAAGCCACTTTGTGCCGTCAGTCAGTCAGTTTAGGAAAGACTTTAGAAAGTTGTTGGAAAATAAGTCCTGGGAAGAGTATTATAAGGCATTTTATGAGCTTACTAAGGGCGTTATAAATGAATTCAAAGGTATTTACATACATCCTGACCTCGTTCATTTTGTTGCTGAATTCAGCAAAAATAATGTTTAGGGTAGATGGTTAGATCTAACCTCATTTCTACCCTCATGAATTTTCATGAATTTCCTTAAGACAGAAGAAATAAAGTTATTTTTATTTTTTATTTTGTATAAAAGATATGATTTCAACAATCGGCACAACAACAATTCAAGCCACGAACGGCGGGACTCTGTCCACAACTACGGCACCAAATTCATTAATCATGAATCCTACGTCAATGTTGGTAGAGATGAAAAACTTCATTCCTTCTTCATATACTTTTGAAACAGAAATACAAAGAATAAAGCAAGAACTTTTAACAAGTAATTTAGACTGTAGTGCGAAAGATGAAACAAATGGAGAGGAGCTATATGAAATGCAAGATATCATAGACCATTTGCCTAAATTACCGGAAGTTCAGCAACAAAAACTAACTAATCCTGAATTCGATGAAATTGAAGTTAAAGTTACTGATTCAGTAGAAATAAAGAAGTTCATACGTAAAGTAAATTATGAATTCCTTGGTTTTCATTGCAACCATAAAGTTATGAACAAAGATTGCGACATGGTTTATAAAAACATTTCTGACATATATAAATCTGAGGAGTTTAAGACTTACGATAACTTTGTTTCATTAGCTGCTGAATGTGTGTGGCAGATAAGAGATAAAGACAGAAGAGGCAAAGTATGGAATGGACAAATAAAACCAACAACTTTTGAGTTAAAGAAAGCCATTGATGCTTTAGTTATTTTAGCTGGTAATGTTTCAATGTATAACGCAAAAATGAATCCGCAATGCTCAAAATGTAAAGCAGCAATGAGGAAATATAACTACTCACTAAAAGAGATAGAAGGAATGAGAAACGACTATGCTGACTTAAAGAAAGAAGTAGAAAAGCCAGCAGAAGATAAAATGGACATGTTGACATTTCTTAATAAAAACTATCCCACAGCTGATGATTTCCTTTTATCTGATGTCAAGAAGAAGTATAAAGAAACTTTCGGCATTGTTAAAATTTTTGATATATTAACTGAAGAAATAGAAGCTACAAAAATATTTAAAATTTCACGAATTCATAACGTATATCACGTTAAACGTTTGTAAATCTTGAGGGTAGAAATGAGGGTAGATATCAGGTTAGATCTAACCATCTACCCTAAACATTATTTTTGTCTGAAAAATGACCAAATTTCACGAATTTCATTAGTTAGAAAAATCACGTTAAACGTTTGTAAATCTTGAGGGTAGAAATGAGGTTAGATCTAACCATCTACCCTAAACATTATTTTTGTCTGAAAAATGACCAAATTTCACGAATTTCATTAGTTAGAAAAATAACGCTAATTTTTTCTAAGAAAATTTTTTATTTTGTATGTAAAGACAGAAATGACAAACATTGAGTTTGAAACAGTTAGAAAGATTGACAATGACACCAAAGTGGTTAGAATAGGTGATTTAAACGTAAGATACTCAAAGAAATACAACAAATATTCTTTGTCAGACATTATAACACCATCTGGAAAGAAAACAAAGGACTGGGTTAGAATTGCTTCTACTCAGAAAATTTTGACAAGAAATCCTGAGCTTATGATATCAGTAGCATTTCATGGAACAAGAGCATATCTTATAGACAAAAGTCTTATACCAATAGTTTTGTTATGGTTAGACCCAGTTGTTGGATATAACTTCATAACTTATGGTTCATTCGATACGGAACGTTGCAGTGAAGGCTTACTTTACATCGTTCAGAAACCGAAGGACTTCAATACAAAGAGATATAAGATAGGAAGAACATATAATATAACTCAAAGATATGACAGTACAGTCAATAGAGTCAAGGTTGTGTTCGTTAATGATATGAGAGCTGCAGAAACAGAACTACTTGAAAAGTTTGAGAAAAGGTATGGTGCTCCCATGAAAGGTAAAGAAACGTTTGAAGTAGATGAGATAGATAAAGCTATAAAATTATTTGACGAAGTTGCTGAAAAATACATGTAAAGCGTTTATTTTTGGTCTTTTGTGAAAGTCAGAAAATAAAGTTAGTTTTAAAATTATTTTTATTTTGTATGAAATGACAGTAATGTCAACATCAGAGAAGAATAAATGGTAAACAAACATGGTGTTATGTTTTGAAAGAAGAAATGAAAGGATTATATAAACAGGTTGAACCAAACGATAATGAGGATTCATTTACTGACGATGAAATACCTGTAAATGATGCTTTATAAAGTATGATTTGAATTTATTTTTGCATTAATCCCACTGTGTTGTCAAAATGTCATGTTGTCTCATTTTTTCAGAGAAGTTAATTAACCTGGTAGCACATGGTAACATGGTAGCACCTTCAGTTCTTCAAAAATAATTCATAAGTGCCTTCCCCTGCTGTGTTGTCAAAATGTCATGTTGTCTCATTTTTTCAGAGAAGTTAATTAACCTGGTAGCACATGGTAACATGGTAGCACCTTCAGTTCTTCAAAAATAATTCATAAGTGCCTTCCCCTGCTGTGTTGTCAAAATGTCATGTTGTCTCATTTTTTCAGAGAAGTTAATTAACCTGGTAGCACATGGTAACATGGTAGCACCTTCAGTTCTTCAAAAATAATTCATAAGTGCCTTCCCCTGCTGTGTTGTCAAAATGTCATGTTGTCTCATTTTTTCAGAGAAGTTAATTAACCTGGTAGCACATGGTAACATGGTAGCACCTTCAGTTCTTCAAAAATAATTAATTATTGAATGACCTAAATCCATTAACGTAAACATTATTTTTGGGTCATTTACACTCATTACGATGAAGTCATGACAAATCATTTCCGGGACTGTTGTCAAAATGTCATGTTGTCACAAACTTTAGAACGGCATAATTTAAATTTTTATTTTTATCATAAATGGATACCCCACAAGCTCAAAATTTACCACGAATCATAACAAGGGAGGAAACGATAAAAATGATGCAAGAACTTGCTAAAAATAACAAACCACTAAAACTGAGAAAATGTGGTTATGCAGTAATGATGGAAAGAGAGATGTTGTCGAAGAGGAATAAAAATTAAATTTGGATTGAGTTTAAAAATTCATCTTTATTAAATTCATCTCTTCCAATCAATTTATTTATTCTATTAAATTCTTTTATTTTTGCTTCACTCAGTTTAAGGATTGAACGGTAAGTTTCTAATTTTTCAACCCCACCGCATTGTGGCTTCTTTTTGTAATAGCATATTTTTGATTTAATTCTGTTTAGTTTCTTTTTATATTCATCGTCTGGACTCTTGACTGCTTTGTTGTCACTCATTTCTTACGAATTAAAAAAATTAAATATTATTTAAATATAATGGAGTAATAAAATAAATCGGAATTTCTATTAATTTATTGTCAACTTCAACTAATGCATTGCCGTTAATATATCTAACAAATTCAGCTATTGTGTCAAATCTTCGTCTTCTTTTTGTCATTGATTTATCAGTTTTTCCATAATCGAGATGAATCAAAACTTTATCCCCTTGTTTAAAATTCATGAGCCCCGAATTAATTTGTTCACGTTTAACATCATTCAACCTTTCCATTTGCTTTCTAATATATTCCCATTCTTTTGAAATATCATTTTTCATTTCCACTGGTTTCATGTTTATAGTTCTATGCCATGTATTATTGTAATAATATACTAACTGTTGTATGATGGAGTCATGATTTCCATCCCAGTATATCTGACCGTTAACCCCTAACGCATCTCTAAGAGTTCTCATTACCGCATCAACTATTTTATTATGAAACGTATATGGAGAGGATGAAAAGAAAAAATTAATTTGTGGGAAATAATGAGCCATAGCTGCCTGAAATCCTTTATCACCATCACCCCTGATATTATCTACTCTTTCATGATCTAGTAAGTATTGTATAGCTCTTCTTGTTTCCTGTTCTGTTTTCCCTTTCACTGGAATGCAATATAAATATCTAGTGTTAATGTTAATGACAAATAAATAAGTAACGTTTCCTTTTGAATATTCCAGATGATCGATTTCGTATGAATATGGATATGGAGCAAATGAAGGGCGACTAAATTTTTCCTTTAACGGTTGAATTTTTGGGTCAATTGGTTTATTTAATATTTTGAAATCCTTTTTAAAATCTTTTTGTTTCTTTAATGTTTGAAATGGATATAATAAAGTGAATGATGAAGGATTAACTGAAGGAGGCGATACTGTCGTTGGAGGTTTTGGTATTGTAGGTGGTTTAATTTTATCTGCTTTGATTTTGGATGATGAAGTTTTAGTTGTTGATTTTCCTTTCATTAATTCTGGATGTATTCTATTCATTTGTTTTAAATATGTTGTATATAAAGGTTTGATATACTTTCCTGCTTCGAGTTTATGTTGAAGGATGAATTCCAAAAGTTGATCTTCATTTAAAAGTCGGGCTGAATGTGGTTTAACTAATGAATCATAAATTAAAGCTTGTGCATCATTTATGGTCTGAAGGACTTGGGCGTTTTGTTCCTTTTGTTTTTGTTCCTTTTGCTTTGGTTTTTGTGGCTCAGGATTATATAAATTATATAATTCATCAATATCTTCTTCTGTTAATACTTTATTTTTGAAATCTTTCAACTGTTTAAGTTGTGATTTAGTTTTTCCCTTTGAATATTCATTATTTTTAATTTTGTCTTTAATTTCAGAAATTATTTTATCATGATATTTCAAAACTTCATTTTTATAATATGGATAATAATATTCCATATCATCACCCGTTATATTTTTATTATGTTTTTGGAGATATGATTTTAATTCATAATAACTAAGAAAATTTTGATTAAGTACTAAATCACCAATTAAAATTTTTAATTCTGTGTTATTCATTTATATAAAAATAAAATAAATGTTTAAGGGTGCCCACCTTTTTGAATCATAGTATCAAAACCATCATTAACGGTTCCTTTTGTCTCTTCTGGGGCATTTCATTAAAAATAAAATATTTATTGTATTAAATAAATGGCATACAACATCCATTTTCACAACATACAGCCTTAGTGTGTGCTCCTGTTAATGCAGTCTTACCGATTGTTAAGCGAGTCATTGACCCGTTTTTAAGTTGTAAATTAATATTCTGACCATCAAATATCACTTTATTATTTATTATATCCAAATAATTTTTAGGTGTTAATTGCTTATTTTGTCGTAAACTAACACCTTTCATTTTTTGTGCAATCTTTTTAAAATCACTTCCATCAATTGAACCGTTGAATGATGTATAACATTTAGGGCATAAAGCAACCATGTTATCACCTTGTTTCTCAATTGCTAAACCCAATAACTTCTTCTCATGTGCTTTTTCTTCAGCTTTATTCTTTAATTTAGGTTTAAATTTCTCATCAAAACAGAAGAAATCAAAAGGTGCGAATTTGAAAATGTTTTTATCATAAAATTGTTTATCTGTAACAATTGCTTGAAATGCTTGAGTGTTAGGAAGATTTGGGTCGCCAGCAATAGCCCAATAAGATGAATCAGTATCACCTTCAATGAAATGAAAACGATTAACATCCATGCATTTATACATAAAATCATAAATGAAAACTAAATACCAGTATTTTGCGTTATCTAAAGTGAAGAATGCCTCTTGTAAACATGTATCACATCTATAAAATCTATCTTTGAGCATCACTTGATACGTATCTTCACCTATTTCTCTTATGTTTTTAAACTTATTTGACATACATGCAACGCGTGCCTTCTGTGCATTCATTATTTTAGTCTTTGCGTAATTTTGTGTATTCATTGCATCGTAACCATATGATCCATTAAGTGAAATTTGCAAAATAAACTTTTTCCTTTATTTCCTTCTAATTCAGCCTTTTGTCTTTCGTTCATAAATTCGTTCGCAAATTCATTAAAACAAGTGTTTTTAGTAAATGTTAAAATTGATTGAATGTCATCGACGATAAAATGAAATCTGTCTATTAGATACCATAGATAATAAGAAGAAAATGGTTGATATTGGTTGTGTGTTGATGCTAACTGAGTTAATTTTCTCTGTTTCTGGTCAACTGGTAGATTGTTTGATTTCATGTAATTATACATAAAACTGCCAATTGTTTTTTCATCTGTGATAATATCTAAGTTTCTTATTATCGGTAAAAAGTTTATGTAATCATTAATGTATTTTTCATCAATGTGACCCTTTACTTCAGCCACGAATAAAGTATTTTTCTTCTTAATTATTCCCAGTGCTTTTGCTTTCTTTGTTGCTGTATCACAAATGATAACACCATTCAATCTTCCCGGCATATACATTTTATGGTCAGTATATTGAATGAAATCATGAGGATTAGATGAAAATGATGAAGGATATAATGAATTAAAGTCAACTCCAACGAAATGAGTCATGATGTTGGAAGTGTCCTCATTTGATACAGTTTTAGTTTCTGGATTATATGAAAGTTTATTAATGTGCGTGATTCCTTTAAGATTTACTCTATGTTGAACATTTGATAGACCACCAGTAATTCCATTACGGAGAATGTGATAAGCTTCAACTGAATCTAAAGTCATTGGTAAATTATTTTTTAATGCATAATTTCTTAAATTGATTCTTAAACGTTGAACATCTTCATCTTTATTTGATTTTACGACATTGCAATAACAACACATTAACTGACAATTTTCTTTAGTATGTGGTTTTTCATTATCGATTCTATCCAATGTTGGTTTATTAGCATATGTAAACGCTTTACCACACATTTTGCATTTAGATGAAAGGATTAAATCGTGATAGTATTGATAATCATCCATTGAAACATTATTTTTAGTATCTCTTTCTGCTTTTTCATCTTGTTTCTTATATGATTCAATTTTATATTTCCAATACTTTTTCGTTAATTCAAAACTTGATTCTATCTCTTCCTCAGGATATTTTTCATTAGGATTAAAGTCTTTATATGCTAAAGCGTAACGAATCATTGAAGCATTCGATGATAAAGAAAGATTATGAAGCGTGTCAATTTTATAAACAAATGTTTCTTCAATAATTTTATCAATTGGGTCAATCATAATTTCAACATCTTTATTGCAATAATGAATAAAATATTCTAATCTATCCTTAAAGTTTTTAGCATCATTGAGATAGATTTGATAATCACTATCTGATATAGTTTCTTGGGTTAATGCTGAATAAAATGAATCTTTCGTGAATGGTTTCTCTTTATATAATTCTTCTTCGTAATTTTCCCATGTGATAAATTGATAAGGGAAAAAGGATTTAACACGTGTTTTATTGTTTCCGAAATCTTGAGTGAATTGGTCTAACGTCCCACCCGCTATATAATTTCTGATGTCAATAAATCTCAATTCATATGGAACGTTTGTTTTCTTTACAATGACTTGCTTAAATTGTGAAGATGAACCCAGCATTGATTTTATTTTCCATTTTGCAGTGTTTAAATCACGAAGAATTAAATTTAAATCAAACTTTCCCGAATTAAAACCTATGATATTCACTTTATTGAATTCCTCATCTAGAAGTTCTTTAAATGCTTCCTTCTGTTTTTCATTTAATGTATGAGACTTCATTAATTCTTCATATTGTTCAATATTTGATTCAACAACTAATGAACAGGTTGAAAATAAAAACTCAATCCAATCAGAAATAAAAGAATCACTCGAAGTTAAGCAAAAATTCCTCGTATACGTTTTATCATTTAATTTAACCGTTGATGATACCATGAATGGTTTTAAGTAAGCGTTCAAAGTTGCACACTCAGAAAGTTGTAATTCTTCTTTAGTCTCTAATGTTTCAAAGTCAAAAGTAATATAATATCTTGTCGGTTGATAATATTCCTGCAAATTATGAGCTAATAACCACTGATATATCTTCTGTTTCGTAATATGTGGTGTATATGGTTGCTGTGTCTTTTGCAACTGAACGTCTTGAATTAATCTCCCATTATTTTCTTTACATTTCTCACAATGCTTTAAAAATCTTCTTTGGTTTTTCCTTTCTGGATCATCGCGGATAGAATAAACTTCTTCTTTACAATATGGACAAACTTTATAGCCAGTGAGTGCTTCAACGTCTGTTATTCTGTCAGCGTGAAGTTTTCCACATGGACTCTGTGTTAATAAAATATTTACTGTTTTAAATTCTGGATCTATCATTATTGATTCCACTAATGGAAAGTCTACCTTATTTATGTCCACGTCTTCTGGTTGAGGATCACAATAATAGAAATCAATATTAACATTTAACATTCTTGCTAATCTCTCACTTTCTGATGAAATGTCAAACCCTTCATATGCATCTATTGCTTCATTTAAATAGCTTCTACGAGTTTTAGGATTAACACCATCAGGAATGTTATAGAAGCGTTTAAATAACCTTCTACCTTCTGCTCTAATTTGATTATCATTCATTTTAGCTGTTCCGTTTTTGTTCATTTATGTAAGAATAAAAAATAAAGTTTATTTTTTAAAGTCCATAAAATGAATTAAGAACACATAAATTTTTATCATCCGCGACGTGACGAATACATTTTAATTTACTCAAGAATGCGTACCCTGCTACATTAAATCTAATTCCTGTCTTATTTAATTTCACAACTTTGAAAAGGAATGTATGAATAGCTATAAAATGATGAGAAGATGTTTTATGGGTTGCTTCCATTTTTTCTGAAATAAATGAATAAATATAATGTTTATAAGTTTTCATATCTTTTTATTCTTAATAACGAATGGTATAGACCTTTCCACTTCATCTTCCTTCGGTGCTGTTCTTTCATATGAAACATTATTAGTATCTTCAATAATGAAACAATCACACAAAATTTTATATGTTCCAATGGTTTCTTTTGATATTTTATCTAATAAATCAAAAACTTTATCAACACCTGTGCATTTATTTAAATAATAATTTGTGTAAATATCATGATCTTCTTTCTTAATCGTATTAGTTGCATATGTCACGTTTTTAAGAGCTTTTTTGAATTTCTCAGAATCGAGAGGGGGTGAAAGTAAGATACAAGGGTATTCTTCATTATCAATAAATTGTAACTTATGTTTACGTATAAATTTAGTACCTTCTTCTGAAAGTGTTTCATCTATTTCACCATCTAATAAATTTTGTGTTGATTCTGAGACATAATTTTTATATCTTTCTTCATGAGATTTCTGAACTGCTGATTCTGAAGCTGGGATATTCATTAAACCCTCTACTTCATTTTCATTATATTTTTCAACTTCTCTTAATTCCTTAATTCTTTCATCTATTTCATCTCTTATTTTTTCCAGTCTTTCAATTTCATTGTATTCATCATCATCTTTAATCCGTTCTTCATAATATTCAGGGAAAACATCAGGTTCTTTAGGTTTTTCTTCTTCAGATGTGGGATATAAGAAATTTATAACATCATCTTTATTCATTTTTCCATCATAATCTAAATCATTTAATAACTCGGCAAATTTTTGACAATTTCTTAAATAATATTTACTAACTTCATAACACATCTCATCTAATATATCCTTTATTTCCTCGTTTGTGAATCCTGATGTTTTCACGTCGTTAGTTTTGACACTCATTTCATACAAAATAAAAATAAATTATTCAAAAATGTAAGGAGTAGGTGACAAAAGTGCATACTCTTAAACAACCGTCGGATTTCCGGGTGAAATCGTGACACACTTTCGTCTTTCGTAGGCAGTGGTGGTTGTTACAAAAGGTAACTTCGAATGTAGCGTGAAATCTGCAAAAAAAATTCTGAAATTTGAATGGAGAACACAAAAATTGAATAGTTTACGTCAATAAAAAAGAGAAAAATGAAGCCAATGTGTCTCGAACCTAGGACTTAGAGCAGCAATCCCACTGTTTATAACATTACACTACATGCATCGCTCACCTCAGTGAATGAGATCAACTATATGATAACTTTTTTCCCATTATATTCTTGTGGAAAAGTGACAAATAGCAACTTTGACCCTCTCTCAAAATGTAAGACATGAATTTTTAAAGTTTATTTTTAAAAAATTTTTAATTTTTTATTTCATTATGGTAGTGAATCTTTTATTCATGAAAATAATTATTTCTAATTTCTTTTACTCTCTCGTACATACTAGATTTGAAGAATTCGGAACATTTCCCATAATCTCCTAAATGTTTTCTTATCCCTAACGTGTGCCAGTTATTATATGAAACTGAATAAACTTTATCTTTATCTTTACACCTTTCATCACTTCCAATATATTTATATCTCAGTTTTGATTTAGCATTTTCATATTCATTAGCGTTTAATAATTCACAGTCTTCCTTTTTAAATATATGTTTAAGATATTCAGGATTTAATACTCTACGTTTATATGCTCCTAACTTAGTTCTAAAGGTTTTTCTACAAAATTTAGGAATTCCATCCTCTTTAATGTCATCAATGATTTCCATTTCATTATTTTCAATTTCTTCTTCTCGTTTATGAGGTCTTTGATTATGACTCCATTGATTCCATGAAATTAAATATTCTTTATCATTATATTTATACCTCATTAGCTTATTTTGGCTTTCATATTCATTTAATAATTCACAATCTTCATTTTTAAATTGAAGTTTAATCCATTCAGGATTTAAACAATGTTTAATTAATCGCGGAATATCTGACATCATCTATATATAGCTTCTTTTATAAAAGATAAAAAATAAATTATTTTAAAATTAATGTTAATTTTTTAATGCGTTTATGTTTGGGCTGAGTGTAAATGTCTTACAATTTTGAAAATTTTTTAAATCTTGATTTATTCAAAAACGTAAGAATAAAAACCGTAAGAATCATACATTTTTTACTTCATATGTTAATTTTTTAATGATTTATAAATAAATATATTTTAATGCATCGTCTATATATAGATGTAACAAAAAAAGTCACACAACCCTTCCACATATACTACTTATTTTCTCGATGAATATGCAATAAAATTTGATTTTTACCTTATCAATATACTTCATATAATATACACATGTTCATGTAAAAACTTTTTTCCAAAATCCTCAGGAATTAAGGGATTTTTGAATTTTAAGAATTTTTTCGAATTTTTTCGAAAAAAAAAATATTTTCAGAACAGCCTTAACGGCTAAGATTTAGGAACAATGTTAAGTATCAAAAAGAAAGGAGGTCTGATATAGACAACATATATCGTTGAAGGTTGAAAAAATCTCTAATATTTGAGCCCAAAATTTCAAATTTTAATTTTTTGAAAAAAGAGGCCACCCGTATGTACGTTTATTTGAGAGGAGGAGGATTATATTTTTGAAAGGGTGAAACATTATGAATATGTTAATTATATAATAATATGTATTATTATAAAAAAGAAAAAATAAAGCACGTTAAAATTTTTCTTTCTTGATTTTTTACAAAATCTACTTAGAATTATGCAAAATATGACTAAATAATTATAAATTTCAAGTTAAATTTTAATTTTGATAAATAATTTAAATTTCAAAATATCAAGTTCAGTTCGACTATGCATGTAGTAATTACTCAATAAAGTTCCAAAACCCTATTAAAATATATGAACATTTTCAACATTTTAATGTTTTTATTTAAAAATTTGTTGGAATATGAGCTTCAAACAATTATTATGTAAATAAAAATAATTAAATATATGTATTTATTCGTATTACAACCGTAGTAAGTCGATTCTTCCTTTCTTCTACTGAGGTTTGAATTTGATTTCGAATTGTAAAGAGATTCAAAGGGAAAATACTAGCGGATAAAAACTACCTCCATGAAAGGGTCATAATGGAGTCAAGTTGTATTTTTTGATATTTTTTGCTTTTCGAGCCTAAATAGGTAGCCAAGATAATGCCTAAAAATAAGGTTCTATATTCTGAAGTTTGCATGATCCTCTCGTGTGCACCCTTAATGAAAAAGATAATAAGGGAAAAAACCGCTCTTCATTATGCAATATGCAAAAACTGTAAAGAAACAGCTGAACTAAATATTTCATATGCTGCAAATATCATTGGCAGAGTTGCATGAAAAAAAATATCAAAATTTTCAATATCTTAGAGATGCTGTCAAATCTGAAGATAATCTGTCAGATAATTTGCACCCTTCCGATTTTCATGAATTTACTTTCAATCCATAGACACTAAGCAAAAGCTCTCAAGGTCAATGTACCTGTTAAAAGATTGCTTATTTTCATTTTTTGAACTGAAGAATCAATCAAGAATAAAATGTAATGTATTAGTCGAATCTATTTATGGAATTAACATTCTTAAAACAGAAGATGGAAAAGAAGACAAGACATACTATTAAAATCGCTACATTATAAGACTAAAAATATTTTTTCTTCGTCTTTAATTAAATCAAATTAGCTATCTAAATTTCATATTTTCGTGACTTACTTTTGACCATTTTCGGTTGCAATTTTTAATCGTTTTTAAACTAATAGCATTTATCAATTTGTGTTATATTATATTGCGGATTGATCCATTTAAATCGCCGAAAATTCAATGATCAAATAATTTCAGAAATAAATTATGCTCAAAATTCGATTTTAAGCAGTTAAATTTATTCCTTATTAGCAATATATATAATAATTTCATAAATCACATCGAAATGCTGGACTGCTTGTCCTTTCAGAAAAATTCAATTTGATTTTTGAAAGCCAGAATATTCATGCAAGGAAACAAATGCTTTTGCAGAGATATTATGAGATTTTAACAGAACTTATTTTTATGATGCGACGATAAAGTATGATGCTATGAATAGATATTGGTTATGAAACTATCCTTTTTAAAAAAGAAACAAGAAAAGAAACCTATACCTACTATTAAAATCGCACCATTGCCTGTTGCAGAGCAAGTTATGCTAAATAAAGCAGAGTCTTCAAATCCTTCCACCAAAGTAATTCAAACTGAAAAGAAACCTAAGCTACATGATGCTAATAATGATAATAGCATTCAAAACATTGATAGTTATACCGAAATTCTGATTGATATAAAATTTTGGAATCCAAAATTTCCAATATTAAGCAAACTGATACTTCAACATATGACACAGATCAAAAGAAATGTAAAGAGATACTTTCTACTTCAAGACATTATCGAAAAGCAAAATAATACGATTCTTCAAAAATATCAGAAGATCGAAAGCTCAATGCTTGATGATTTCACAAGGTCCATATCGAAGTTAGTCGATACTCATACAAATATCTCGATTTGTGCTAAATCAGAACTAAATTACTCAGCAAATCTTTCCAAAATTGCAGAATTAGAACTGGAGAACTTCAGATTAGATTCATTAGCTACTTCATTACAGAAAGAATACGACAAATTGTTTGAAACAAATAGAAAAATATTTTATCAGATTTCAAGAAGTAAATTCGATACCAAGCAAGTTGAAGACAAAATTAATGAACTGATGATGAAGTATCGCTCATTAGAAAAGGAAATTTTGATATTAAAATTTCCTCATAAAAATCTCATCGCAATGATGATAGATTTGTATCGGAAAGAGTATATGTATGCTTTGCTATTGCAGAAGAGATTCTATACATTGAAGATTCAAAGAGATATTTTGTCTGATAATTTAAATCGTCTTTACAGCCAAATCTATTGCTAGAATAATAAACATTTACATTATTTTTTAGATTTTTCCACTATATCCGTTTTTTCGCTTGATATTTGTCCGGCTTCTTTGATTAAAAATTCTGGCCGGCCAGTTTTTCTTTCAAATTTTTTTTGATAAAAAAATTTTAGGAAACTTCACATCATTTTTAAACATGATGTTCAAATTATTCGAGCGCCCAATGTACTACAGAAGAGTTCCATCATTCATGGATGTGTTTGATGCTATGGAAAGACAAAGCATGTTACAAGATTTAATGTTCTCAGATTTCGATATTCCACAGATGTTCCTTTACTTCACTTCCAATAACTCAAAGTCAAACAAGAAAACGAAGAAGTCTACTTCTCAAAAGAACACATCTGGCTCTGAAAATACAGAAAAGTCAGCCGAAACAAAAGAAGTACAAAAGACTGAAATTCCAAAAGCTGAAAATACTACACTTACAGAAAATGATATGAAGCAAGAAGAAAAGGTTGAGCATTCTCCAAAGGCAGAACCAAAGGAAGTTCCGGTTAATAATGAAGTTCCAGCCGAACAGGAAGAAAAGATTGAGGATGAGAAGATTGAAATTTCAACAAAATTATCACGTTCATTATCCGATAATCACCTTGAAATTGAAGAAGAAGAGGCAAAGGAAGAACCATCACTTGAAGAAAATCATTCAATCAAGCGTTCTAGCTCAGAAGATTCCTTGAAACTTCATGAAGGAGCTGAAAAAACAAAGGAAATTGTAAACAAGAATGATAACGAAAATATTCCAGAAGATGAAGTTGAAGATGATGATGAATTTACTGTGGAAACAAAGACAATCACAAAGAAGGGTGGTTTCAAGCATGAGATTCGTACAGAACGTAATGAAGAGACTGGTGTTGTTATCGTTACAGAAACTAGAGAAATTGGAAATCAATCAATGTCACTTAAGAGAATAACTTATCCAGGAGGCGATGTTGAAGAGTTCGAATCTAGAAAGAACCTCAAAGATGATGAATTAGAAGCATTCAAAGCCAAGTGGATTAAGGAATTCCCTAATAACTAAAAATTTTTTTTTATTATTAATTAGACTATTTTTAGATCTCGCAATGAATATTGATAGGGAGATGATGTTGGGGAACCGGGAACATAAACTTGAAATCATATTCTTCGCGTTTATCTCAAAATTTGAGGTAATTCATTGGTTTACACGCAAAGTATATGATTTCAAGTTTAATATGCATTCAGAGTTGATAATAAGTTCACTTATCCAAGTTCTCTATTAGTAAATAGCTAACCTAGCAGTTGGTGTTTCAATCGCATTGTGCTTTTAACTCGCAATTGAATTTCGATAATCAACCTGATATCTTTTCAAACACATTTATACATAACCGAATTAAATGAAGTTTTAGACATAATTGGTATTATTGTATTACTTATTGGAAGTATATTTCTTATCCAAATCTCTTGAAATTTTGGATTTGTTACATGTTAATGAGATTTTTATAAATTATGAAGTAAATAGTTTTGTTTGTTTATCGAAGATGATAAATTAATGTTTTTACAATGTAAAAAATAAAACATAATTCCGAACCAAAATAAAACTATACATGATTACAATCACAAAACTTCGTTCAATTTGTACTTGTTATCTTTCTCGAGTTCCATTGGGTAAATGAGGGAAACGTCCCACTTTTCGATCAATTGCTCCAAAAAGAACTGTCCGATGCCTGCGTCGAGCTTTGTTGAACCAGCAGCTGCAGCAACATCGAACTGGACGATGTTTGGAGCGAAAACCATTGCAAGGTTCTTTGGTCCCATTTTGGTGATATTCTGGTATTTTGCGACTTCCTGCAAGAAACCGATCAAATAACCGAGAGTCATTGAATTTACTGGTGGAAGAGCAGCAGCAAATTCGATGAACTGGTCATTCTTTCCGGCTTCTGTAAGATATCCGGCCATGGATGAAGGAACAACGAGATCTGTGATATCTCTGAACCAACGCTTGATCAAAGAAGCTCCATCATGAGGATTTGTGATTAATGGAATCACATCTACGCCTTGGTTGGCTTTTACAACGAATTCTTCGACTTTCGACATTGAACCTGGCATTCTGAAGATACCTTCGACCTCGTAGCACTTCATTTGGATGAGTTTGGCGCACATTTGTACTAAAAAGTATGGAATTGGGTAAGTTGGATGCTGGCGACGCTGGCACCACATGATTGCGTAGATGGAGGCTCCGAATGTAGTGTTAAATGTAAGTGGATGCGTTGGAATATTACTGACATAATCTTCTGTAAGGTTTTCCATTGGTTCACCTATTGCCATTCTCGTGCAATAGCGAATGTATGTAAATGCGGATATTAATCTGAGTCCACGATTAGCATTTTTGAGATTTTTGGCGATATGTGATTTTACCCACATTTCTACTCCTTTTGATGATGGGAATATTGTTGCAAGAGTAAGTAAAAGTTCCCAAGCATGCACTAAGTTGTCAACTGGCGGATTTCCGTTTGTTTGTTTCATGACCTGAAAATATGCTTCATCGATTAATCGCGGTTCATCTTTGAGCATTCCGACGAATTTCATGAGTGAAGGAGGGACTTTAGCTTTGTTTTTCTGCACTTTTGTGTAGACAAGAATAAAATTGAACATTTTGAGAGCCAATTTCTGGCAATCATCTGGTAAATTCTTTAATAATGGTGTAGCAATTGGCTGTGTATCAAATGATGTCAATGATTCCATGGAAATGTTCTTTCGAGATAATCTTCCCTTTTTCGGATGAACATTGAAGTGAGACTCGGCGTACTTTGTAAGGCTGTATTCTCTCGATGATTTTTCGGCATCAGCTGGTAGATAGTTCGTTCCTTGATTAACTTTCGGTTGAAAAACGATTTTGGAATCTTCGGGCTTCGGTGCTTCGCTCTCGGCTTGCTGGGCTTCCTGAGCCTGGCTTTCTGCTGTTGTATCAGGCTGTTCGACGTTCTGGGATTGAGTTTTATTTTCTGGTGGAAGATTATCGCATAAAAATGAACTTGGAATATGTGTGGTTTGCTGATTTTCTAATTTAAAGTTATTTGCTGATCGTAAGGAAGTTAAGTCGAAATTCATAATTGATTGGTCAATTTCGAGAATAATTGGAGATTGGCCCTCTTCTGATACATTGTACGTGTATGTCCTTGCTCCGTTGAATTTGTTTGTCTTTAATCCTAGCAAATTTGGATCTGAATTTTGTTTTGATTCGTTAACAGTTATTGGAATTACTGAAGCAGACGGTTGCTGTGATTTCGAAATACGGCTCTCTTCAACTTTAACAGTTTCCTGTGGCTTTTCTTGATTCTCTTGTGGAGTTTCGTTTTGAGGATTTTCTTGTTGTTGGGTTTCTTCTCCAATTTTTTTAGGAACTGTAATACCTTCATTTTCATGGCCAGTCTTAGAGCGCAACAACGGATTTGTAAAAAGCTGCTGTGTATCAGGATCAAAAACCCAATCTTCGGATGGGTACTCCCATGTAGTTTCTTGTGTTTTAACATTCATATAATAATATCTGTTATAATTGTGATCAAAGAAAGCATAATAAGTCTTAGGCTGTGACATGAGAAGTGAGAGATTATTTTTATTTTCAATTTTGAATCAAACGGCAGAGATCAAACTTATAGTATTGGCTTCAATTAATAATATTATGCGTTTGAAAAATTGTGATAGTTGGATTTTGATAAGAATTGAAATGATGTGAATTTTCACGTTTTTTACTTTATTCGAACGCATGGCTCATTATACATATAATGCGAATATTAAATAGAAATCTTTTTATTCGGCGTGAAAACCTAAAAACGAATCAATTGACAAACAGAATGGTCGAATTAAAGTGGTACGGCATTTGATTCAGATTTTATTATAGGAGTATATATTAATTTAGTAAGAAAAGCTCATATACATATAATTGTTCGGCCCGTAGATTAGATTTCCTTTTGATTTTGATGCATACATCATAAGGAAGAAGACTATTTGATAAGAAATTTTGGAGTATATATCATTCCTTTATTAATTCTACAGATGCAAGCTTCTACCGGAATTTATATAAAAATATACATGAAAAGAATGAAAACCAAATCTTCGGGGAAGAATCATGCCTTACAGGTTCTCTCTTAGATCTAACATCAGAATATGATGAGAAATTTCAGCAACATAACATTTTTATAAAGTAGATTTTAAAGTCTATTTTGATGAACATCTGCTAATAATAAATGCATTTATCCGGATTTCCTTCATATGGAATGTTGAATGAATCAACATATTGTTAGCATAGAATCATTAAAATATTTTATATTTGTTAATTAGCTTATGTCAAGAAATGTTTGCAGTATGAATTATTATAGAAATTTTACAAGATTGAAGTAAGGGTTTCGTTTTGCTAAAATTGTCACTTTTATAGCATATTTGTTTTTGGATGTTTTGCGAAACCAAAAAAAAAACTATGATATACAATGTGTGTGTAAAGAAAATACTTTATTTACTAGTTAAAAAATCATTTGGTATTGATCAAGTTTTTTTTTCTGGATAAGATATTATATGGATAATTGGATAGAAAATACAATTATATAATCTTGTACCTGGTTTAATTAAGCTAATTGTCATCAGAAACTTGTAATTTTTATGAATTTCAGATTTTCTTTTCATTACTGCTTTTCTTAATAGGTCAAGTTCTTATTTACGTTATAAAGTATGATATTTACAAATATCAAGTTATCGTGTTTTTTGAGAAATTATGAGAAACAAACAAAAATGAAAAAGATAGGAATAGCAATGAATAGTGATGTGGGTATAGAAAATGTAAGAGATATGAATGCAAAGCAATCAGTATTTAGGACATTGACCATAGATTTCGAAAAAAAAATGCTGCATATTGAGCGAAAACTATGATTATATTATAAGGCTGTCATTTAAAGCATAATGAAACTATTCCCTTTTCATTTTAATCGAATAAGATAGTAAAGATTTTTGAATTAGCTAGAAACTGATGAGATGTTTTCACAAATCAGATTTTTAATCTCTATAATGCATAATTCACTCAATATCTCAATTTTGATATTGCGAGATATTTTTGCTATCGGTTTCGCAATTTTGACACAATAGCAAGAGGGTTCTATAAGCATTATTATCAACGTAGAATCTGAATATCATATCAGAAAATGTCGCAAATCTGACATTTACCAGACCAAATAGCAAAAATAATTGAATACTTTTCGCAAAAACTTTAAAAATCGATAAAAATATGAAATATAGATATTAAAGAGACTTTTTATATAATATTCATAAAGATTTTCCAAAAATATGATACCGCAAAATTAAAAAAGTGACGTCTTGAGTGGAGTCAAAGGTCGAAATTGCTAGCTAAATGTTTTTTTAGCGAAATTGCGTATTGTACGTTTTTTTCGCAAAACGAAACCCTTAATTGAAGTGTTGTGCTGCATTATTTTGTTATTATGATTTGATTCGGAATTATTTCTCAGATTTCGGAAATAAAAGCATAGTGATAGCATCAATATCCCAAACGTAGTGATTTGTAAGCAGACATATCGCATTCTTATTCGAAAATTAAGTGTGTCATCAAAGTATCAAAGAATTGAAACAAAATTTCGAACTTGTCACTTTTTACCCCGGTAGAATGGAGTGTATTAAGTTTGCAGCGCTTGGCTCCTTTTCCAAAGAGGGAGAAATCAATATCATTAGGAAGTGGAACAATGTTTGTGAAGGTAATGATGATGAAATCAAAGAAATTGTTTCGATAATTTTATCAAATGCAAATGACCAACCACAAGGACATTTCACAAGATTTCCATTGTCCAATTTAGAGTTTCAGAGTAAGAAAATGCATGTTTTTGCCTCTTCATTCTCTCAATCTCAGTCAGATAATTCAATCTTTTATACTTTTGCTATTTTCGTGAATTCACTTGCAATAGAAGCTAAACCATTCATCCAAGATAATATTACAGAAGCTGTAGGTACTATTGCCCTTCATTTGCACTCAAAATTGAAAAATCAAAAACATCTTGAAAAATCTGACGATTTCATTATGCAAATATTCAAATCTAATGACATGTTAATGAATTCTCAAATTTGTAACCCATTACCAGAAATAGTCGAAATCAAACCTGATGAATACGAATTTTTCAGTACTGTTTTAACAAGTCATCTTTCTACTCAAATGACTACTATCATTGAATGCTCAAATGAGAAGCAGGCCGCTCCTCTTTTGACATTTTTATCTCATTTTATGTTACCTTATCAATTAGAACTTTCTTCAACTGAAATAAGAGATTCCATAGTCCAAGGACTCTTCTTACAATGCGTGAAGCCTCAAAAAGACATTCCTCTTGCAGATCTTGCTTTATATCAGCGCCCATGGACTTTTGTATCATTAAAATCGCATACAGTCAAGCAAAGTCCTGATTGGGATTCGCAGCGTCAAACAAGAGTCCAATTACGTCAAATTCATTTGGTATCTTTACCATCTGGAGCTTCTGAAGCCTCAAAGAAGCAAAGCGCGATCATGGCGAAGTACAGACCCAAGATTGTTGCAGAAACAAGTAAATGGGCAAGCGAAAGCGTCAAAGAAATTTTCGCTGCAGATTCTTCCATCAGAAGTAGTCTTTGCGCGATCAGATTATCCGAAATAGTCCATCAAAGCCTCGCAATCATCAAAATGAGTGAAGCATTGATGAATGAGAAACAACAGATGTTCCTTGGTCCTGATCACGTCAGATTGATGAATAAGACACTAGATATGGATGATGATGACCTTAAGATGGCTGTTGGAGTTGCTACAGCGTTTGATCCGAAGATATCTTCTTCTGTTTATACAGGATGCCATGCTGTTATTACAAAGATGCTCATTGCAGTTTGAAATCTTATTCTTTTATTTTCTTTTTGTTTTGTTATTTTAAAATATAGAATTTTTTTATTAATTTTTACTTTTCTCTCAAATAAATCACAAACAACATGATTCTGATCTATGTTTACCAGATTTCTTTACAAGAAAATCAGTAATTAAAGAAAATTTAAAATAGAAATTGGTAATTTTTACTATTTTTATGTTTTTTCTGAATAGAAAAGGTTGCAAAAATGATAGTATGATATCTTATGCAAAGATCGATCATATATATGACGTATTTGCATTGACCAATACAAATTGTTGAAAAATTTCCAAAATATTGACTGATCCCATTATCAAGAAAATAAGCGATGATGAAAATATGGTATCAATTGAATGCGAACAAAATGAAATGTTAATATCGAAGAATAAATTTTATTATTCTTCAGGTTTATTTGCCATACTCCTTAATATATCTTCTGCAACTATTGATGCTTCTTCAATTGTTAAATCTTTAGGAATATTATCAGCAATTATTTGTAAATTTTCCGGAGCGTCAGGAATTCCGAGTGTTCTACCCATATCCTTTGTAGTTACTCGTAAAGGTGGCTGATTTGGTAAAGGAGGTGGCATTCTATAATATGGATTCATTTTTCAATGTCACTTTTGCGATGAATTGGTATGAAAAGTGACCATTGGTTATTTCAATTCTTTGCGATTAAAAAAGTGATACAAATTAGTTCTTTATTAATTTTTACTGCATTTTTTAATTCTGAATTATCAAAAGTATGTAAACATTTCAAAAAAAAATACTTACATGAAAAACTACGAGACAATCGAGGTTGTAGGCGATGGTGCATTCGGAACAGTCCTTAAGTGCAAGAATAGAGAGACTGGACAGCTTGTAGCCATCAAGAAAATGAAACAAAGATATACATCTTGGGAAGAATGCTGCCAATTAAAGGAAGTCACATCATTACGAAAAATTAAACACCAAAATGTCGTTCGCTTGCTTGAAGTTTTCAGGGAAGAAGAACATTTATTTTTGGTTTTCGAATTACTCCATGGTTCAATGTACAAATCAATCCGAGACCATGACGGACCATTTAGTGAAGCTCAAGTACGCTTTTGTATGAAGCAAATCCTTCTCGGTTTGCAATATGTTCATCGATGCGGCTTCTTCCATCGTGATATGAAGCCAGAGAATCTCTTGTGGGATGGCGATACCCTTAAGATATGTGATTTTGGTCTTGCAAGAGAAATCAGAAGCAAGCCTCCTTATACTGAATACGTTTCTACTAGATGGTACAGAGCTCCAGAAATTGTACTTCGCCATCAATTCTACAACTCACCAGTTGACATTTGGGCAGCTGGTTGCATCATGGCCGAGCTTTTTACCTCCAAACCATTGTTCCAAGGTACGTCAGAGACTGATCAGCTCTTCAAGATATGCTCCGTCTTAGGAACACCAGGACCAGGAAACTGGCCTGATGGAGCTAAACTCGCTCAGAGACTTAACATTCGCTTGCCATCATTTGCACCAACGCCGTTGCACACAATCATACCTAACGCTTCACCAGAAGCTATCGAATTACTTACAGAAATGCTCCAATACGATCCAGCAAAGAGGCCAAGCGCTTCAAAGGCATTACAGCATCCTTGGTTCAATGGACCGATGGAACCAATATCAAAGATGACTCCAAAGACTCCTCCAAAGGTTTTCACGTCAGTTGAGAAAGTTGATGAAAATAAGAAGATGAAAGAGGATGAATCTATCAAAGTTCACGTTACAGACTTCTCCAAAGGGCCAGCACAGATTCCTCCACGCAGGCTCGTACAAGAAGAGGAAGAAGAATTGAAAGATCCTTCCTTCGATGATATTTTCGAGAATCTTTAGAAAACTGTAAATTGTAATAATATAAAATTTACTTTTCGTAACAAAAATAATCTGAAATACAGAAAATATATGAAATTCCATACAAAAATTTAGATAAAAGATATAGTTTTTCCTTGTGTTTTGCCTTTTCCTTTGCCTTTTGCATGGTAAGGTTGTGGAGATTCTTGTTTGACTTCAACCATAGGTGGTTTGGTTGATGTATCTAAATCGGAAGGCGGATGACAAATTGCATCATAAAATTTGGCTGTGAGTTTATTAATTTTATATAGCCAATCTTCTTCGACTGTACTAGGTAAATGCTCTATTTTCTTGAAAAACCAATTTCTTGCTTCAAAAGCCATCAATGTATAATAAGCTTCTTCGCCATTGTATGTTTTTGAGTTGAGATAAATCAAATCAACATCGTGTTTTAATGCGTCTATATCTTTGTATTGATTATTTGTTAATTTTTCTTTGATATTTGTTAATGATGTTGGTTCTTTAACGTAAGTGAAATATTCTGGAGCACCATCAAGCTCAGGATCTACCATCTTAACAAATGGATGGCATACCTCCCATGTAACAAGAGTATCTATTAATTTTATGCATTTTTCACGCTGATAATCAGTCAGCGCCATTTTTTTGTGAAGAAATTTTAGCAAAAATGGCAAATAATTCCTTGAATGTTTCATGTTTAGGATGTTTCAAATTTCAGATTCTAAAACATTTAGCTAAAGTTTCGAAATATCTGAAATTTATTAGGCATAATGAGTCATGAGACAATGTGAATTTTATAGTAACTGAGCAACTGATCAGAGTGATTCTGTTTAATTCATGAATTATTATTAATAACATATAGTTGAAATCATTTCAACAACATGATATGACAACTAGGTGAATAACTAGAGCAGATACGATATATGAGTAATACGTTCAGCATAACACTCAACTTTATACTATTTCAACTTAATGCAAAAGAAATATGATATTAAAATTGGATTAATGCTGAAAGTGTATATTGAAATTTATCTATTTTCATTATTGTTATTTCCAATAGGTGTGATTCTAAAAAGGTACGGACAGTTTTTAACCTTAAATTCTAAAAAATCAAGGGGCATTTGTTAGCTTCACAACTCGTAATACCCTTTGAATATCACCAAGATTTTAGAGCAAGCAAAGCATTAGCATACTCTTAAGAGAATGCAATGTTTGTTGCATGAACTAAACTTTGCAAAAAAGAACATATTTTGATTTTTTGCAACCTATCAATTTTCTCATCATTTGATCAGCCAAGATTACTAAAATTCGAAAACACTTATAACCCTATCGGAAAATCTCTACCATAAAAAATTAAATTTATAAAATATTTTTGAGACCGCGCTTTCTCTTTGAAAATCATGGGGATGAATCACATACAAATATATAATAAGTACGTAGAAAATGAAAAAAATCCGTCTTGCCAATTTTTAGAAACGGATTGCATTTCATCAAAAATCGACATTACCCAATAGTTGACTGGTAAATTAGCTGTTATCATAATTAACGGCATACAGTTATCAAATAAATATTAGTGCAAACGCACAACCAGCAATTAAAATTCTGAATTTTTATTACTTGTAACTTGTTTTACTCCTACAAGAAGAAGATTACTTTTGAGTTACATAAAATTCAAGTAGTATCTTCGAAATAATTGTATTTAATAAATATAAATATTTTATGTTTATTTTTTTCGGTAATCTATCTGTTTTTGGATTTTGACCACAAATAGTTCTTCTTTTGTTAAGAAATTGTTAGTTTTTTTAAAATTAAATTTTGCATTCAAGAAATATCGACGTTTTTCAGGAACATAAAGAAATATTTTGCATCAACATCAATTATAAAACACATTCATTTTTCCAAAAAAATCACAATTTTGGGATTTTGTAATAAAAATTGTATTTCTTCATTTTATTTTTCATTTTTTGAAATTTTTTTGGAATTTAAACTTAAAGCAAAGACAGATTTTTATATATGATTAGAGTATACTTGATGATTCGGTTATAATTTTATCTCTAAAAGTTATACATTCCTTTTAACAATGAGTATTTCGATTCAATATCATGTATTCAAAGCATTTTTGAGCCTACTTTACTTAAGAAATCAGATTCAACACATTAGCATATTACGATAGGATTGCTATAAAACGATAATATCAATTTTTTAAAGAAATATTTTCTGATCTCGTTTTTCAAGCATAAATTTAGGATTTATTATTAGTTATTCACCATATGTTATTGAATTCCTGTAGAAATAACTACTGATACTTCATTATTGTTAACAAATTGAAACAAAATTTCACAGAATCTTTTGAAGAATGATATATTTATGCATTACTCAAGCTACAAAAATGATGCAGAGCATTAGCATATGCATTATTAACTTATATCTTCTAATTAAATTCTAGATTAATATATCACAAAATTGGCAAGACCAATTTTCTTCATACGACAAATTTAGTATATATGGTATATATGCAATCTATGCTCTTGAGTATATGGCGTAAATCCGGTCAGAAAAAAAGTGTCTGTACCTTTGATTCTACCAAATAAGATATTTCGAATTTATTGATTCAAAATAAGTTTTAATACAGTTAAGCTATGTTTTTGATTAATTAGTCACATTGAAATAAAACACATTTATAAGAAAAAAAATGATAAAAAATAATATGAAAGTAAATTTTTATGAATGATTTATTAATAACAGTTTAATCGTATTTCTTGAAGTCATTAGTCTTCTGGCGCTTGTAAATAAAGAATATCACATAAGCGACTAATTCAATAACAGAGATAATCAAAAGTATGTGAGAATGTGGTCCATCATCTATGTAAGATGATTCATTGTTCAGATTCTGTTGAATTTTCTCTGGATCAATTTTTGAAAAATTCAATTGTTTTGCAATCAAAATAATCTCTGATTGTAGTGTAGCCATAGATGTTTTCTCTTCAATGGCCATCTCAGTAAGCTGAGATTTCAAAGATGACCAAAGATTGTCGATATCTTGTTGAGTTTCACTATATTGGTTCGCAGCGAGTTCTATTTGAGATAAAGCTGAGTCAATTGTCTGTTCAATTGACCTTTGTATGTATTCTTCGAGGTATTGAACTGTAATTGTTTCAAGACCGCGATTGTAAGCTTCGTTTATGATTTTAATTGCATCTCTCAAGTTTTCGTTCTGTTTTCCGTTAAGTGTTGCGTTGAGTTCTTTAAGTTTTTGTGTGAAATTTCCCATTAAAGGCATTTTCAGGCGGCGCTTTCGTTTTAATTCACGGCGTTCCTTGACATCATCTTCTATGTACTTTCTGTTAACTGCTGAGTAGTTAAATGTCTTGTTTGGATGATCTACAGGTGACATAGAGTATAATCTGAAGGAAAGCAAGTCATTGTTATCAGAATTCTGTAATGTAACTGCTGAAACTGAGAAATATCCGTAGTCTGGAATATCAGAAACGTTCTCTGTAAGGATTCTTTCCATGACTATGTCTTTTGTTGCGTCAACAGTTAAAGTATCGAAGCGTTTGGACATTTGGATGCGGAGAGGCTTGCGATCTTCGCCCCGGAATCTAACTTTGCCGACTGGTTTGAGAGATCTGAGTTCTAAATTGGAGCCATTGTTCTTTGCGAAGTAAACTTGAGAATATCCTTCTTCATCTGTAGATGTAGTATTTACCCAAAGAGCGAAACCTGTGAATTTCAATGCAAATGATGGACAAACTTCTTCTGTATAGAAAAACCAAATTCCATGGCCAGGTTGTTCGCCTCCGTAGGCTCTTAATTCAATTTCAGCCGACCATTCTTTGAATAATGTTGGTACTCTTTGGCAGACACTGCCGAAACTGGATTTAACTGGGCATGTTAAGCGAATTGCGTTTTTCAAGACAGTAGTTGTTCCTCGAATTGTCCAATTACCAATTTCGTTAATATCGGTTAATTGCATTGGCGGTACAAGGTTGTATAAAGGTTGTGCTTCTTGAAGAGTATGAATAAATAGCAATGAAAACATTTTGACAAATTGTCAAATTTTGTAAAAGTGACATCTATTTATGGAGGAAAAAGAAGAATTCCCAATTCCTCCACCAATTGCTTACTTCATACAAGATGGTGTCTTCATATGCTTGGTGTACGTTGCATTATATACATTTTTCACATATTATGGTCACTATTTTTCATTTCTCAAAAGATTTACTCAAGAGAAGCAAAAGAAATCCGATTTGTTAGTTAAGGGTGATCCAAGTAGTGACGACTATGAAGAAGAAATTGAAGTTCCAATAATTACAGATAATATCGAACCTGAAATTCAATTTTAGTTGTTTGGTTGTATAGTATTGCTTTTGTTATATCAATTATTACAATGCTACAGAAAATTTAGAAATAATTAATTTATAATTTTGTACTTGTTTGTAAATATGAATGTTTATGAATTTGAATCTTGTAACCTATATATGTGTTAATAATTTATCTTGTGAATTTTATTGTTTTCATGAATTTCATGAATACCTGTGTGTTTATCTATTGAAATTCAAGTCAGCTTTTGAAAAGCATTTGACTTCCTTGTTTGTGATTAAATTCCGAATGAACAATGATCTCTTACTATGCATTCCCTGATGTAATTTTACGTTCAAAAGTAGATTTCATCATAATCTTGAAAGAAATAGTTTAAATTATTGAAAAAATAAAAAATTTACAAATGGATCTCTTATTTGTCAATTATTAGATTTTTATTATCTTTTGTATACAATTTTATAAAGGTATAATACAGTATTTTAGCACCCACTACAATTATAAATCATGTTTATAATTTCAAAATTTCTTGCTTTTTCTAATTTTTATATCAAATTTATACTTTTTCAATTTTGTGATTTTTTCTGCGAATTTGAACTTGGAAATTAAGGGACAGAATAGCAATGTCTGTGGTTAAATATATGACTATACTCGTTTAATTACATAAATGAATATTGTTTTTCTTTTTTGGTGTATATGCAATTCTATATTTGGTGACAAGAAAGTATTTTTACAATAAAAATTCAAACAACCAATTCTGATGATTATAATACATCGTTTTTGAAGAATTATGAAATGATATTCCTATTCTTCATATGTTAGCTGTATAAATCAATAGAAATATTAAAAAATGCTCGCACACAAATTAAGATAAATCAATTTTTTAAATTGATTTCAAAGATGATTGATGAAAAAAAATCATTTGATTTTTTTAGTGAGCTGTCCAGTATGGTCTTATCATAGGATAAGGATATCTCGCATTAGCTTCAGCTTCTTGTCCAAAAATGGAGTGATAGAGTCCTTTTGCACCGGAAACAATTCCTTGAGCAGCAGCAGATGCAGCGGCCTTCTTTCCGATTTCTGAGACAACAGGGCGGATTAATGGCCAAATTGGGAAGTTGTCATCATCGTCATCTTCTTCTCCATTGAAGTGATAGAGAGGGTATGGGTAAAATCTATTGGATTCAGCTTCTTGTCCAAAGATGGAGTGATAGATTCCTTTTGCTCCTTCAACGATTCCTTAAGCAGCAGCAGACTTAAGAGCTTCCTTTCCAATTGTTGTAACAGCAGGGCGAATTATTGGCCAAATTGGGAAGTTGTCATCATCGTCATCTTCTTCTCCATTGAAGTGATAGAGAGGGTATGGGTAAAATCTATTGGATTCAGCTTCTTGTCCAAAGAAGTGATGATAGATGCCCTTTGCTCCTTCAACGATTCCTTGAGCAGCAGCAGACTTAAGAGCTTCCTTTCCAATTGTTGTAACAGCAGGGCGAATTATTGGCCAAATTGGGAAGTTGTCATCATCGTCATCTTCTTCTCCATTGAAGTGATAGAGAGGGTATGGGTAAAATCTATTGGATTCAGCTTCTTGTCCAAAGATGGAGTGATAGAGTCCTTTTGCACCGGAAACAATTCCTTGAGCAGCAGCAGATGCAGCGGCCTTCTTTCCGATTTCTGAGACAACAGGGCGGATTAATGGCCAAATTGGGAAGTTGTCATCATCGTCATCTTCTTCTCCATTGAAGTGATAATGTGGTGGGTGAACTGGTTTTATTGTGCCATATGATATGTATTGTGGACGTCTGACAATTGAACGATGCAGTGTTCTAGACGAGGCAAGAAAAGCCAAAGCTAGCATTATAAAAAATGATATTTTTGAAAGATTATCAAATTTTTATCAATTGTCTGTCAGTTCTGACATTTGATTTTAACATATCCTAAGGATAATTATATATTATCATTTGTCAACTCTTTATACCTGATCACTTATAATTTTGAATGATGGCAAATTGTCAGATCTATTCAAAAATATTTTTGATCGATATTCAATTCGAAATTCTGAAAAATATTCAATTCTGCAAGCTATTATAAAAATGATTAACACATGTAATAATTTATTTTAATCATATTTGATCTTTTCAATAGAAATTTGGCTTTAAATTTAATCGAGTATTTATATATATTCGCAGTGAAGTGAAAATATCTTCTCAAGATCATTGGTTTTCGAAATATTTATATTCGCTGTCAGATTTATAAGAGAATCATTGAGTTTGATGAAGTCCAACTAGATAACCATTGGGCATACTAAGTTATATATTAATTTGGTCAGAGATTTTTTATTTGAGGAAATTAAAATGATTGAATGATTTTTTCCAATATTTTATTTTATTTCTATGAACTACATGTGCATCACAGGCTAATTTCAAGAAACAATATTTAAAGAGGGGGTGATCAAAAATTTTAGGTTCTGTTAATGTTTAGAAGTGTTACACCTCCTCTTCCAAGTAAAGATCACATTGATCAATGCGAACGTCTTATCAAAAAGCATAATGACACATTATTGACAATGTCTAGCGATATTCAAGAATATTTTTCAAAAGCATTACTACAATTCGCAAAAAGTTCTCCAAAAGAACTTCATCCCATATATAATGGATTTATTAAATCGGGAGTTAAATTTGCAAGCTCATTCGTTGGATTTTTAAAGAAATTATCTCCACAATTAGCCACAATTTCAGATCTCGAAAATAAATATGCAGTTCTATCAGATAGATTCTCTGAATATCAAAATGATATTAAAAGTGTTAGAGATGAAGAAACTCCAGAGAATATCGAGAAAGAGAAGAAAGATCTACTCGCATTTGTTGAACAATTCCAGAAGTTTAATACAGATTCAAATGTATTTTTACCATGTTTCTTAATGTTATATATTTCTTGCTGTACACAGTTGTCCCAGGATACAACTGCCTTTCTTAATGAAATTAATAGCTTAATAAAAAGCTATAAACCTATCGAAAAATCAAAAGAGGAAAAAGAAGTTGAAGATTTGATCGCAAAACTCGAAACTGAACTGCAACAATACAATGAAAAACAGGCACAACTACAACAACAAGCTATTACAGCAAACCAAACTCAAAAAGTTCAAGAAAATCCTGAAAAATAATTTTATAATTTTACTATTAGTAAAAAATATTGTTATAACTATCATATTCAAAACAATTATTTCGAGATAGCTATTTTTTATTAATAAAAAACAAACAAAAAATAAAATAATTAAATTAATCGAAGTTTCCTGTTGCAGAATCCGTAAACAGGCTTTCAAAAGTAAATGTATACTTAGGGCTTGGCTTTTCCTTTCTCAATTCATCTCTAGGGACAACTGGTCCGAGATCTTCCAATTTAACTCCGGCTGGAAGCTGAAGGGGCGAACATCTCTCAGCTATACTTCTCAGCAATGGCGAAGGAATGATCCTCTTGCGCTCAATGCCAGAAATAAGAGCTTTCGCCGTTGTAATAAATCCTAATATGATTGTAAAAGCAGTTGTGAAGTTACTTGATAGACAATCAAACACTTTTTGTATTTCTTTAATGTGATTGACCAATATATCAAGCTTTGCATCAGTATATTCGTCAGCAGTTTCAATAATTAAGTTAAACAACATCGCGTCGAACTGATGGCAGCAGTCAATGACAACACCTTGGACAATGACCTCTGGGATGTTGAAAGATTTGGATAATTGTGAAAAAATTCGAATTGATTGAGTAACATTCGACAAAGATTCACGATCCAAGGCATCAAACCCATCACCCATGATCGCAAGAACGAGATGGGACATAAGAGTAGTAATTAAAAACGAAACAATGTTCATAATAATTTGTTGGATATGATCTAATACAATTTGATGGGCTTTCGTGTAATCGGCACACGTATCTGATAGTAAAAGTCCGTAATTGATGGCGGTTGCGAAGATTCCGAAAATTGATGGAATTGAGTGGTCTTTTGACAATGCGAAGTTAATTGTATCGTAAAATGGCTTATGGATATATTCAAATACCTCAGGAGTTATCATGGGATTCTCCATGATGTGATATTCTTGTATGACGCTGATTAAATCTTTTGAATAATCTTTTTGACGGGATTGAGGTGTAACTAAGCAATTAAAGCATTGTACAGCAAATGCTGTTAAACATTGATCGAAGTTTATCTGTGCAATTAATGGTTTTTGCGCATTTATTAAATTTATTTGTTTTTCATCAGCAGCATCAAGGAAAGTAATGCTTTCAGCCGCTGGCTTTTCTTGTGGAGCTTCTTCCTCAGCTTTTTTATCTTGTACTTCTTGTATTCTTTGTTGATAAAATTTTTGAATTTGTTTTCTGTTGCTTTTCTTTCTGGAACTGCTCTCAGAATGTTTTACTGGCTTTGCTTTCTTCATTGCGATCTCTTTCGTGAACGAAGAAAGCGTCATATGGCCTTGAAGTCCATTTGCATTTAAATGATGAAAAGAATTGTCAAAAACAATCGTATCTGCTGTAGATGTATCTAAGCCTTGCGTTTCATCTAAATCTGGAGCGGTTGATGACATCGATTCAACTTCTTCAATAATTGGCTTTACGGATCGAATTGTAACGAAACTGAAGTAGGATTGTGGTTTTCCATTAGGGAATTCATCAATTGGTAATACGCAAAGTCTGAAATTAAGCTGAGCAGTTCCGAATTTGTTTGTTTGGAAATTTGAAGTTTGGCGCGCTGTAGATCGCGGGTCTGTTAGATTTGCAATGTCCATACGAACTTTCGAAATGCAGTTTTGTCCTTGATTTTTATCTAATGAAAATATTTCAATGTCAAGAATCTTTTTTTCGAGTTTGTGGCCTTCTTTTTGGTACAGAGTGATAGGAATGATAAACTCACAATCAAACTGTGCGACTAAGTTTGCATCTAACATCGAATAGTTTGTTTCTGAGTTGAATGCAACTCTTTCGAAGATTCCGCTCTTTCTAACGCGTGCGACACGAATGAAAACAGGAAATTTGATGTCTTTCTCAAACTTGATGCTTTCAATATGAAGAATACAATAACATTTTAACGATTGAACTTTGCTTTTACTCATTTTTTATAATTTTTTTATTCAAAAGTTTACATAAAAAAAAAAGAGTTTGATACCAAAGAAAGGAATGGTTGTGTATCGACAGAGGGTCTTTGCGAGATCCGGAAAAAAGTCCTAAACAGCAAGTCGTTTCTAATATAGACGAACAATCAATTAAATCTGTTATATTAATTGTACGCATACTCAAAGTCTGGGATGGCGTAGTGAGTAATGTTTCAACACTTTCAACATTGCAAATTGAGCATAGGTCGGATGTTTCTTTTGAAGATGTAAATGTGTTAAATATATATATATTGCGCATTTTTTATTCTAAGGCAATTAACATGGTGTTTCACAAACGCTTTGCAGTTGCATTTTACTATTGAATCAGAATTACCATAAATATTACTAAATGAAACAAGATATAATAAAATTTGAGAATCTGGTTTTAACGCATTCAATATTGTCCCTGTGAAGTATATAAATTGAACACTTTTAAAATAATAATTTTTGTTCGATAGCTCGGTTAAATCAGATACAAACATATTTTCTTTAAAAAATGTTATACTCTTCATCAAAATACCGGGACCATGTTTCGTTTATTTTGTGTGAGTCGGGATTTTGCTGATGAATTCCTTGTAATGACCTGAATATTAGAGCTGAAAACATTTTAAATATTTTTTTTTAATTTCAATTTTATATTTTATCAATTGTATAACATCTTGAAGCCTAGACTTTAATTTAATAATAGAAAATTAAAATTTTTCAATAGTTTTCAATTTTGTAAATATTTCTTTGAATTACCGACTGTAAATATTTATCAACGAACCGATTGATATTCATAGAAAATAAATCATTTCTTTAATAACCAACATTTACACAAGATTTATTTCAATTTTCTCATTTTTTTTAATTAATTTTTTTTAAATATTGGTCAAATTTTTAAAATAGTTCAGATGAACCCAAAAATCAAATAAAAATATTATATGTAATTTAATTTAATTGTGAATCTCCCAAATATTTTTAATTACATACAATACAATTTACTATATACACATAATACATTAAATATACAAACAAATTTAATCAGTTATTCAGAATTTCCTCAGGAATTGCAAGGCTATTGAGAGAAGCAAGTTCTAATAATCCATTCAAGTTTCGATCAACGTTAGCTTGAATACTACTGATATCAATGCTACTCTGTTCGAGTTGAATTTCTTTCAACTCTTTGAGCTCTTTTTTAACCTGACTATACTTGGCATTTAGCTTTGAAATCTGCCGCTTTTTATGTTCAATTGATGACATATAACTACTCTTGGTTTTAAAGTATCCATTCTTGAGTTCATCGATTTGGTTGATTAATTGATACTTATGGTTTCTTAGACTATTTTCTAAGATGGAATATGAATCTCCTTGATCATCTGGTTTAGCTGAAATGACTTCTGGAATAGATATTTCCGATTCATCAGGTTGTGGTTGAAAATTCTGTATTAGGCTTTGATTCATATGCTCAATTTCTTGTGAAACAGATTTAATCGATTGAGATAAAGAATTGATTTCATTTTCAACAGAAATCTTTTTGGAATCTAAGATGCTGAGCTGTTCATTAAAATATTTGATGTTATTATTAACATTATCTACCAATGTTGCATATTTTGCTTGGAAATCGCCTTTGCTTGAAACTACACGCTGTCTTTTTTCTGAAGCAGATTTTTCAAGTTGCGAAATTGATTTTTCAAGACTTGAAATGCGCTCTTTCATTTCAGCAATATCATTATTCACATAATTTAAGCCAAGAACTTCTAATCGCCATTTTGCATTATAAGATTTAGAAATTTCCTGCAATAATTGTGATGTTGGCTTTTTCTCATCATATTCTTTATCAATATGAGCAAGCTCTGACTTCAAATTATCATATTTAGCTTGAAGCAAAGATATTTGGAGAGGAAGATTTTCAAGGCTACTAACTTGAACTGAAGATATGTTTATTGGATCAATTGGTATATTAGACAAATCTATGGTATCTTCTATAATCTTTGTATCGCTTGCAAAGTTTTCACGCTTTGTAATTTCGTTGGAAATTTGTCTTTCAAGTGTAACTTGCTTTTCTATAAGAGATTTACAATCTCGTTCTTCCTCAACAAGCGCATTTATTAAATCTATTGATTGCTTATTCAGTAGAGAATAGTTGATTTGCGATTTGAATAATTGTAATTCATTATTTGAAACAAGTTTTTGGGCTTGATTCACCTTTTGTTCTTGAAGAATACGAAAACGCTGTTTTAATCCATGAATTTCGGCTATGATTTCGATTTTGCGATCTTTGAATTGAGGAGTATAGAGTAAATCTGATGTTTGGTTCAATTGTTTAGTTTCTTTTCGAGGAGTAGGCTCGCTTATAATTTCAGATATTGATTCTTCATAATCTTCCTCCTCTCCAATCGAATCCATTTTACAAATAAACGTACAGTTCTCCTGAGAATTAATATTGACTTAATAAATTGATGTAATGATAAGTAATAGGCCTAAAAATGATAAATATAATAAACTCGGGCATTTATGTAATTCCAATAGCCAAAATTGTTTTGATTCATTTCATTGTATGTATTATTTGGATGAAAATCAACACTATTATAGTACACTGTTAGATTCTGAGCGAACGATTGCTTAGATTGAAATAATTGAATGAAAATTAATATGTGGATAAAATATTCATACATTAAGTCATAAATGCTTCAAGCAAGAATCAAAATGCCTATTTATTACTTTAGCGTAATGCGTTTCACCATGAAATCAATTTCATAGGAAATACCAATGGTCTTATTCAACTTTTGAGAATAGATTATAGGTAATTTATGTAATCTTGTCATGATTTGATATGCTATGAATGAAAAAATGTTGAGCTCAATTTTTGAAAAAGTGACTAATGATGGAAAAGCGAGTTCGATTTTTTTACCCAACAGCAAAAATTTCGAGCGAAACAAGTATAAAGCCGCTTTCCCATTATGACAAGAATACCGACATTTATAAAACCCTTCATAAAAAAACAATCGAATCTATTTTACAACAAACATCTTTGAATTGCGATATATATGAACAAAGAATGAGGGAATACATAATGTCACAAATAATGTTTTCTACAAATAGCGAGAACAATGATGATTTTAATGTACTTTCAGTACAAAAAGAAGCATTTTCGAAAATTCCACCCAACGTTTGTGTAGAACTAGGAACAGAATACTTTACGATTTATAATCCAGCAAATAAAAAATCAATTGCATATGAATATAACGAAAACTTAAAACCAATATTGGATTGCTTAGAAACAGAACAAATATCACTACCATTTTATGCAATTATGTTCAATTTAGAGTGCAATCCTATATCAAGCGGAACAATTTTGTGCAATATCACAGATTATAGAACTGATCCACAGATTGAAAAGATCAGTTTACTTACAATAAGTCAAGAGCTTATAAATACATATACTTCTGGTTCAGAATATCCTCCTGAAACAGAACAAGATTTATATCTTTCAATATATCCAGAAATATGTACTGATCCATCTCCTGATGTGGCTAGGGTTATGTCAACAATAGATTCACGTCAAAAAATGTGGGTTAGAGAACAAATTCCAAATCAACCTCCAGATTTCCTTCCTCAACATAAATTAGAGGCGAAACCTATCGAAAAACATTACGCTCCTATTGATGTTGCAAGACAGGTTGCTATCCCAGAGTCTCTACAAATGGCGTTTAGTAGATTGGGTTCTATTCAATCTATATTAAATAAATGTGTTTAAATATATTATTAAAAATTCATGTATGAATTATCTCAATATCTTTTATTTCAAATCAATGAAATTACAACATAATATTCCGATATTCAAAAAAATATCCAAATAATATAAAGTCAAATACATATGTACTATCAAATATCTCCCATTCTCATTCTGATTGATAAGGTTTTCTGAGATTTTGCATTCAAAAATCTAAATTGAAGCAACACCCTCTGAAATATAGTATCTGTTCATTTCGAATACTAAGAATGTAATGATAGACATATACTTACTGTTCATGAAATTTGAAAATTTCATGAATTTCATTGGATAAATTCATGATTCCTTGATAAAATAAATGATCATATGATGAATATTTTAAATGCCTTGTAAATTTTAATTTTCCAACGAGGAAACATATTTCAAAAAAGTGACAATGCTCTTCATCCCACATGATTCAACTGTAGTTGAACATGTTTTCAAATTAGTTGAACAGTTCGATGAGAGCGGTAAGTATCCAGAGATACTTGAAAATGAAGCCTTGGAAATATTAGAATGTGTTCTAGATTTAGGAATTTATTCCTTATTAGAGCATATACTGCCTTTAATTTCACAAAACCTCAAAGATGTACCAGAAAATGTTATATACAAAATCCCTGTATACATTATACCAAAATTAGTTGAAGAAATTCCGTTGGCCAGATTAGATCCAGACTTAGTTATCAGATATTTCGGATATGAAGTACTTCTATCTAAAGTACAACTATTATATCACACACTCAACTTATTAAATCCGTTTTTTGATATATATGATTACAATGAAACGAATCCATTAGCGAAATTAGCCAATAATCTCATTAGAATATCACCGAGATTCTCACAATCAGACTTTGTACGCAACAACTGCACTATTATCGAGTCAAAGAATTACGATTTTTACGTTAATTTTCCAAAACTTAAAGTTTTATATTTACACAGTGTAGATGTTGGCGATTCAATTGAGCCATTCTTAAATCCATCGATAATCAAGCTTTCTATCGTCAAATGCCACTTAAAACCATTACATGTTGAACAATTAATCAGATACATCCCTTATTCGAAGGTAGAATACATTTCTTTACGCGACAACAGGATCGGTGCCAAAGGCTGTAGCATGCTATCCGATTTTATTAAGAATCAGGGACTTTTTAACCTCCGTTATTTAGATATCGGACTAAACTCAATAGGTGGCACCGGAATCCACCAAATGATCGAAGTAATATGCAAATCACCACTCAAAGCCATTGCTTTCGATGGAAATTTCTTTGCTCCGTGTGCAAATGAAATTTCACACATTCCTTTAGTGATTTGTCCCTATATTTCGATCAGAGCACTTCATTGGGATGATGCGACAGTCTCAAATATTCAATTGGCCATGCAAGAACCATACACGAGATGGTGGGATTTGTCCGCCCAAGTCATCCACAAAAATTCTGATCCAGATTTATCAGGAAAAATGGCCGAACAGCTGTTTACGAAGATGGCACCGGAAATAGAGCATCTTATATTTGCAAACCATCATTTGACCAATATGAATTTGTCTTGTTTCATGGAAATGAAACTAAAAACATTGGTTTTGGCAAATTCTGGTTTGGATTATCCTTCTTTACAAAAAGTGACATATATCGTTTTGAAATTAGAATATTTTGACATTTCTTATAACCAGATGACCTTCACATCCCCATCATTTCTCATCCAATGTGCTGAATCGAAGACCCTTAAATTCCTTTCTTTGACAAACAATACAATTCCTGATACTTTTGGTGAAATGTTTTTCATCAATTTAAGTCAAAGTCAGAGCCAAATTAAAACACTCAGAATATCAGAATGCGGGCTCTCGAAACGCTCTACCTATGGCTTAATCACTTTGCTGTCTGCTGGTAACATGGAGTTCGATGAACTCGATGTTTCTGTGAACCAAATGTTTCATAACACAAAAGATGAAATTTTGGCAAGTGGTCAGACAAAAGTGACAAAATTTATGATCGGAGGAAATTTGACAGATAACCATTCTAAGCATTTAGTTGAAACTATCAAAGCATGCAAAGATATTCAGTATTTGGATGCTGATTATATCAATTTTAATTTGGTCAGAGAAATTTCGGATTATTTACCAAATTTGTTTACTTTGAGAACAAGTTATGTAAAGATACAGGACATAAAAGTTGTTATAGATGTTCTCAGGAAGACAAAAACAAGAGTTTTGTACGCTCAAAATAGTTTTAAGACAAAAACTTTTTCATTGTTGATGCAATCGTGGTCTGAAGTTCCAATGCTTCTTGAAATTCATGTGGAATCAAGACTTAAAGATAATATGTCCAAACAATTCAATATTGTGTTTGAAGATCTTAAATAAATTATTTGTTTTTTATTTTTACTATAAAATATATAACCTTTTTATTAGATTCAGTGAACATATAAACATATAATGCGTTTTTAATTAGATAATATGAAAATCAATAAAAATAATAAAAAAATTATGAATAATCTTTTGTCTATGATGCACATAAAGACACATATGCACCTATAATAGATGCCATTCATAATATTTTTTATTCTTTAATAAGATCATCAAATAAGTCTTGATCTCAATCTCAATGGATACATATTATAAAGATCTTGTAGAGAAATTTCAAAAATCTGATCCAATCAATCAAGGATACGATGAAAATTTCATAAATCAAGCAAGATTTAAAGATGATTTTATTAAATTTATAGGAGAGACGGACCCATATTGCTTGGATACTGATGCATTTTATAGAATAAGACTCTTTGGTATTCCATCTAATCTAGAGTTTGATATTAGTTATAAATTAGTTTTATATCTCACACATCTTTTCTTGCACGAAGATCAATATATTAGAACAGAAGCAATGAGCATGTGGTTGTCTCTTGTAATCAATGATGCACAAGTTTTTAATGAAATTAAAACAGAATCATACCAAACTTTAAAACAGCTATCAAATATTGATGATATTATTACTTTAGATAGAATGTTCTACTTAATTCAATGTGTTTCATCATATAATTCATCAAATTTTAATATTTTCTCAAAAAATCAATTGGTCACAATGAGTGAACAATATCCTCAATTGAAACCACTTATTTTAAATTATATAGTTTCAAATCTCACAAATGAAACAGAAATCATTCAATTAGAAATCGATTTAATCAATGATTTAATTGCTGAAAACACAGAATGTTGCATAGATCCTTTGTGCAACCTAGTGAATAACAATTTTGAGGTGATTTCAAGTCTAATATTTGAAAATTTTCATATTCTTTTTGCACATTTAGAAGATCATCCAAATAACATTCTACAGATCATATGGAGGATGCTTGAAAAAACAGAACACTTTGAATTTTTGATTCAATTTTTAGAACCTCTGTTAAATTTTGTCTTTTCTTCACACTCATTACTAGGAGTATCAATTTTGCATAAAGTATTCCTTTTGTCATATAGATCTACACTAATATCAAGTGATTTCTACTTTCATTTTGTAAAATCTCTTAGTGATGATAGTTATCCATTCGACTTTAAAGAACACTGCTTTCTATGCTTAATGGATATTATCCAAACAGAATTCTTTGATGTTGAAACAAACATTCAGATTTTCTTTGAAACCTTCAACAACTTCTATGAATCTCAGAATTTACGATTGATTGAAAAGGCTTTTTACACAGGTAATCTCTTATTTATACGTGCTCAAAAGGAATCAAAGCAGGATATATTTCTATTGACACTTGAAAATTATCATTTTAATTTAGCTGAATTGTTCGATGATTTAAAAGAGTCTGTATCAGAAGATACATATTTACTTATGCAACAATTTCAAGAATCATTGAAGATCCTCTCAGAATAAATACTTGTTTTGAATAGTTTACTTTTTTTTTTGCATAAGACGAAGAATGTTGCTATATTTCTCATTGAAGGCTAATCCTCAAGCTTTGTAACCTTTGCATATGTTACATGCCAATGGCTTAACCAAATGATATGCCATTTATTTATAATTTCCCTTTCTAAGAAGCAGAATGAATAAAAGAATAAACCATTGATATTTAGGTTTTTCGAAAAAGTGACAAATATATAAAATAGATATTTTGAACATTATTATCAGGAAAAAAATGAATTTGGATCAAGGCTGTTCATCAAATAAAGATTATGAGACATCAGTTACTTATATTTTGTGAAATTCATTATTAATATTAATTAATTATTGGTTTGTGACAGCATTTATTATTATTGAATTGGATAAAAAGTAGTAAATTATTTTCAAATGACTTCTAAATACGTCTTTTAATGTAATGACGGCTTGGCCGAGTGGTTAAGGCGCGGGATTGCTAATCCCGTGGATTTATCCGCGTGGGTTCGAATCCCATGGTCGTCGTTAATTTTTCTTTTTTATTATCAATAACCATTGACTTCAACCAAAGAATCTTCCATATTGATTTAATCACCTATTCTGGTACTATCAAAGGTCTATTACTGTATTTTTGAATCATTACGATAATTCAATTTTTTCATCATACAATAAATAGTGGTGATCAAAAATAACATCTCTATTGGAAAATATAGGCAAAACTATATTGGTCTGAATATAATTTAAACTCTATATTTATTATTTACAAAAAGAAAATGATAGAAAATCAATAATTGTAGTAGTTACTTCACTCAATCTTGAAGTGCTTTTCGAAAGCGGATACAATTGAACCGCATTGAGTAATTGGATCAAGCGGATATTTTGAAAAACAGACTTTCTCGGAATCAAGCATATCAGGCTGTCTAGATAACTCAATAACGCAAGGATTGAAAACAATTGTCGAAGGATCAACAACTTTTTCTGAAGTTGGATGAACTGCGTATTTTATTTTTGGTAATTGAGGTAATTCTTTTTTAAGAGTAAGTACACGTATATTATCAACTTTAACTTCAAGGCCATTTAGGCAATTTGTTAATAAATTGATGAATTCTGCAAGTGAAGCAGGAACAAGAAGCATTGGAGAGACTTCGACATATGTAGTTTTGCATTTTAGGAATATTCTTAATTTATTGTATTGATTCAGGCTTGTTGAATTTAAAAAGTATAAAATTCTATGAGCAAAGTCTAATTGAGGTGTTGGAATAATACCATATCCAAGGGCAACATCTACTTCTTTCATATCTATTAGAAAATAGAGAACTGGTGATGACATTCTGCAAAAAATGTCTTATCTATAATTTCTATCGTTCTGACATTTTTTTTTCTTCTAAAAATCCTTGGTACGAGAGCATTAAATCTTCATCGGAGATTTCTATTTAGAGCGCGTTAGACCACAAAGAACTCGCCAACAGCATCCAAATTCAAAGATCTCCCTATTAAACTCGATTTTTTTTAATTTTGTTTTAAATATTCAAAAATGCACATATTTAAGTCAAGCATATTAGATATTGACGAACTTATCCACTGTCAAAAGAAGAACCATCCCATTTTGATAAGATTTAATGATTATATTAAAATCGATCAAACAAATTGTATGCATTTCCTTTTGAGTAAAACACTTAAATTAATTGTTAAATGATGTTTGAAATCTATGTTCATAATTCGATTGATGATTGGAATAGATACTTCAATGATCCACCAACAGTCACAAATTCTGATGGATCAAGACAGTTCCGGAAAACAGATCCAAGTGGAAAATATTTTGTTACAGACTGTATATTCGGAGACTTAAAGATGACATGTGTCTCTGTGAATTCAGTAGGTCCGAACTATTTAGGAGTCAGTGAAACAGAATTTAATAAATGCAGTGCAGATAATCACTGTCCATGCACTGTTTTTCGAAATGGACCATTTTTCCAATATCGAGTTACAGGAAAAGATTGCTCAGTGACAACCGCAACAGGTAATGGAATTCACACATCAGTTAATGTTAGAGAGAATAGTAATGATCTAAATCTCATTGAAGAATCATCAATTTCAGGTTATTCAAGTGAAACATCAGGCTCTGTTATTAGCAATTGGTTCGGGAACGTTTCATTTGTTTCAATCAATGAAAGCAACTGCAAAACAAATAAAAATGTCGGATATGATATCAAGAATGATATTTCAGGAACATCAAACATCAAATTTTGTCAATTCATATCTAATAAAGCAGTTGAAAAATGCTATTATCACTATATTTCAAAACATTCCATTCAATGTAGCAATTATGTCAACAGTTCTTATTCCTGGAGTAATTTATTTAGGTACCTCGAATGCCATTTTAGTTATGCATAATTCTATTATGAAAGATAACTCAGGAAAGGCTTTATTATGCTCATATGAATATGATACGAATATTGTTGCTGACAGATGCACAATTGATAATCCAAAAATTGAAATGATATCGGCAGGAAGTGGCAAAGTCCAACTAATGAATCAGAATATCATTACACTGTGCAATTATGCAGAATTCAAATATAAAACTATTTTTGTTGTCAAATTCTGCAAATGTAGCAACTATAACATTATTTATTTATTCGCTTTCTTAAATACAACATAAATGTTATTTTAAGCTTATACCCAAATAGAACTTTTTTTTGGTGAAACTTCCCTTAACGTAGCACGTTTTTCTGGGTCCAGGAAATTTGACGAGCCTTAGCGGTTTAAGTTTCAATTTTTGAAGGGTGTGTTTGATTTTGATAAGAGAACGATATAAAACCGATTGTAAATTTTGTAGACTATTCAAAATTCCCCAAAAATTCATCATTTGCAATATTTCAAATATAAGTTTTTCTATGGACAACTGTTTTAAATAATACCCAAGACCCTCAAGAAAATGTGGGACCCAAAAAAATATGCAACGTTAAAATAAAACTATTTTACATTACAGAAATTATATAATTCTCGGTGGATTCTTCGTAGTTCCTTCTGATTTGTAAAACAATGTTCCACATAAATTAAACCTTATTCTTATAACATTATATTTTCTTCTCAATTTTCAGAACATCATTCAATAACTAGTTCGTGTTTCTAGTCACCAGAATTTATTGTTACCAATTTTTCGAAACACGGGTTCTTCATTAGTTTCTTATCCACTAGTATATGAATTTTCCACCCCGAATCAAATTGAAGAATTTCAGCTACCGAACGGAACATGGTTGATGAAGATTTGGGGAGCTCAAGGCGGCTCCTTCAATTCAAGCGCCGGACATGGTGCATATTCAGAAGCCATATTGAAACTAGATTCTCTCACCACACTTTATACATATGTTGGAGAACAAGGAAAATGTGGTGGAAGAAACATAAATACAATTCCGTTCCAAGGCGGCCAAAATAAGATAGGTAAACTAGGTCGTCAATCTTGTACTGGTGGCTCTGCTACCTTTGTATCGAGAGATCCACACGGAAGAAACATTCTCCTGATATCAGGTGCAGGAGGTGGATCTGGATTCAATAGCAAAGAGTTTTTTGGCGGCGTAGGTGGTCCTTTTGCCGGAGATGCACTTGGTGATGCCGATGAAATTCCACCAGAAGATGCCAAAAAGGTCAGAGGGCAAAGGTGCAACAATGTCTAAGCCTGGAGAAGGCGGTATCTACGTTGGAACATTTTCTTTTGCCGCTACGAATGCATCAAGAGGAGATTATTTGAAAGGTGGCGATGCAAGTTGCAGCTCTGATGCGTCGGCAGGCGGTGGGGGAAGTGGTTATTTCGGCGGCGGCGGAGGTGCAGATCTAGCGGGTGGTGGTGGCGGAAGCAGCTACGCATCACCAGATCTGTACAACATCGTTTTGCTCGGTGGTGATAAAACATTTAAATCACCAAACGGAGATGTAGTCACAGGCAACATCGGAAATGGCTTCATCCGCATTGAACTATCTAATCCCTTCACCCTTGAGAAGAACACGATTTCCTGCAAAGGCACCATCGCATGCAATAGTTTTATTATCTACTCTATTCAACTTTTCACCATGGGCATGACCTCTCTCATGCTTGCATGAATAAACAGCTTAAACATTTATTATCATGTAAATACAATTATTCTAAATTTCATTAAGTTTCAATTTCCAGCGTATGAAGTTGATTGAAGCTTTATATCAATATATTGTGAATTTTATTATCCAAAACAATATTTGCATTTAAAAGGCAAACAAAAGTATACTTGAATTCTAGAAGTTTATTTCATTTTCCTGACTTCTCCTGCTGCATGATGATATTCTTGTTGATATCATTGAATAAATGCTTGGATGTACATTGGGATGCTTGATACATTGAACCTATGGAAATATCATTGAATAATTATATAGAAGTTTTATTATTTAAATTCCCAGCATTGGATTGGGTGTACATTGGGATGCTTCATACATTGATTGCAAGAAATACACCTAACTGGTTTTCCTTCCATCAAATGTTGAACCATAAATTGATCAGCAATTGTAGGACGACCAAACGAAAGGAGATCTGCACCTCTTTCGATTGCCTTTAGCATTCTTGACTTCGTTCTGATACGGTCAACAATTGAAATCTTAGCATTAGTTCCTTTTCTTAATATTGGCAAGGCTTCTACATTCCATCCATTCTTAAGATTAATGAACTTTGTTGGATCAATTAAATCTTTAGCAATAAAGAGTCCATAAGAGTACTCAAAAAGATCAACATCTTTAAGGGATCCACTAATCTTTGCGGCATCTTCTGGTTTGTTTCCTCCCTTAACACTGTCATCAGCATTAATTTTGGCGGCGATAATGAAGTCTTTGCCACACTCACGGCGAATCCCTTCGACAATCTCTTGAACCATACGGATTCTGTTCTTAAAACTTCCACCATAGAGGTCATCCCTTGTATTTGTAACTGGCGAAAGATATTGAGAGAGTAAATATCCATGAGCAGCGTGCAATTCAATACCATCTGCACCAACATTTTGAGCTCTCTTTGCAGCAGAGATAAAAAGTTCAATTGCTTCAGAAATATCCGATGTTGTCATAAATTTGTCATCTTTCTGAATATTACGACAATCTGCAATCTGCATTAATGTCTTTGAGCCTTTTGAATGAATGTAGTCAATGGTGTCACGCCATCCTTCAGCATGGGCATCGGTATGCAAGCAAGCTTGATCACGAACTCCTGTAGTTTTTGAATGTGTTGCAAAGTATCCAAGTGTGATGAGTCCCATCTTTCCATCTGCAAGATCTCTATAAAATTTTTGATATTTTGGAATTGCAAATCCATTTGAATCACAATCATGCATATATGTTGGCGATTTCATAAATCTGTTTGGTATGATGCATTTATTTATCTTAACAGGAGTAAACAATTTGTCCATAATCCTAATAAGGAAATGAAAAGTGAAATGTTTCGAAATTCAGAACATTCACCTTCAGAAAAATTGTGAATTAAGAAGAGACAGAAAGTTTGTGATTCTTTTGTAATTACAAATCCAAATGAAATTTTATCAAAATAAATCCACCATCAAAAATTCTGTTTTAAATTCAATGAAAATTTACGATGTCGATTATTTTTCATTCAATTTAAAATATCATTATGGGCGATCAAATTAGATGCCATTATGCAAATGATTTTTTCGGTTATTCGTTTAAAAATTGAAAGAATATTTTAATGTATTTTTAAGTGTTTTTTTGATGCGAATTGGAGACATTGTTTGTGTGAAAATGGGTTTATCTTATGCATACATTTCCCCCATTTAATTATTTTAAGCAATTAACATATTTTTCTGGTAAATTCTATTTTCAAAAATTTTTGAACTTTAGTAATTAGTTGTGAAGAATTGCAATTTTGGTATTTCAGACACCCTCATATAGAATATCCCTTTTTTTGAATAAATATGTTTATTAATTTTAATTTTATTTTGAAATTTCGATAGAAAATTCAATTTTTATATAAATAATAAAAAGATACATTATGTAGAAACAAAGTCATCTGGATTAAATACAAATCCAAGTCCAATCGTGTATGATTTCGCTTTGTGGTTGAGAGTTCCACAAATTTCGAAATTCATGTTATCAGAAACTTTGTAAGAGTATAATGAGCTGATCAACTTATCAGAAACATTGGTTTGTACTTTAGAGCGACCAAGTTCAACAGTTGAAGCAATTGTAAGATAAGGTAACAAAGCTGTCGAAATTGCGTATGAAATACCAAAATTCCAGTTCTTTAGCTTTCTAATATACTGTAAAGCAACAAATGAAACATCTTCTTTGACAAAAGATAGCGATAATACTCTTTTCTCGTTTTCATTGCGAACAAAAGTAGAAAGAGAGTAAACTCCTTGCTGTCTTAATGACTTTATGTACTGAACACCAAGCATTAAATCTGGTCTACCAATTGTTGTTGAAATTTGCATCGAATTAACTAAAGAGAAGTTGTAAAACTTGAAGTCATTAGCTTGTACATCAATTAATTTTTGTGCGGCACCGCTTATTTGGATGACAGGATGAATGTATTTACCAAGATATGAAAATTTAATCGCAGGACTGAGCATACCATCGCCAATTTGGAATCTGCTCATGATGTTAACCTTAGGAATTTGTTTAAAATAGAGAGAAAATGATGAATTTTGGTTACCAAGTGTAAGAAGATAAATATTTTTGTTGATTGTCTTTTTAAAGGTTGTGTATGCAACTGCTGTTTGATTTTGAATTGAGTTATACTGTCCGTTTGGTCCAGGAACAATACTAATTTTTAATGGTCGGAAAGAAACATAAGAATGGAAGTATGCGTCATTTCCTAAATTATAGCTTGCTTCTAATTTAAGTCCTGGATAGTACGGTAGTTCTAAAATAGCATTATCACGGGATGTAACTTGAGAAAAAGATTCAAGAATCATTTTTTGTCACTTTTTTGAGTTATAATAACCCAGACACAACTTTAGCGAAGTATGGAAATATCCAAACAAGATAAGAATACATAAGTGCGACACTGAACAGATGGGAATATATATTACCTCTAAAACCATTAGGAATGCAATATTTGAATAATTTGAATTTCATATCTAATGAAAAATCTTGCATAAACACACACTTTAATTTGAAAACTATTATATACATAAAAATTCATTACATTGCTTCTTCATTTATACGACTCATCATTGATTTTTGCCATATAGCTATTTTTGGGATTTAAATGATGAAACATACTTTAAAATTTGATGAATTATCTTTTTGCATTAAGTAATTTGCAAAAGATATATTCTTGCCTGATTTCATGAGATATTCTAGATATCTACTTTGATTTATAAATCAAGCAATTGAAATTTTGGATCCTATTGTAATTGAGTTCAAGATTTTCATTAAGTGAATAAATCATCCTTCAATTGTTACGATCAATTTGATTGAAGGTTTACAATGTTTCCGAAACTTCTTATATGAGTGAACCGGAATACAATTAAGAGAAATATGATATTGGTTAATGATGTTGTCATTTTTTCTCTTATCCGTTTTTTTTATCCAAAAAAATTTTAGAAATTTTATCAAGATTTTTATTGAATGTCGAAACGAAATCCACCACCTGGTGATCCCGGGCTGAAGGAACTCCAGGCAATCTTTAATGAAGTAACTAGAAATCCTACTCAATCGCAACAAAACCAAAAAGGAGTCGCTTTCGACTTACAAGACAATGATAATCAGGATGATGTACCTTTATTTTTAAAGGACATGACTCCAAAGGAAAGCGATAGTTTCCTATATACAAATTCTACCGGTATTTCGCCGCTTCTTTATAAGCAAACTAATAACGATTATGGTAATTGGTTAAAAAATCTTAAAAGTCCGCATCTATTCCCAGTTAATGAAGAAACAACTCCAAATCAGCAATCTAAGGGTACTACTTCAAGAAATCCAAATTCAGTTTTTGCTTCTCCGCTTTTATCTGCACGATCAGGTCTAAACTCAGCAAGAAAGTTAAAACGACAATATTCACAGTCATATCAGCCAAAGAAAATCGAACAAACACCTGAATTAATTCGACAAGCAGAGTCAGAATTACAAAAAGAACCTACAAAATTACAGAATACACCATCCGAATCTAAAAGTACAAAATCAGCTCGCGAACCTAAGATGACTGGATGGAGATATCGTTTATCAAAAAGAAACGGATATCAACTTCCTTCGGATGGTGAGTACGATTACTACGTTGTCAAAGACAGACCACAAACGCAACGTTCAGCCTTTCCAAAAGTTAATAAAGACAACGCATCCAAATCAGAAAATTCGATCAATAGTAAAAAGCAAAATTCTCAGCCGCAAATACAAAATACATCACCAAGTGGTATGAAATCTATGTATCAAAGGAAAAATATTGCAAATGAAATTCCATCTTCAGATAATCGAGGAAAAATTAAAACTACGCAGAATCTTGGCAATGACAATGTCAATTCTGAGCTACGAAATACATTTGAAAATGATCAAGACGCTTTGAAATCAATTGAACGTATTCAGTCTAAACATGATGGAAAAACAAGGGAAGAAATTCGGGCGGAAATGATTAAACAAAGAAGAAAACAGAGATTGAATTCGATCGAAAAATTCGAACATAATGAAAGCGCAATTCTCTTCGGGCCGAGCGAAAGCGACAATAATCTTGAATTAGAATGCTTTAATAGCGTAATTTCTACCGAAATCGAGATTCCTTCCCTTTCAGAAGATGATCAAAAAGATAATTCAGCCAAAAACACAATTAATCCAAAAAATCAACGAATTAGAACAGATAAAGGAAGATTTGCAGGTAATTCAAGGAAATCCAGCATCAAAAAACCAAATCATGATTTTAATTCCAATTCTTCAAAGAAATATCCGATTCGCAATAAAGGAAATAACACAATGCTCGATTCTATTGAAGAAATAGATCAACAACCCGTGAAACGTTTAGATTTAGAAAATAAAAATTTACCTCATCCGGTAAAAACTCCTCCTTTTGAGCTAAGTCCTAAAGGAAACTTAATAGCAAGGATGAAGAGATATAATGACAGCACAACTCCAGTAAATAAAGACAAAAGTATTGATAGTTTAGATTCATATCATCTTCATTCTACAAATGAACTAAATAATGATGACACAAGCCATATATCAACAACCGCAGAGAATTCTGTATCAAATCGTTCACATTACACGACTCCAAAATATCAACCACATAAAATACCAGATTCTAAGAAGAACTTAGAGAAAATCGATCCAATAGAGATGGTTAAAACACCTGATGACAGTATTCTTGACGATGAAATCATTCAATTGGCAAATGAAATTGAAGAACAACAGAAAACAGAACAACAAACACCAAACAATGAATCAAGCCTTAGGAGATCGAGATCTAAACCACGAACTACAAATAATCAACGTATAAGATTAACATCAAAAGATCTTCCAAAAGATTCAATTGATGAACTGCTCGAAAGCGTAAAACAAAGCGAATCCAACTCAAAACAAGATAACAAGAGTAAGATTTCATCAAAAACGAATGCATCAAGAAAATCTAAAAATCCATATTCACAACAAGATGATTCTCTATTTAATGACAGTTCATTTGAGAATTTCAGTTATCCAAAAGGCATCCAGAGACAGAAAACCCGTCAAATGCCAAAGAATAGTCCATATTATGCAAATGATGACGGTTTAAATAGAGTTAAATCACGACTTGCAAGTAAATTTGATACTTCAACACCTCAAAATCAATCATTCAGTAAAAATGAACAAAAAGGAAACAAAACTCCAAAATCAAATCAAAAAAGTGAAATAAATGAAGAAGATCCAATGGCTACTCCTGTTGTTGAGACCAAGAAGAAAGCAGAGAACACAACAGATCCATTTTCTACTCCTGAAGGTTCAAATGATTCAATTCAATATCACAAACCATCAAAAGAAAATGAAAAACAAAACCAGTATAAAAAAGGAAAGAAAAAAGTTGTTTTACCTGATGATGGAAACTCTGATGAATCATCACAACATTTATTTCCTGAAACAAAACAAGAAATAAATCAAAAACAAGTTAAAAATGATGAGAAATCAAAGGATTTTAAACCAAAAGAAGAAAATAAACAACAATCTCAAGAAGAAAAACCAAAGAAAGATAAAAAACCAAAAGATGAAATCAAAGAAGAAAAAGTTCCTTCAGAAGATAAAAAATCTGAAATTTCATCTCAAGAAAAAGTTAAAAATTCTTCTAAACAAGAAAATCCAGATGAAAAAGTTCCTACCGAAGATGAAGAACTGAAAAATGATAAAAAGTCAAAGGAAAACAAACAACAGTCTCAAGAAGAAAAACCAAAAAAGGACAAGAAATCTGATAAAAAATCAGAGAAATCTAAAGGTGAAATCAAAGAAGAAAAAGTTCCTACCGAAGATAAAAATTCTTCTAAAGATGAAAAACTAGAAGAAGTACCTAATGAAGAAAACAAACCGAAAAAAGATAAAAAATCAAAAGAACACAAACAAGAGAAATTAGAAGAAGAACTATCTCAAGAAAAAGAAACAGATAAAGATGACAAACAGAAAAAGGACAAAAAATCTGATAAAAATTCTTCTAAAGATGAAAAATCAGATGAAACCAAAGAAGAAAAGACAGAAAATGTTCCAGAAAAACCAAAAGAAAGTGACAAAAACAAAAAATCTGATAAAAAGTCTTCAAAAGAAAAAGAGAAACAGAAAAAGGAGAAAAAGTCAAAGAATGAGTCAGAAAAACAGAAACAAGATAAAGAAAAAGAACAAGATGCAAATTTTAGTAAAACAAAGGAACTTCCAACAAAAAATGAGATGAGTTTCAGTTTTGAATCTCCTGAGGCAGGAAAAGTTTCAATTCCTTCTTCGCTGAAAGAGAAAGAAGTTCCTCTTTTGAACATTTCTGATACTCCAATCTTTGATGCACCGCAATCACAAAGAGTTTTCACCAAAGGAGTTGTTCCTCTTCCTAAACAAGTTTTCCCTTCTCCTGTCCAGATCAACAGAGAAGAGAAATCAGAACAATCTCCACTAACAGCTGAAAAATCATTGCCTTCAGAAGACGCAGACAAACAATCTTCTCCAAAGAAATTCAACATCGAATCATCATCTCTTTATGTCGAAAGTTCTTTACCTCCTGAAGAAAAAGACAAGGAAAAGATGGAGAAAAAGAAAGACAAAGACAAGAAAGAAAAGAAGAAAGATAAGAAAGACAAAAACAAAGATAAAGAAGAAAAAGAAGACAAGAAAGAAAAGAAAGACAAGGAGCCAAAAGATGAAAACACTGAAGAAAAGAAGGATAAAAAGGAAAAGAAAGAGAAGAAGAAAGATAAAAAAGAAAAGAAGAAAGACAAAGATGACGAAGAAAAAGTTGAAAAAGAAGAAAAGGAGCTAAAGAATGATGAAAAAGTTGAAGAAAAGAAAGATAAAAAGAAAGATAAAAAGGAGAAGAAAGATAAGAAATCCAAAGAAGATAAAGATGACAAGAAAGAAAAGAAGAAAGATAAGAAAGACAAGAAACCCAAAGAAGAAAAAATCGATAATGAAAATAAAGATATTCAAGATTTATCTCAACCAGTTGAAGATAAAGAATTGAAGAATCCAGACAATGAAAAAGAAGCAGGTGATAAAGAAAAGAAAGAAAAGAAGAAAGAAGAACAGCCAGTTGAAAAGGAAAAGCAAGAAGAATTCAAACCTTCTGTTGAAGAAGAAAAGAAAGATAAGAAATCCAAAGAAGATAAGGAAGACAAGAAAAAGAAGAAAGATAAAAAGGAGAAGAAATCGAAAGATGTTGATAATAAAGAAGATAAGATTGAAAAACAAGAAGGAGATTCGAAGAAAGAAGTCAAAGATGACGAAACTAATGATAAAGAAAATAAAGAGAAAAAGAAAGACAAGAAATCGAAGAAATCTAAAGCTGAAGAAGAAAAGCTAGACAAAAAAGAGAAAAAGAAGGATCAAAAATCTGATGAAAAGAAGGCTGAAAAAGACAATTCTGAAAATAAAATCGAGCAAGAAATTCCTAACTTAATAGCTGAAGATAAATCATTAGAAAATTTGGATAAGAAAGAAGAAAAAAAGGAAGATAATACTCCTAAAGAATCTGAAAAAGAAGAGAAGAAGAAAGAGAAGAAAGAGAAGAAAGACAAAAAGAAAGATAAAAAATCAAAAGATGAAAAACCTCTTGATCAAGAAGACAACAAGGAACCATCTTCAGAAAAGGATAAAGAAATTCAAAAAGAAGATATCTTTCCAAAAGTTGAAAAAGATTCTAAAGAAAAGAAAGAGGATAAAAAGGAAAAGAAACAAAAGAAAGACAAAAAGAAGGAAGAATCAGAAGATAAAGATATCAAAGAACCAAAAGAAAATGCAAAAGAAGAGAAACAAGAAAAAGATTCTTCAAAGACAAATATTGTTTTTCCAATTATTGCTACAAAAGAAGAGCTAACTGCAGAAAAAGATCTTCAACTAAACGAAAATCTTTCATCAGAAACCAAAGAATCCCCTAAGGAACAACTTCCTGAAGAAATACCAGAATCTTCTAAGAATGAAGAGGAAAAACAATCTCCTTCAGAAAAAGAAGAAGAGAAATCTCCAGAAATTCCTGCTGAAGATAAAGAAAACAGACCTTCTGAAGTTGAAAATCCAACAGAGGAAGAAAAACCAAAAGAAGAAATTCCTTCATTAACAGAAGATATTAAAGAAGTTGCTCAACAAATTTCTTCAGAATCACAACCAGAAAAACAAGATCATGAAGAAAAAGAAATAAATCCAACCGAAGAAACTTCTAATCAAGTTGAAAAGTTGGATGATGATAATCAAAATCAAGAACCTGTTTCAGTTCAACCAATTACAGATTCAATTAAAAAAGTTGAAGAGAAAATCGAAAGCAATGAAAAGCCTTCTGAAAAAGAAGAAGAATCCAAACCAACAATTCTTCTTCTATCAGATTCGATCAAAGATGTTCAAACTAAACTTGATGAGAAAACACCAACTCCTCCAGTTTCTGACTCTCCTCAAGATACCAATGAAGAGAAACAAAAGAGATCACCAAGGAAAACTAGGAAATCTAGTTCTGCAAATTCTGCTTCTGAAGAAAATTCTTCTCCAGATGAAAAAGTTGTCTCTGTTCTTCCAATAGGAGAAACAATTAAAGAAAAAGCCGCTGAAATAGCTTCTAAAGAAAAAGAACCCGAAGAGGAAACAGCTAATGTTGAACCAAAATCAAAAGAAGAAGAACAAAAGGATGATACGAAAGAAGAGAAACAATCAACACCAGTACTTTCAATTGCCAATGTAGTTAAAGATAATCTTTCTGATATCCAAAAGGAACCAGAAGACGAAAAACAACAGAAGGAAGAAGAAAAGAGTCAACCAAATAATGCATCACCTGAAGAAAAACCAGAAACAAAAGAAATTCCTCAACTTTCTATTACAGAAGCAATCAAAGAAAATCTTGAAGAAAAACTAGAAGAACCGAAAGAAGAGAAACAAAGTCAAAAAGCCTCACCTAAAGATGAGAAAAACATATCTGTTCCTCTTACTATTTCCGATAATATTAAAGACAAAATCAACAATGAACCAGAAGAAAATGAATCAAAGAATGATTTATCAGATGATAAAGAAACAAAAGAAATTCCTCAACTTTCAATAGAAGAAGCTGCCAGAGCCAATCTGGATGATAAACCTAATAAAACAACAGAAGATAAAGAACCGAAAGAAGAAACAAAAGAAATTCCTCAGCTTTCTATTTCTGATTCAATTAAATTCAATCTCGATGAAAAACCAGATGAATCAAAAGATACAAAAGAAGAAAAAGAGGAAGAAGAAGAGAAACAAACACAAAAAGAATCTCCTAAAGAAGATAAAAACATTGTGGTTCCTCTTTCTATTTCAGAGGCAATTAAAGATAATCTCAATGATAAACAAGAAGAAATTGAATCAAAGAAAGATTCATCAGAAGAAAAAGAACCAAAAGAAATTCCTCAACTTTCAATTGAAGAGGCTGTTAAAAACAATCTTGATGAAAAATCAGACAAACAAACAGAAGAAAAAGAAAAGGATGAGAAAAATGAAACACAGAAAGAATCACCTAAAGAAGAGAAAAACATTATTGCTCCACTTTCAATTTCTGAGGCAATTAAAGATAATCTCAATGAAAAACAAATTGAACCGAAAGAGGAAAAGCCAAATGAAGAGGAAGAACAAAAGAAAGAAAATGAAGCTCCTCAACTCTCAATCACCAATGCTATCAAAGAACAAAATAAAGAACAAGATGATAACAAACCAAAAGATGAAGTTCCTGAAGAAAAACCAGAAACTAAGGAAGTTCCTCAACTTTCTATCACTGATTCAATTAAAGAAAATCTCAAAGAAAATACAGAAAAGCCAAAAGAAGAAGAAAAGAAAGATCTACCTGATGAAAAAGAAACAAAAGAAGTTCCTTCTCTTTCCATTGCTGATTCCATCAAAGAAAATATTAACAACAAACCAGAAGAGCCAAAAGAAGTCAGCAATGAAAATAAATCTCCAAGAAAGTCACCAATTCCAAGTCCAAAATCTCAACCAGAACAAAACTCAGAGGAATCAAAGAAAGATCAACCAGAAGAAAAAGCTCCAACAACTCTTTCTTTATCTGATTCAATCAAAGACAAAATCAATTCTCCAAGAGAACCAGAAACAGAAAAACAAGACAATAATTCTGGAAGAAAGACAAGAAAATCAAGTTCTGCTTCTCAACCAGAAGAAAAGCAGCAATCAGAAGTTGACGAGAAACCAACAGAAAATAATGTTGTTATTCCATTTTCTTTAACAAATTCTGTGAAAGAAAACTTGAATAAAGATGAATCAAAACCAGAAGAAGAAAAGAAAGATTTACATGAAGATAACGTTAAAGATAAAGATATTTCGCCTCTTTCTATCACAGATGCAGTTAAGAACAGCACAAATACTCCTCAAGAACCAAAGAAAAAGAATAACTCTCCAAGAAAGACAAGAAAATCAAGTGCAGCATCTCAACCAGAAGAGAAACAACAACAAGAAGAAAAAGAACCAGAAAAGAAAGAAACCGCAGTTGTTGTTCCTGTTTCTTTGACAGATTCAATAAAAGACAAACTTAAGAACGATAAAGAAGTGAATGAACAACCAAAGGAAACTGAAAATAAAGAAGAAGAGAAACCAGTTGAAGAACAAAAGAAATCAGATGAAAAAGTTGTTGCACCACTTTCTCTCACAGATTCTATCAAGAATAATTTAGAAAACGAAAAAGAAGAAAAGAAACCATCACCAAGAAAAGTCGAACCAATTAAAGATGAAGGTGAAAAACCAAAAGAAGAAAAAGACATTACAGTCCCTCTTTCTCTGTCACAAGCTCTTAAAGATAATGTTAAACCAGAAGAAAACAAAGAAAAATCTTCAGCAATTCCTGAAAAGCCTACACCAGAAAAAGAAGAAAATAAAGTTGTGCCTTCTCTTTCAATAACTGAAGCTATAAAGGAAAACACAGTTAAACCAGAAGAAACTTCAGTGAGAAAATCAGGAAGAAGGCAAAGAAAATCAAGCTCAGCAGATCCTGAAAAGAAATCAGCACCAACTTCAGCAAGAAACAAACGAAAATCAAGTTCTGCGGAACAACCTCCTGCAAACAAAGAAGAACAAAAACCAGAAGACAAGGAAACTAAAGATTCTTCATTATCATTAAAGGACCAATTAACTAAATCTCTAAATCAAAATGAAGAAAAAACAAAGGAAAAGGATTTACAATTGGAAAACAATAAAGATGAAGATAAGAAAGACAATAAAGCTGCTGTTGCTGCAGCTGTTGCAGCAGGAGTAGTTGGAGCTGCTGGTATTGCAGGAGCTGCAACTCTTCTTCACGAAAAGAATAAAGAAAAAGAAGAGATTCCTTCAGAAAAAGAAATCAAAGAGGATAAACTAAACGAATCCAATCCAGAAAATGAAAAACCAATTGAAGACAATAAAGAAACAGAAAATGTTGATAAGGACGAACCGAAAGAAGAAAAAGAAACTCCGAAGGTTGAAGAAACTCATGATGAAGTCAATGAAAAAGAGGTAAAACTGGATGAAGCTAAAGATGATTCACATGAAGAAGAAAATAAACAGACCAAACAAGCTGATCTGACTCCAACTGAGGAAGAAGAAAGCAAAGAAAAGGAATCGAAACAAGACGAAGAACCAAAAGAAGAAGAGAAGAAAGGAAAAGTTGCTGTTGCTGTAGCAGCTGGTGTTGTTGGCGCTGCTGCAGTAGCAGGAACTGCAGCTCTTCTTCATGAAAAGAACGAAGAAAAAGATGAGAATCCAGCAGATTCCCAAAATGACATCAAACCTACAAATGATCAAAATGAAGAAGAAATGCCACAAGCAATTGATGAAAACAAAAAGATCCAAGAGCCTCAGGTAGAAAAGAAAGAACCAGATCAACAAGAAAAAGCTTTCCACGTTGAAGACCAGTCAAATCAACAAAATGAAGACGAAAAACAAGATGAAGATCATCCTGAAGAAGTAAATGAACAAGATAAAGCTTTCAATATCGAAGAAAATAATGAAGCAACACCAAAAGAGGAAGAAAAACCAGATAATAAACATCGGGAAGAAGTAAATCATCAAGAAAATGAAAATCATCCTGAAGAACCAGATCAACAAGATAAAGCTTTCAATATCGAGGAAAATAATGAAGCAACACCAAATGATCTCGCTCCGGAAGAAGAAAATCAGCAAGAAAGCAAAGAAATACAAAATATTTCGCAAGAAAATGAAGAACAACCAGAAGGAAAAGATGAATCGAAGAAATCTGAAGAAACTAAAGCTGACAATCAAGATGAAAATGATAAAGAAATAAAACAAGATGAAACTCAAGAAGAAAATAAAGCTAAACAAGATGAAGAGATAAAACCTCAGGAAGAAGAAGAGATCAAAGAAAAGGAATTAAAACAAGAAGACAAATCAAAGGGTGAAGATAAGAATAAGAAAGGAAAAGTTGCAGTTGCAGCAGGAGTTGTCGGAGCAGCTGCTGTAGCCGGAACTGCCGCATATCTTCATGAAAAGAATAAAGAAAATGAAGAGAATCCAGCAGACAAAGAAGAGGAAAACAAAAACGATTCATCGAATGAAATCAAATCTTCAAATGAACAAAACAAAGATCTAACTAATAAAACAGACGAGCAAGAGCCTCAACAAGAAAAGGAAGAAACAAATCAACAAAAGGAAATTGAAGAACTTCCGAAAGATAAAGTTGATTCAAATCCATCAGAAAATGAAGTTGATGATAAAAAGGAAACTCAACCGAAGGAAGAAGTTGCAGTATCCCAGCCAGATAAAAAGAAAGAGGACATCAAAGTAGATCCAACTGCACATTCTGAAGAACAAAAAGCTGAAGAAGAATCTAAACCAGATATCAACAATCAATTAGAAAATGCTGAAGAGCAAGTTCAAAGCAAAGAACTTCCTGAACAACCAGAAAAAGAAGTTCAAGAAACTCCAAAAGACGAAGAATCAAAACCAGGTTTCAGCAATCAAGAGCAGAGTCAGGAACTTCCTGAAGATAAAACAGATACAAATCAACCAGAAAATGAAGTTCCAGAAACTCCAAAAGAAGATGAAAAAGCCGAAACTCCTTCAACTATTCCAGAAAATAAAGAGAATGACATTACTCCATTGGAAAAAGAAAATTCTAAAGAAGAAGATGAAAAGAAAGAAAAAGAAATCGATCAACATCCAGAAGAAGAACATGAGAAAGAAAAGGAACCTGAAGAAGAAGAAGATTCCAAAGACGAAGAAAAGAAAAAGAAAGGAAAAATTGCTGCAATTGCAGCTGCAGGAGTTGTTGGAGCAACTGGAGTTGCTGGTGCTGCTGTTTATCTTCATGAAAAGAACAAGAAAGATGGAGAAAATCAAGAAGGAAAAGAAGAAATTCCTGAAGACCAAACCAATGACTCCAGGGAGCCAACACCTCTACAAGACAATGTTGATGAAAAGAATGAATCAATTCCTTCAGAAAATCAAAAAGACGAAAATCAAGAAATAAATTCTCCAAATCAAGAAAAAGAAGTAACACAACAAGAAGAAAACAAAGATAGTACGGATGAAACACCAAATCAGGTACAAGAACAATCTCCTGAAGAGCATCATGAAGATAATGAACAGAAACAAGAAACTCCTAACAATGAAGACGAAAAGAATGAAGATGTTCCAATTGAATCCGAACCTCCAACTAAATCAAATGAAGAAGTTTCAAAAGATGAAACAGAATTACAAGAAAATAACAATGATGCTCACTCAAAAGAAGAAGGCCAAACACAAGATGAAGAGGCAAAACAAGAAATTCCTGAACAGAAAGATAACTCCAAAGCGGAAGAAACTCCAAATGAAACAAAAGAGGATCTTGAACAAAGAGAATTGCCTCAGAAAGAAGAAGTAACTCAACCAGAAGAAAATAATGAAAAGATTCCACAATCTATGGAGGAAGATACAAATGAACAAAAACCTGATGAGGAAAAGAACAAAGTAACTCTCAATAAAGAAGAAGAGGAAACACCTGAAACCAAAGATCTTGAAGTACCAGAAGAGAAACCAGATCTTCAAGATACAGAAAAGAAAGCTGAAGAAGAGAAACAAGAATTAAATAAAGAAGAGGAAGAAAAACATAAACCTGTTTCCGAAGATAAGAAAGAAATTCCAAATGAGGAAGAAGAGAAGAAAGAAATTCCAACTGAACAGGAACAACCTCACAAAGAAGAGGTAGAAATAAATGATGAAAAATCAACAGAAATTCCTGTCATTACAAACGTTGAGCAACCAAACGAAAAACATCAAGAAGAGGAAGAAAAGAAAGAAGATAACGTTCAACCAAATCAAGAAGAAGCTAATGAAGAAAATGTCAAAGAGAAAGACTTTGTTCAACCTCAACAAAATGTTCAACCAATTGAAGAAAAGAAAGAAACACCAATCGAAAAGGCAGAAGTTCCTCAAGAAGTTCAAAAAGATGAAGTCAAAGAAATACAGAATCAAGAAACAACAGATATTCCTCCTGAGAGTACTAAACAAAAAGATGATGATGAAGAAGAAAAGAATGAAACCAATGAGGCAGAAGAAACAAACAAAGATGAAGAGAAACCAAAAGATAATCTTGTAAAAGACGAAGAAGAGCAAAAGCAAGATACAACCGAGGAGGAAGAAAAGAAAGAGGAAACTCCTAAAGAAGAATCAAATCAGAAAGAGGAAATCATTCCTGAACAACCAGCAGAATTAAATCAGGCTGAAGTTAAAGAAGAATCACTAGAAGAAAAGAAAGAAGAGCTTGAGCAAATTCCTGAAGTTCAAAAAGAAGAAAAATCTTTAACTCCTGATGAGAAAATTAAAGAGCCAAAAGTTATTGAGAAACCCGAAGAAAAAATTGAGGAAGAAGAAACCAAAGAAGCAAATGAAGAAGAAGAAAAGAAAGAAGAACTTTCCAAGGATGATGAAGATAAGAAAGATGAAACTCCTAAAGGAGTCGCAGTTATTCCAGTAGTGCCTCAGAAAGAAGAACAAAAGCCATCACCAGAGAAAGAAGAACCTGCAAAGGAAGAAGAAGAAAAGAAAGAAGAACCAGTTAAGGAAGAAGAAGAAAAGAAAGAAGAACCAGTTAAGGAAGAAGAAGAAAAGAAAGAAGAACCAGTTAAGGAAGAAGAAGAAAAGAAAGATGGCGAAGTAATTCCAAATGAATCAAATGAAGAAATTAAGGATGAAGAACATCTAAAAGAAGAGAAACAAGATCCAAAGGAGGAAGAAGAAGTTAAAGAGAAAACGAATGAAGAGGAAGAAGTAAAAGATTCAACACAAGAAACTCAGCAAACACTTCCTAACGAAGAAGGTAAAGAAGAACCAAAAGAAGAGGAGGAAAAGAAAGAAGATGTCGCTGTTATTCCAAATGAACCTCCAAAGGAAGAGAAACAAGAACCAAAAGAGGAAGAAGAAAAGAAAGAAGTTAAAGAAACTCCAGCAGAACCCCAGAAAGAAAAAGATCTCCAGCTAAAGGAGGAAGAAGAGAAAAACGAATTACCAGAAGAAGAAGTTAAGAAAGAACCTACTTCTGAAGAAGAGGAAAAGAAAGAAGTATCTGCTGTTCAGCAAGAAGAAAATCAAGAAAAAACTCTAATAGAAGAACAAGAACCTCAAAATAAAGGAAATGACGAAACTCCCAAAGTAGTAGAGGAAGAAAAGAAAGAAGCAGAAATAATTCCTGCAGTTTCTCCAAAGGAAGAAGAAGAAAAGAAGGAACAAGCAAAGCACGAAGAGGAGGAAGAAAAGAAAGAAACAGAGCCTCTGAAAGAAGAACCAAAGCAAGAAAACATGGAGGAGGAAGAAAAGAAAGAGGAAGAGAAAAATACTCAGCCTATTGAAGAAACTCCAATGCAGCAAGAAAATCAACAAAACACGTCTAAAGAAGAAGAGGAAAAACAAGAACTTCAGAAAGAAGATGAAGCGCAAAAGGAGGAAGAAGAGAAAAAGGAAATTCCAAAGGAAGAAGAGGAAGAAAAGAAAGAAAATGAGAAAAAGGCCGCTGCTGTAGTAATTATACCAGAACAAAGAAAAGAAGAGGAGAAAAATCTTCATCAAGAAGAAGAAGATAAGAAAGAAATACCTGTTGAGGAAGAAGAGAAACAAGAAGTTGTTACTTCCGTACCTCAAACTAAGGATAAGAAACAAGCGCCAACTGAAGAGAAAGAAAAGAAAGAAGATTTGCCAAAAGAGGAAGAAGAAAAGAATGAAATTCCTAATGAAGAGGAAGAAAAGAAAGAAGTTCCAAAGGAAGAAGAAGAGGATAACAAGCAGGAGCCAAATACTCCAGAGCCAGAAAAAGATGAAAAGAAAGATACACAAGAGGAAGAAGGAGAGAAGAAAGAAATTCATCACGAAGAGGAAGAAGAAAAAGCAAAAGAGATTGCAGTTATTCCACCTGAACCGCAAATCGAGGAAAAGAAAGAACTTCCAATTGAGGAAGAAGAAAAGAAAGAGACTCTGATTGAAGAAGAGGAAAAACAGGAGAAAGTCATAGAAACTCCACAAGAGGAGGAAGAGAAAAAGGAAATTCCTACGGAAGAAGAAGAGAAGAAAGAAACAATTCTTATTCCAATCCTACCTCAAAAAGAAGAAGGGCTTCCGAATGAAGAAGAAGATAAACAAGAAGAAGTCAAAGAAACTCCAAAAGAGGAAGAACAAAAAGAACCTTCTAAAGAAGAAGAAAATAAACTAGAATCACCCGCTGCTCCAGAACCTCAAAAGGAAGAACAACTAAAAGCTGAAGAAGAAGAAAAGAAGGAAATTCCTACCGAAAAGGAAGAGAAGAAAGAAGCAATCATTCCAAATCGAAAAGAAGAAAATAAAGAAACACCAAAAGAGGAAGAAGAGAAACTAGAAGAAACAGCAACGACTGAACCTCAAAAGGAAGAAGAAAATGCTCCAATAGAAGAAGAAGAGAAGAAAGAATCTCAAAAAGAAGAGGAGAAAGCTCCAACAGAGGAAAAAGAAAAGAAGGAAACCCCCAAAGAAGAAGAGGAAAAACCAGAGGCAGTCGTAACTCCTGAACCTCAAAAGGATGAAGAAAAGATTCCAACTGAAGAAGAAGAAAAGAAAGAAGTGATTGTAACTTCTGAACCTCCAAAAGAAAAAGAACTAAAAGTTGAAGAGGAAGAAGAAAAGAAAGAAACACCAAAAGCCGAAGAGGAAGAAGAAAAGAAAGAAACACCAAAAGCAGAAGAGGAAGAAGAAAAGAAAGAACCTCAGGAAGAGGAAGAAAAGAAAGAAACACCAAAAGCCGAAGAGGAAGAAGAAAAGAAAGAACCTCAGAAAGAAGAAGAAAAGAAACCTGAGGCAGTTGTTGCTTCAGAGCCTCCAAAAGAAAAAGATCTGAAAGCAGAAGAGGAAGAAGAAAAGAAAGAAACACCAAAAGCCGAAGAGGAAGAAGAAAAGAAAGAAACACCAAAAGCAGAAGAGGAAGAAGAAAAGAAAGAACCTCAGGAAGAGGAAGAAAAGAAAGAAACACCAAAAGCCGAAGAGGAAGAAAAGAAACCTGAGGCAGTCGTTGCTTCAGAACCTCCAAAAGAAAAAGAATTTAAAGCAGAAGAGGAAGAAGAAAAGAAGGAAACAGTTGCTCCTCCGAAAGAAAAACCTCCAATGAAACGTCCTCGTCCACTTGTTCGCACAAACTCAAACAAGTCTCACTCTTCCCTGCCTCCACTTTCTCCAAGATCAGAAGCGATGCAGACACAAGAAGAGGAAGAAGAACGTCCACGTATCAACAAGAATCTTCCTCTTCTCTCTCAGTTGGCATCATCAAGGTCTCAAAGATCTTCAAGGGGAGCGATGCCTTCTCACCATGTTACTTTCAAGCCAAGAGATTACGACAAGAACATTGTTCGTCCAACAGATACTCTTGTTATGGGAAGTAACACTCTGAGATCTTTGTATCTCGGAAGTAAGAAGGTTGGCAACGGAGAAGAGACTAACTTTGCTCCGAACCATAACACTACTGATGCTTACCAAGAAATGCAAAATAAGGAATTGCAGAAAAACAAACCAAAGCATTTGTCATTTGCTTCACTACAACAGTTATCTCATATGGACACTGTTGTTAAAACTGCAATGCAGCCAGAATCAAGACCTGTATCAAGGACAAATCAGAATGATGACATTCAGCAAATTCAGAAAAAGCCTACAGGTCACAGAACACAGGTTAGAAATATTGATTGATATTAGATTTTTACTTATTTGTTATGTAAATGTATGTATGTATGTATTTAATTCCACTAAATTCATTTTTTTACCATGTATCCGAAATTGGATTATTGTGGTAGTTCGATGAAGGGCACATAAAAACATATTATTATTAAATGAGGTTTATATAAAGTACTCACAAAATCTAGATTGAGAGGCGGTCAATGACTTTTGAGGGGAAATTAACGCATGGAATTTAATATTATTTAGGTTGATATTCTTGCTTATTATTTCAGAAAAAAATCTTAAAAATTTCAATATGAAAATTGAAAGCAATTCAAAAAAATTGCTAACATGTAAATTTTAATACCCTATGCATAATTTCATATTTTGAACATTTTATATTTTTGTTTAAAACTTAAAATTTTGCGAATTTAATATAATTTATAAAATATAATACGTATATATATTTAAAATACACTAAATTTAATTGTTAATTGACGTTTTTGGGAATGAATTTTATCAAAACATGCCTGAATCCGAAAATTTGAAAGAACGAATTACACAATCATATATGTAGAATTCAAAATACAAACTTAAAGATTGTATACGTTTAAAATTATTCAGATTGTGTTTGATTTCCACTCATTCTGTTTCTTTTGAACTCTAACACTAACATTTCATGATGATTACATGATCCATTTATACATGGTTGAATTGTTCCAGATTCTACCAGAAAATCAATCCAAATTTCTCAATGCATTCATGTTGATTGGACAAAATTTAAAATTTATCAGCCTGTTTCCAGAGAAACTCATATATTCCCTAATGAAATGTAATTTTTGCTACATTTAATTCAATCAAATTTCAAAAAATTGACTGCAGAGCTTGAAAAGGTGATGAATCATGTTGTTATTAGATGTACATATTCGATTTACTATTTTCAAAAAAATGCTCAAATTTGAATAGTTTTTAGAAAATTTGGAATTACACTCCTTACATTATATATAATTAAATGTTTAAATTTTATTTATTTTTCCCTTTTAATTTTATAACGTGCTCTATCAAAACTAACCTCTCAATTGAAGGCCACAAAATCTAAGTAGTGAGGGTACACAAATTTTGTATGGAGTATGGTTCAATTTTTGAGAGCCTCACTACTTAGATTTTGTGACTACCTTATATTTAACGAGTGGCTGGGGAACTTTTATTTCCTGCCAGCCATTTAATCAAAATTTCGGGAAAAAAACTTATACAAAACAATTCGGCTGATATCATATATCTATACTTATCATATCATTTCTTAATTCAGTCAATTTTGAATAGAATTTCTCACTTCATATAACTTTTATTGAAAATTTTCAAATTGAATGATTAAAAATCGGTTATAGATTTCGTATGACATCAAGAATATTTCTCTATATAAGTCATTATGCTTAATTTATTAATTAGAAATAAAAATCAATTTCAATATTTTACGGTTTGGTCTTGAACTTTTTATCGAACATCAGTCTTATACAGTAATTAATGAAATATTTTGATAATGAAAACCTGGCAAAATCAATAAGATCAAAAGCAGATAAAAATTAATTATCAATTTATGTCATTCTAGAATTAGTATTAATGCTCAAGGGTAAAAAATTGATGGACTATCGTTGAAGGTTTAACTATAATTCTGTGTTGTAAAATATGATGAAAATGCTTCTTTTAAAATATATAACATAAATGAAACGACCTGGAATACTGCTTGGTCTCAGTATTGAATAGATTTGAATACCGTAAAAGACGATAGTTCACAAATTTTTGAATAACAAATATTGTATTTGAAAAACTATGAGATAACAAAAAACTACAAATTTTATTAACAACAAACAATTATTAATGTGTAGAGCGATATGAATATGAATGCTGGTGAGAATTTTTGCCATGATGGTGAGATGAGCATGACATACCGTGGCGAACTCTGTTGTTTGCGAACCAAACATTGATCTGATCTCTATTGAGTCCGGTTTTGTCCATCAAATCCTGCTTTTCGGAGGATGTTGGATATGGATTGCTCTGATGATTCTTCAGCCAATGCATCAATATTGAGCGTTGTGAGTCTGAGAACAATGTACGCTTGGTTTCTTTCTTCTTAGTGATGGAAATATCAATATTAATATCTGTTTCTGGAAGGCCAAAGTCCGCTGGAAAAATTGTCATCTGAGATTTATCAATGATAACTCCACGGCTCATCATCATAGAGTAGATGTCTGGAAATAGGCCATGATGATCTGAATCATAGCTATCACTGGATGAATCTGGTGTGCTGTTCTTGGATGAATACATTTTCAAAATGAGAATTGAATAGATTCAATTTTCATTTTCAATAAAGAAGTGAACATATAAAAGAAAAATGAGTCTGTATCTAGTAATGAGTAATATTTATTGATTGATATATTTTGTGAGCTGTAAAATTTGCATGATGGGTGATTTTTGAATTTATCCAATCACTTAGTTCACTTTTGAACTTTCATTTTTTCAAATATTATTAATCATTTCATTATCATATTATAAATCGATAATTTATTTTTGTTTTTCTTAAAAAGAGTTCGTTATAGTTCGAATTAATAATTTAAATATTAAATTAAATGATAATAATACATCAATTTTTTTGATTATAAAAAATCATTAATCGGTTCTTATCAAAAGGTTCTGATGGCTAATTCAATTTTTATATGACATCATCCAAATTTCTTTGCAATATAAATGAAATTGAAGAAAAATTAATTTAATATCATGCAAAATCAATCCATAATTCATTCTCAATTTTTGAATGAAAACTGATGGTTTTGTTCGTCTTTCATAGAAATAATTTTTATCAATTAGAAAAAAATATTTTTTGTTATGGATGATGAATCCCTCACTATATATTTATGTACCTCAATATAATCCCATCAATCTGATAATAACTCCCATTTTTATTATGCTCAATACATAAATATTCACAATTTACTTCTCATCTTGCTCCTACGATCATGTTTCAATACGGATGTTTAAAATTCTTCATAAAAATATCCCAAAGCTCTGTGTTGAAATTAATAATTTTGACATTTTGAATGACATAAGCTTAATCCTTCAAATATATCTTTCTTTAGGTGAGTTTTGGTATCCTATCTCAAAAATCTCAATATATTAGATGATTGAATTTCCAAAACGATAATTATATAAATTAATTTATTATATTCATCTCATGTATGCCAGTGTTATGTACGTAGTCCTAATGTTGGAGTAGTGACATAAACTCTTTTCCAAAATTAATAAACAAACATTGAACATGGATTGAAGAATTTGTATTATCAAACTATGCTATGGCATTATCATCATGTGATATTTTAATGATGAAGAGTCAGAAATGATCATTAATTTTGTCGAATCAATCAGATTTGATAAAAGTCTTGCAATCAAAAGAATGTAGTGGTCTTTTGGAGATTCTCATAATCATTTATAAATCTATCAATGTATAACAAAGTTTTCGAATTTCTTATATAATCAACTTTCTATACAGAATTATGTTGAAAAGCGTTCTAACAGTTTATCAAGAAGAAATTAACTTTCTTTTAGAACTGGAGACATGGTGTGTACCATGTTTCTTGAGAAGATTTGTGTCACAAGTCGATCGCTATGATGGCGAAGAAGATGACATTAAAAACATGACTGGCTTAATGGAAGCTTTTTGATTTCCTTTAACAGGCAAAATATACATCTTTGAAGATTTATATTTAATTATTTATGAAACTCAAATGGTTTGGAATGCTTCTAGATATCCCAAGTTCATAGATTGTGATGATTACTTTAGGTTGAGTGCCATTCGGTTCTTAGATGTTTGTATTTCTCACAATGTGTTTAAATTTTAACGAATTGGGGGCAATCCTAGATAATGATATTAAAAATATGTTTACATGGCCGATGATTGCGAATTTGAGATTAAGAGACATTTAATTTTAATTATTTCTATTAAAATTCAACATCATGTGTTTAAAGCAGCACAGATAGCTATTAATTTTGGTATTTTAAGTGTCATAAGTTCTTTCATTCCATATCACGTCCAATATGCTTTGAATGCACTTGATGTGCATTTTGAAAAGAATGTTGAACAAGATCAAGGAAAAAGCATCTATAATCATTTTAATTTCACTTTCTGCTACAAATTCCAAAGTAGCGTCTCAAAAGCACTGCTAATGATACCTTTCTCTGTCTGATCAGACCAAAATAAATTAACATAGGATAATTTTCAATGTGCAAATAATAATGTTATATGGAGCTTGATCAAGACATGAACTAACCAACGCTATTTTTGTTGATTGGAAAATTCAAAAAAAAGTGACTAATCAATACTTTACATTCATTTTTATTATCATTTATTTATCAGATAAATAATTCTAATACGATGACATATCATTGATGGATTGAGAAGAGCGGTTGGAATTTCATCGGTTCAAAAAAAAAATATGATACCATTATTCTCTGTTTTATCCGTCAGTGAAAATCGTACAGCAAGTTGTACAATTACCAATGATGGATTTAAATTAACAGATGACATTGATCTTCAAGCAGATGCTTACGCAATTTACGATGATTCAATTGATAAAAACGGCTGGTACCAATTACATGTTGTTGGTAACAAAGCAGCATCACCAATCAATATGATGAGATGTGCTGGTATTGTTGAAGGATATCTTTCACATAAAGATATTTATAATCACTTCAAACTCATTTGTGATATTAAAGGCTTCCCACGTAACGCAACCTCTGATGAAGAGCGCTATTCTGCACCATTTATTAAATTCATGAAAACAAATTACAGGTACATTGTTCAATCCATCGATGCTTATCCAGAATCTGATTATTGGACGCATGTTTCATACATCTTTGAGCAAATCAAAGGTATTAACGAAGGTTACAACTATGCTCCAAGCCACGGATACATGTCTCCTCTAGATCACTGGGTTCTTCAATCGGAAGGTGATTTAGGAGACATCACACGTCTTCTCGCCAGAAGGAAGGAGTCCTCTTCATCTGCTGGCCCAACACAACAACTCATGGCCATGGATAGTGGAGATCCAGAGTCATTAGGCGGCCATTGCACAGGTTTAATCAGAGTTCTCGATGACTACTCCGATATTTACTTCGCACATGACGCATGGAGCGATTATAGAGACCTCCACGGCCAACTTAAGGAATATTACTTCCCAATTGAAGGATTCAAGGCCAAGAGACTTTCCCTTTCTACACGCCCAGGTAAGATTTCATCATACGATGATTTCTATCTTGCTGATTCCGGTCTTATGGTTCTTGAAACAACAATGTCCATTTTCAACGAATCCTTATACGATTACGTTGATCCAAAGTCAATTTCTACATGGTTCCGTGCCGCCCTTGCCATGTGGACCACAAACAATGGCCCAGATTGGATCGAAACATTCATGAAACATAATCTCGGTACTTACAACAACCAATACGTCATTATTGATACCAACAAATTCGAGCGCTTCCAACGCCCAGGCAAGGACTTCATTTGGGTCGTTGAACAAGTTCCAGGTCCATTCTGGCAAAAAGAGGATGTAACAGAATATGTCCTCAAACAAGGCTATTGGCCATCCATCAACAAACCACACAGCAAATTCTTATTCGATTTAATGGGATATCCAGAGAAAATTAAACAAAATCCGAAAACAGCGCTTTTCTACACTTACGAGACTTCCGCCCGTTACAGACTAATGGAGCGTGAAGTTCCTTTCATCAAGGACTTCGAAACATTCAAGTCTTTCATGAGATATAACAATTGGAAGCGCGATACTTACTCCAATGGCGATGCCTCGCAGATGATCATGTCCAGATACGATCAGAGAAGACCAGGCGACATCTACGGACCAGCCAAAGCCTTCGGAGGCCTAGATACTAAAGCGGCCAAATTTACAGATTACAAGACAAAGATGATGTTCGACGCCATCGCTTCACCATCTAACGAGCACAACCCCAACTGGAAGTTCGACGACAAATTCCCAGAGGCACACGATGGATTGCCACAGGAATGGAACTTTTCGTGGGTCAGATTCCGCTCTGTCGGATACGATGCTTGCAACTTCACACAGAAGGAATGCGAGAAGGCTCCGATGTGCGGCTGGTGCATGTACAACCAGCAGTGCATGCCAGGAGACAGCCAAGGACCGTTTGAGTTCGAGTGCGACGCAGGATGGACTGTTTACCACCCAATGCAGTCTTTCGCAATCCCTGTTATCATAACAACAACTATTGTTGTATTTGTTTTCTGCGGCTTCGTGCTTGCATGCCATTTAGTAGGCAAGAGACGCCGTAATCAATAAATAAAAATAATTTATTTCTTATAAAAAAAATAATATTTTATAATGAGAATTGTAAATGTTTTCTTGTAGAATTCCGTATTCAAACTCTCTGTATGAAGATGTCTACAGCTAATTTCTTTGCCTACAACTTATTTCTAGTACTCTATCTGTTAAAAGTGCACTTGCAACTTTCTAAAATTTTCTCAAATTCTTTGGCATAAAATTATATGAGCATGCCATGCCGAGTCGTCAGAAAACTGTATATCGGCCCTTAAGATAGCCGACTCTGATGGTAAAGTAATTTTGAACGTTATATAATGTAATAAATTTTAACGCCTTTCTTTATAGTGACATTTTTTATGGTTATCAAATCATTTTAAATTTTCACAGCTGATGACTTTAAGTTTGAGTGGTTAATGTCTAAAAGGCTAGCACAGCTATAGGAGAACCAAATTGTTTATGATATTTTTGAGTTTTCCAAAAAGTGCTAAAAATACTCAATATTATCCTTCTTTCAATTTTCTATATAGGAGTTTTAAAAATTATTCCCAAATTCTTTTTCCAGAATTCCAGTTTACATATAATTAAGGATGAACATACAACCACGGATAACTTCAATATGTTTTCATTAATAAGTTTTAACCAAAATCTGCGTCCAAGCTTCTTTCTAATTCGTTCCTTACTTCAATTTTTATTTGATGCCTTCTGTAGTAAGTAAATGTAATTAATGTTACAGAAACTATGAGAATAGTTGATGAAATAACTACGCTCAATATAATAAGTAGTGTTCTGTCTTTCTTGTATTTATAGTTTTCGCATTTGTCAAGCAAATGTCCTGATAAGTCATTAAACTTTCCATCAAACGTATCATTATATTTCTTTAGATAACAATTAATAAACATATCATTTGTTGAACTGTTCTGCTATTCGAAGATATCAAGATAATTTGTTTTGCAAAACACACAATTATTAAATGTTAAATTTGGAATAAATTCATGTAGACGGATAACTCCTGGATAACAAATAATTTCAACAAAGTTGCAATTAATAAATGATGAAAGAGGATGCGCGAAACCTAGCATAGATGTCAAATTTTCATAATGGGAAAATGAAACATTCAATTTCACAGAAATACTTGCTGCAAAATTATAACTTCCATGGGTTTGGTTACATCCAAAACTATATGAATAATGATTGGCACCTTCTGCATTGAATCGTATGGCAGTTATGTCATTCTTCAAAGAATTATCGCTATTTGAGAAAATGGTAGAAGAATTAAAATTAATTGTCGAGAGAGTATTAATATTTGAAATCATGTAAATAGCACCTGCACAATTGAACGAACACATCTTTTTAATGGTTACACTGCAATTAATATAGGATATGGACAATACTGCTGGATTGGATTCACTAATACAGTTATAGAAATAACATGATTCGACACTAATTTTCGGATCATACAAAATATATTCATACATTGGACGGTAGATGTTTATTGCAGATCCATTTTCTGCTGGAAAACTCAAATCGATAAATTGACAGTCATTTATTTCGAATGTTTCTGTAATGAAATTAAATTTCATTGATTCTTTTGGTTTAAGTTTAGTGGTGTTTGAATAAATATTTGGAATTGGAATAGGATGATTTTCAATATTTGGAATTGGAACGTTGTCTGTAAATATAATGTCACCAAGATAAATTGTAATATTTTTATTTGAATATAAAGGCTTAGTTTTATCTGTTCTCACATAGAATATGCAATTATCGTTTAAAAAGTCAATAAATGAACAGGATGTCATCATAGTGGCTTGTACAAATGAAAAATTGCATCTTTCAAATAAACATTTATCAGCGGATTTAAAATATATGCTTCCAGACATGTTGAAAAAGTATGAATAAGATATATATTTCAAAATTAATTGAAAGTTGCTTTTGGTGAATAAAGAAGAGCAATTAATGTTTTTGAATGCTGCTTTTAAAGCAGAAGAAGTTATTGGTTCACCTGTTGTTCCGAAATAGAAATATGATTTATTAATCATAAAACTTAGATTTTCATTGACTGATTTAGCATATATCACATCTTAATTATCTGCATGACATTCAATAAAGCATGATTTTATTGTTTTAATTTCTTTTTTCAGAAAACAGTAAAACGCGCCACCGAAACCTTCATTGGTATTAGCGTATGATGTAGAAATGCAATTATCAAAAATGCATTAATTGGTTTCTAAAGTTTCGTAATTTAGATTTGACATTAAAATGGCACCGCCCAATGTATGTGTTCTAATAGAGGCGAAAACACATTGGACAAACATTGCTGTAGCAGATGTTACTTTAACTTTTTTGAGGGCTTTCAATTCATAAGTCTCCATTTTATTTTTTTTTATTTATTTTTTATTTTTAATCAGATGTCCTCAAAATGAAACGTTGGAAATCTAAAAACTAAAATTCTTTATAAATCAGTGTATTGTATTATATGGAGATAAAATAATTGAGGGATCAGATATTAATATCCATTCTCAATTTTGAGAATTTTCTCAATTTATGAAATACAATCGAAAAAGGATTTATGGGAAATTTTCTATTGCGACATGCATCTACATGTAATCGTGTATATATTAAATATATTTACAACGAATGAAAATTAACATATCTCCATGATAAAAGGAAATAGTTATAGTCACAAGTAACATCTGATCAAAGTGAGTACTGTGTTGAGTGTGCACATTATGATTGTAACAACTCATAAATAAAAAATTTGTAAAGTAATCTGCAATAAATGACGACATCTGGACTTCCTTCTTCAATACTCGACGTACAGCCAATGAAACCAAGTATTGCCAAAACTGTAATATATCAGCAGGAAGCGGCCAATATTACTTAGATGAATGCAAATTTTTTGATAATAATAACAGAGTTATCAAATTTATTTCAATTTCCAATTCTTTATTCCTACACAATTGCTGTTCTTTTAGTAACTGTACCTCATCAGAAGATGGAGGATGCATTTACTACAGTGTTGAGAAGAATAGCTCTATTGTACAGAGAATGTTTTGCTGTACAAAATGCAATTGTCATGGAAATGGCCAATTTTCATGGACAAAAGTTGACAAAGATAACTTAAACTTTATTATTGAAAGTTGTCTTACAGATGTAGGAAAAGAAGATATTGGCCAAGATTCTATAAGAGTATTAGACGATAAGATTCTTGTATCATCTACCAATTTCTCGTTATGTAAAGCTCCCCAAAAACCATGTGGGCATTTGGATTCCTCTTTAGGCATATACACCACAAAAATGAATTATACAATCATTGTTAATAATAATGCGACAAATACTAAAGGTGAAATACTTGATATTTATCATTTCGCATTGATTGATTCATGTAATATTATTAATAATACTAATTTAAAATCGACATACGGGATTATTTACCATTTCAGAGATTCTCTTAAGATAGTAGGTTGTTCTTTTATTAACAACACTACTCCTGAAAATTCATTTCTAATATTTAATGAAGATGACCAATTAACAGTTGATAGTTGTTACATTGATAGTTTGATTTCAAAGACGTTTCGCATAAGTGTAAAACCTGATAATCCAAGAACATTATTTACGAATAATTTGATTCATCTTTCAATCAGTAATTGCTATGCAGAACTTGTAATTACCGATAAAAGTATTGCTAAAGATTATAAGCTTTACCTTTTCCTAATAAATATAATTTTAGTTACTTAAAAATCTAAATATTGTCCTGTTCTAGAATCTCCCTTCATGTTATTATAAGGCCTGTTTTATTTGATGAGAATCGAATTCCAATTTAAAAACTTATTATTTAAATTAATTCGAATTACAATTTAAAAAATTCAAACTATATTGTAATTCGATTAAAAAACTTTAAAAATATGGTACCAAGGGTCTACGCCCCTCGGACCCCAAATATAGTTAGAATACTTACTAATTTATCAAACTATATTGTAATTCGATTAACAATTTAAAAATATGCATATAATGATTAACCAAAATATTAATATAATTTATCAAACTATATATTTATTATAACAAACATAATATAATTGAGATTTGGTAAAAATCTCGTATTAATTGTTCCTAATAATGCGTAACAAAACTATTAGAATTAAATCTTATCCAAAATCAGCGTCAATACTGCGCTCTAATTCAGAACGTTCTTCAATAACAATCTGATGTTTCCTGTAGACTTTAAAAGTAGCCAAGACTACAATTATAACAAGAGCTGATGAAATCACAACGGTGGTTATGATAATAACAAGCGAATGATCTTTCTTGTTTTTAATAAAATCGCAACTATCAATCATATACTTTGATAGATCATTGTATTTTCCTTCAAATACTCCATTTTCTTTCGGAACAGTACGATTATCAAAAAGTTCAAGGTAATTTGTTCGAATAAATATGCAATCAGAATAATTAATACTTTCAAGAATATCCCTTGTTATTGTAGCAATTACATTGAAATCACATTTAATGTCAATAAAATTGCAATGGTCTATTGATGATAATTTATAATTCAATAGACTTGTTGAAGCCAATTTTTCGTAGTGGCAATACGAAACTAAAACATTAATAGCTTCACTTATTGCTTTATAATAAGTTCCTTTTGTTTGATTTGTTCCTCTTATATATGAAGTATCACGTCCAGGGCATTTAAAAGAAAATGCAAAGTTATCAAACTGCATAGCTATTTGAGAATTCGAGTTTATTGTCGATGATGTAAAATTAACAGCTGATTGTGAAGAAATATAGAAGATTGTGACAATGGATCCGCCGTAATTTAATGCACACATTTTATTGATATTAACTTTAGCAGATCCGTAATCAACACCAATGGCGCCAGGACTTGATTCACTTACACATTCGCAAAAATAACATGAATCTATAGTAATCTTAGGATCTTGTAGATAATACTTATAATGTGGCTGCTCAATATTAATTGCTGATCCGCTATTTTCTAATAAACTTATATTAATGAATTGACAATTTCTAATTTCGAATTCTGCAGGTAAATAAATGAAGTTTAATGATGTGTTTGGTTTGAGACCTTCAACATTAGACCAAACATTTATATCCGGACAAATTATTTTGCCCATATCTGGTTTCGGAACATCATCTGTGATTATTAAATAATTTGCAATGCTTGTAATATTTTTGTTTGAATAAATCTGTTTTGTAGAGCTTTGATCTAGAACAAAAGTACAGTTCAAATTGACGAAATCAATAAATGAGCTTGAAGTAATAGAATTGACTATATATTAAAAAAATTACTTTTGAATGAACAAAGCATCAGCCATATTTGCGTTAGTCTTCATGTATAATGACATCATAGCTGATTCTATTGTTCTCTTATCATTTGCGTATACAAGGGGTGCGAGATTGTACCATTCCATCTTCATCAAGTTGGCAATATAAGGAGCCAAAGCTTCAACGAGTTTCGGATTACTTTCGAGGAGAATCCCGACTCTAACTATATCATCAAGTTGGTTAAACTGAACTTTCTGGGCAAATTTTGATGCATCAACACCAGGGATCTTCAAAACTCTCAAGCAAAAGTTTCTTCTCGCTAAATCCATTGGCTGGATGAATATTTTCAGAGCGATTTCAGCTGAAGAAGCAGGGATGTTTTTAGTAGACAAAACGTCCAAAATTCTTGTTGTTCCCGGTTCCTTCGTTCTATTTAATATTGCCAAACCTTCCAAAGGATCAATCTCAGCAATAGCTGCTGAAGCAGCTCCACCGATGTCATCCATATTCTTTAGTTCTTGGATAATCGCTGCTTTGTCTCTCATCTCGCAATAAAGTGCCATTGCGTGTGAATCCTGCAAAGCAATACTTGCTGCAATTTGTGGCGGAATTCTGAAGTTTTTCAGTGAATTCGCCAATTGTGTGATAACTGACCATTGATTAGCTTGTATTGCAACAATCGCTGCGTCTTGGATATCAGCATCTGTCGTCAAATACTGTGCTAATAATGTTAATCTCTGAGTATCTCTCCTTTCTAATGCAACAGCTGCTGCTATTTGTAAAGCTCTCAAAAAGTTTGTTCCTCTCAAAAAATCGATAAATTGAGAAGGATCTTTGAGAGTTCTTGCGCATTCTCTCCAGCCTTCCAACATGAACAGAGCTCCAACAACTCTTGGGTGAATGAACTGTAGTATACTTGCGATGTAAGGGAAACTCTGCCTGTCCAATTCCAAAATTGATTTCGTAATGTTGTAAAACGCGGAATCAATTCTTTCATCTGAATAACACAACAAAAGTAGTAAATGCTCTTTGTGTGTCCTCAAATTATCTATTGTTAGAAGGTTCATTAATGGCTCGAGAATCATGGGAAGTGGTGAATTTGGATCAACAACTTTCTTCGTGCAAATAATCAAAGCTCTCATGAAATCAACTGTTGGATTTTGCGTTGACATGAGAATTTCATTCATCATTTGAACGGTTTGTTGGCTTGCCATGCATTCTGTGAGCGCTTTTGCAGCAGCTCTTTCATCTGCATCGTCAGAGAAAAGGCCGCCAACGCAGAGAATCGAAAATTTGGCAAAAATCGTTTGATGAATATTTGGAGATGCGGAATATTTCATCAATTGGTTTATAATTGCGAATCTGGACACTTCTATTCCTGCAGCCTCGTTGTACAGCATTTCTAGGTCTTGGCGAGTTTGGCAGTGAACAATTCTTGAATAAACAAGAGATTGTTTGCGATCTATCGTGTGGCCATCGATGAAATACGCACAACCTTCTGCAAGAGGAACAGCGTTGATGCCGCAGAGGTGTTCTATGGAATGGTAGAAATGAGGAACAGATTTCGGAGAATGGCTGATGGTTTGGCTGATGTTCCTTAGACAATGGGCATCTGTGGATGATGTGGCTGTGGCATTAAGGAATACTAATAATGGAGAAATGTCGCAATTCTCAAGAAAAGTTGGAGATCTGTCTGGAGAAAGAGCTGATGCACAAACTTCGGCTAAAAGTGTTCCCCAATTACGTTCTTGGGCTAATTGGATGGATCCGTTGAGTTTAAGGAAAGAATCAAATATTGGTAACATATAATTAGCTTGTCTCCACTGAGAAGCTGTTTCTGCGAATGTTCTGAGAAGACTTGTTGCGAAATCAAGGGAATTTGAGGCTCCTGCGAGGTTAAAACAGACAATAATTATGTCCATCAACAATTTGGAGATATCTTGAGAGACAATGTTGGCAAATGCATGCTCTACATTGTTCAGGAAGTAGTTTAGAGTGAAGATTGCTGTCTTTTCTGCACCTAATTTGTTGAATAAAGCTGTTCTGAAGATCGTAGCTGATTCTGCCTTACGGGAATGGATATAGATGTTGGCAAAGTATGCAATTAATGTACCGTAAGAAGCTTTTGGCATAACTTCGAAACAAAAATCTTCAAATGCCAGGAGTTTTTGAGCGTGACTGTGGTTATTTGCTTCAATAACCTCAACAATATCGGATGGAATATGAGTTTCCCTGTCATTAAACCCTTCTTGCACGTAAAATATGAGATATGCTGATTCATCTTGTGATTTATGACCATAAACCTCTTGCAGGAATTGATCTTCTGGTACTATTGATGATTCTGTGTCGTTTATTAGTATCCATTGATCATCTTTGCGTACAAAAGAGATATAATGACCGGAATCAGGAGTTCCTTTATGATTTATGACGCCATTGAGCTTATATTTCTTCTTTCCGAAGTCTATTTCAAGTGGGAAAGTGAATGCCTTGTTAATTTTGTATCTTTCTCCATTTGATTTGCTGAAATCGAATCTTGAGAGCTGCAAACAGAGAATATTAGGCCACTGTGTAATAATATAGTCATTTAAGTCTAATGTATCTTTCTCTAACGATAAGGGTAAAATTAGAAAATCATCCCCTTTATCGTCGTCGATTATTTTGCATTCAAAATGTTTTTTAATGGGGAGTGCGTTCAAAAGTGACAAGAGGAATTCACTGGCATCTTGTTGTTCATGAGGGTTTAATTTAGTTCCAAATCCATTGAATTCTTCAATTATCTTGGAAGGATCTGAAAATTGTTTGTTTGTCAGCTTCATTTCTCTCATAAGCTCCTGTAAGTGGTCAATCCAAAGACTAGATGGCTGGAGTTCATTAATTTCAGCGAATAACATTGGAAGATGCAATAACTGTTGTATAACAGCATTCAAATAGCAAGTTGCGCCCAAATTTCGTAAACCTGTTGCAACTTTAGCCTTTTTGACTACTTTAGGATCGTAATTCCACTCTACAACCCTGTATTCCGATATCGATTGCAGGAAAGCGTTGAAAGTTGGAGAGCCATGATACTCCGCCACTTTACAGGCCGAAATAAAGTAGAAATCTTGCAATGTGGCAACTCCGCATTTGATAAACTCTCCAACGAAATAATCTGCATCGTTTGCTGTTATCCTTCCACTGACTAAAATTTGACATATTATTGAAATGCAGTCTTTTCTGTCGTATTTATTAAGAGACTTGCATGCCGTTAGTAATGTTGGTACTGTGCAGTCTTGCCACAATAAGGAAATCGCTTCTTTGGCTGATTCTGAGTAATCTTCACTCAAAATCATCGAGGCTTGCTGAACAATGTCATCGGAGAACGACGGGAATGAAAGAGCAATCACTTTCATGGAGTGCCATTGCTTTTCTGATTGTAAAGAGTTGCAAACTACTTCAGATAATTCTGCATTTGCCAAATCTGGATGTAATTTAGCAACAGCGTTGATAACATAAGGTGTACGTTCGTTGTCAATGATTTTGTAGAAAAGAGTGAAGTTTTTCTGATCAAAATCTGCTGGATATGCCATAATGCAGTCCAAACACTCATTTGTAAGGTAAGGATCGAGCATATATTTGGTCGCAACTATAACAACATGAACACCCATGTTTAGAGCGCATTTAAGAAGATATCTGACGTATGGAAGAGTAATTTCGTCTTTTAGAGTAGGTAAAATCATTTCTGGTGTGATCTTTTGACTTAATGGCATCATAGCTAACAGTTCCCATGAGAGTTCATTGAAATCAGGAGTTGTGGAAATTTGGAAAATTATTGTTTGCAAATCTTTCTGGGAAATGTACACAGATGGGATAAATGGCTGTTGGTATGTACCTGTGCACTCAATATTGATCGTTCCGTGGTTCTGGATCTTTAATTCTGAAATTGTTTTGGAATTTGGCTGAATTTTCCTTTGATCATGGATGAAACAAGTAACTGTGAGGCCAGTGAGATTATATACTTTCTTTGCAATCAAGTTTAATGACGAATCAGCGTTTGCTGCCAATTGAAGAACAAATCCATTTGGAAACCTTACTAAAACTGAAAGATTCGGGTATTGATCGATAAATCTGTAGACATTATACTCATTTAGAACCATATTTTGTTCAAGTTCCACTGTCAAATCTCTAAATAATTCCAAAATCTTCAATTTCAAGAAAGGTTTGTTCGCTTGGTTGAGGTAATAGAACAAGAAGTCATAAGCAGCGGCATTTTTGGACTTCATGATGTTGATTAAAGCGTCATGAGGAATTTGAGCGATTTCCGGCGGAGTTACTTGATAAGCGTGGACCAAAATGTTCATATTCGAGATTGGGAAGGTCTCTATGACGAAATCAGGAGAAATTTCGCCTTGTTTCATGGCATAATAATAAATAAAATCTACGATGAACTTTATTTGGTCTTTTGGAGCTGTTGGATACTTCACCATCTGTATGCAAGTATTTACAAACTTAAATCCAGCGTTACTGAACGCATTTAATTGAGTTCTCAACAAAAACTTGTCGAGATACGAGAAAAGGTTTGCATCCATGAAAGCAGTGATGAACTCTGATGGCATTTCGGATTCTGTTGTCTCGAAGTACGCAATCAAAAAGTTTTTAAGGACTTCATTAGTTTTGTACTGGCGATAGATCAAATCTCTGAACTCATGCGTAAAGTAGTTACAATGGCATTTCAATAATGTGTCGAGTAATACGAATTCCTTGTTTTGAATAATCCTTTTTTGGATTAATTCGTAAAATTGGTTTTCTATCGAAGGGTGAACGCGAATATTTCCTGTAAGTAGTTCGGATGGATACTGGGTTGTCGTTTCAACTAGTTCCTGGCTGAAATTTGTCGGATATTGTAATAAATCTACAACTTTTTGCTGGGGAAGCATATGTAAAACCTCACGAGCTCTGTCGTACAGTGATGTTGCCAAATAAAAAATATCATTATATTCAAAAATTTTCTCTAAATCTTGAGATGTCAACACATTCGCCTGAACGAAGTAATTAAACGTCTTTGGGACATCTTTTATGTTGAATCTTCCTGCCATATAGTATTTATGGAGTTCATTTGTTTTGATATATTCAATAAAAACTTCTTTCTTAGTAAAATCAATAAGAAGTTCGTATAATCTTATGCCATCATAGAAGCTTGACTTCATTATATTCTTCACGGCATTAAGAGCTGCAGAAATGGCTGGTCCGGAGTTGTCAAGATAAGATAATAACGGAAAGAAAACAGAAGTATCTTTAAATGAGGCTGGAAATGTGTAGTTACGAACATATCCGAGAAAAGAATTAAGTAGTTCACCAAAGAGTTCCGCGGTTAAGTAAGGTTTCATTCTAAACATCATATCAGCGATAGATTCAAGGTGTTGCATTGATGGAGGTGGTGGTAGTTTCAATCGTTCAATGCATTCTTGAAGTACGTCGGATTCTATGAACTTTTGAACAACTAATCGATATCCTGAATCATCTTGAAGATATATCTTATTTTCCTTGTTGAGAATGTTTTCGAAAACCTTCTTTAATGTAAATGCTTCTCTGAATATCATGTATTTGAACATTAATATAGAATTACATAAAGATTTTAAAATTAGCTTGTATCTTTCCCTATTTTGATTGAATAGATTTAAGAATATATCAACAATGGTTGGAAAAAATTCGTTGATGAATTGCATTTCAAACTTTTCGTCTATATATTTGAACTTTGTATACAAATCAGTGACAATAGCATCAAAATTAGGTAAGAAAGCTGAAATATCTGAGCCACTCTTGAGAGTGTAAATCAATTTAGCCATCCGGGTCTCTTCATTTGAGGGAATTTTCAGCTCCATATATTTTATGACAGAATAAAAAAAATTTATCGGAATCGAAAGGCTTTGAGATATTTTCACTTTTTGTTTTGGATATTCCGCATTTTATGATGGTCACTGTTTGAATAAGAAAAAATCAAATTCAAAAACATTACATTAAAAGTGTCAAAATTTAATCTTGTCACTTTTAACCACGATACATCAATATTTTCATCGGACTTTCCAGCAAAAATACTATTAACGCATTGATAACTCAGTCTACCCCTGCTTTTTATTAAATCAAAATACAATATCAGCCAATGCTTTGAATGAAATCTTTGATGCGTAAGTAGGAAACTGATTATGGAGTTTGTCATTAATAAAAACCATTTTCGATGGTATTCTTGGCTGAACAAGATATGTTTGAAAATTTTTAGTGTTGAGAATAAAGATGGCTATGTTTTCCATCTACTCCAAGCAAGTTTCTATGGAACCCTTTCCTTACATAAAGTGTTCGTGCTTTTAAACTGCATCACAGTGATATTTATTTATAAAAAAATTAAAAACTCCAATAAGGTTTCAAAATATGAAGTTGTTATGATGAAATGGCATCAAATTGTTACAGCATTGTTGAATTTTATGAGTAATTTTAGATTTTATGAGATATATCTTTAAATGAATCAAGCAAGATGAAAAATATGATTATGAAAGCCTGTAAATGCATTATTTTTTATATCTAATCGATAAGTAGCATATTCATATTCTACAAGGTATACTATTGACATTAAAAAAAAAAATATCAAATCCTGATTTTTATTTATTATAAATATCTTCCTCTAAGGTATAAAATACTTTTCACCATAACCTAAATTTAGAACTATTAGAAGCATATTATAAGCTATGAAAAAAAATTTAAAAAAATCAAGATTTGTTTATAAGAAGGTAAATAAGGCAGTTTACTTTGATGATGGATGCCAATAAAAACAAAAGATCGGCTATCGTACATTTTTTCCCAATATCTTTTTTTAATAATAAATATAAAAGAGACAAATACATTAAACAGTTCTTTTGGCCTTAGCGTGACGACCCATGAAGCGCTTGTTAGCATCAAGGATACCATTGATGTTAGCGTTACCAGCATACTTGAATCTCTTGATAGCAGGGATACCAAGGATTGTAAGGATGACAAGCAGTATAGAGCCGGCAAACTGAGTAATCATCATCATATATAGGTTATCCTTTGTATATGTGCAGAGAAGGAACTTGTCCTGGTAAATTGTATTCTTTGACCATCTGCAGGTTGTGGAGTTCTCTATAACCATCGTAGCAACGCACTTCTTCTTTGTATCAGCTAAATGAGTTGTAATATTATCATGATTTGCTGTAGCTTCACCTGGATAAAAGAATGATTCAGCTGTTATACTCTCATTTATAATTTGATCCCACGTAATATTTTTGTGAAGATCAGTACAATTAGATTTATTACAAAGATCCTTGAATTCGTCTAACGATGTCAAGCATTTGTAAATGAAGCGGTCCTGGATGAATGGATATACAGGAGAAGAAACGCAAGGAACGAAGTATTGAAGACGCATTGGTAAGAATTCGTCGTTCTTAGGTGAAGTGTAATCTTCAATTTCTGAACAGTAATCGAGGACAAGTTTGGAGCCTGCAAGATGGATACCGAATGAGAAGAAGAACAAGCAATCTGATATAGCAAACAATATAACCATGATAAGGACTGGACTTCCTTTATGGACAGAACCAGCAGCAATACCTAATGAACAGCCAATTGTAGAGAGGATGAGGTTAAAAATGATGACGAGCATACGGAAGATTTCGTATTTCTTGAAGAAGAGACGAGTTTCTGTTGCTTGTCCTTGAGCATATCTGAGTGAAAAAGCAAGGTCTTTTTGAAGGTCTTCATTTGTAATATCGACAGAGTAGTTGTATGTTGAGGCATTTTCTAATTCAACCTTGTCAAACTGGGCTTTTAATTCAACGGAAGTTAAATTGAAATTGTTTGTGAGAATCTTAAGTCCCTTGTGAAGATCAGTGTTAGCAAAATAGCCGTAGATGAGAACAGCTTCTAAGAAGAAAGATATAACAATGATAGCGTAACGATAGAAGTTAATGTTACTTTCACGATAACCTTTTCTGCGAACGTTTTTGCCACCGCAGCAGTTGCAGAAGTATCTGCCGAGCATAAGTGAAATCACAACTATCATGAAGACTAAACCGATGATACCTGGAATCATAATATACATAATTGTCGATTGAATATATTGCTCATTGTCCATATCAAATTGCTGGTCAATAACGGAAAATGATATGTCGATGCGAGGAAGTTTGTTGATAATTGTTGTTGTAACTCTGGTGACTTTTCCATTTGTTGGTATACGCCAATCGCCATTTCTATCGTGCATTACATCGAAAAAGAGTGATGTTGGTATTCTGAAGTAAGCCACACCAAGTAATAAAACTAGGAGGGCTGTAACAGTGGGAATAACAGTGATCTTTCTCATTTTAATTCTTATGAAAAAAAAGTCTTAGGGAGATTTTTAAGAATGTTTGTAAAGTTAACAAAAACCACACAAACATATTATCAATATTTGGTATTGTAATAATATAGCAAATTACGAAAGTTAATTTTAACGAGTTGTTCTTTTGGTGGAAAAAATTGAATCATATTTTTCGGTTATTGTAAGTTTTTTGAAAGTTTTTGTAAGGTTTATGCGCCAACATTAATTATATAAATGCATTGACCTTTAAATGTTATTCCCATATATAATTTGTAAGCGCTTTGAATTGTACTTCTTTTTTTTTCAAAATATAACGAGCTAGTTATTGTTTTGCAATATAAACTATGCTGTTAATATCTTTCAACACTCTCTCGGAGCTCGTTAATAAATTTTTCACTTTTGAATTACTTTCAAATTTATTTATCTGGTAAAGTTATTTTATTAACATAACTGCATCAAATCTAAAATGGTTTACTCATTGAATTATCAATAATTGAATCTAATTTAATCGTAGTGGAAGTAGTCATTTTGAACTAGTGAATCAAAAGAGATATTCTATCCACTGTTTGAGTTCTACAAGCCAATACTAATATTATAACATAACATACTTATAGTACAATTAATCACTACCTTTCAGATTATTAACTTGCATGAATCCTTAAATTTCCAAAACTATATCTTCATTTTTGAGGACCCTTTCTTTTAAAAATGGCATTTACAAATAAGCAATAAACATCTTGTCCTTTTATATTATATTTTTATGATAGATTTAAGTCACACTTTCTTATTATTAACTTGATTGAGTTCAAGAATAAACATAATATTTATGATTGTACTTGTGAAAGCAATTGTTACGCAAACATGAGACATTATTCATTTGTTTCCAATAAGATAAAAATCTTCAAGATTTCAGCCTTTATTATCATTTATTTATAAGCATGATAATTCGTGACAAAAAATTATATCTGATATTCAAACTATATTATATTTCGGTTTGATATGAAACAATTGTTCGTCAAATTACGGAAAAATGCAGGTTTGTCCAGGAATTTAATATTTTAAATAAATATACAATGTTTTTCAGCATCCCTTTTTTTAATGTTGAATGATCGCAACATTCAGAATCGCAATCTCGGCTCATTTCTCAAAATGATTTAAAAATATTAGGTGATTTATTAATTCCCCATGAATATCTATATATTCTCGTATTCCTGGGCTCCTATAATGGCAAATGACCATAAAACAATCCCCAGAATAAAGTTATTTTTGGGCATTGGCCTTTTTAGTGCTACTAAAGTATGCTATTGACAATCTATTTATGCAACAAAAATACAATACCATATTTTTTTCATGGTTAATTAACAAAATGATAAACAAATGGTGATGTTTCTCATTATTAATACATGTAGATAGATGATCTCATAGTGTATCTAACGTTTTGAAGCAGTGTAATTGCATTGACACATAAAGAAGCAAACATTTATTACATTCTAAAATTACATAATATTTATTTATAATAAGTACTTATCAAGTGTTCTCTGGTACTCGGTTATAACAATAGCACTATTATTAAATCTTGAAAAATAATACAAAATTTTGATTGTCGGAATGAAAAGTGACAAAATTACTATGTCTAAAAACTGATAACATTAAAATTGTGTCTAAAAAATTATACCGAAATTATTATTAGTTTGATAGAAAATATTTGTCGGAATTATTCTTGATATTGTCAAAATTGCGAAATTTTTTATTTGAAAAATTTTTTATTTTTTAATGACTGATTTTCATATGTTAACATTAGAACAATATCTTACAGAAGACATTGGCGTACCTATTGATGAATATACAAAAAAGGTATTGTATGCTACACTTCAGGAAATCATGCAATCTCGAGCAGATTATTTGCACACATGTGAAATCCGTGAAAAAACCAATGATGATATCAATAAACGAATATCGAAATATGTTGATTATTTTACTACTGTTAGAAACGAAATAAGTATTATACAAATAATCAAACAAGATTTTACTTTCTCATTTCCACTTAAGAGCGAACACCTTTTAGAATACTTCAATAAAATAATAGAATGCACAATAGGGAAAGATTTTATTATTCCTAAAATTGTGGCAAATTCATTTTTTTCAGAATACAGTTTAATTACACCAAAAACTATTGAAGAATCAGTAGCCTACGCGTACGCTCAGTTTTCAATCAGTGATCATTTGATTGATGGTCTTAATAAAGCTATTGATTCACTTTACAAAATTGTTCAATTTGATCAAAAGATAAAATCATTTTCACATCCATCAATCAATATCGAATTCGATCCAATCAACAACAAAGCATTTCCACCTCTTACAGATAAAGAAATTCCAATAAGTTACATCACAACATTGATGTCTTTCAAAATCTTCGAAATGTCAAAAGAAATCATTTCAAACAACAATTATTGGAAGATTGATGATGCAGAAAATCAATTAGAAATATGCGTCAGAATCATTAACAGTTGCTACAATGATGAATCGATTAATTCCATAGTTATTCCAAGTGTTTTAAGGGCAATTGTTGTTTATTTACACATTTATTCATTTAGAGATATCAATAGTCAATCAAATACAATTTTACTTGATAGATTGATACAAACACTTATATCATGTGAAGCATTTATTGATGTTGAAAGTGTTAAAGAATCATTTTCATTGATGGTTAAATTAGTTCCAAGAGATATTTATTCTGTTGATTTTTGCACAAAAATTTTGACAAAAATTCCACCAATGAAGCTTGATGAAAAGAATCCACAATATGTCTATTTTGCTATTTATTCACAAGATAAATTAACAGACAATGGCATTATTTCATGCATCAAATACATTTCTTTTCTCAACTTTTTGTTCGGAGTTGATAAATCTCTTGTTCATTTCATTTCCAATGTTTTCGCTGCATTAAAAGATTCACATAATATCGTCATCTTGAAGGCATTGATTGAAGAAATGTCATGCATTGCAAATGCACCTTATATGGCCATGGAATTAATTGATCAAGCAAGAATCAATTATGATCTTTTGAATGAAATGTTTGAGAAAAATCAAAAATCATTTTCTCTTTATTTGACATGTTTCATATCAAAAATGATCGATAATTTTTTCGCAACAGATGATTTCATTCCAATTTCACAACAAATTCTTCCATTTTGCGAATTTTCCCTCAAGAACAAAGAACAATTTGTAAATATCGAAGAAGCAAAAATTCCAAATTTAATTTCAAATATTTATGCATCAAAACTTGATGAAAAAGTCATGAAATAAATTGATTATTTGCACAAGAAGATTCCATTCATACAAAAGGCTAAACCATCAAAAGATATTTTTGATATCGAAATGAAATGTTTCGCAACATTGCTTCAAATTACAAAATCCGTTGAAATATTTGAAAAGTTTACAAATGATTTACAAAATGACGAAAATACTTCTATTCCAACAATGATCAGAAACATATGGAAGAAAGTTTATACAATGAGAAGAAATGCCGTGGATGCAAATCAGAACACAAATGCTAACTCTAAATCATCAGATCTCAAAAGCAACTTTTCAGAATTTTCAAATGATTTCACAACAAAAACAAAATTTGTTTTGCTAAGTAAAATCGAAAATGATTTTGAAGAAGTCTTCAAATTCATTTCATCCAAATATAGATTTAAATTCATTTTGGAAACATCTCAAAAATTGAATGATAGAAACATTTTAAGAATCAAGTCAATTGATTATTTAATCGACACTATTCCGAAACTTGATTCGGATAATGAGTTCTTCTTGGTATCAAATTTGGGTTCAGATTTCCATAGATGTGATAAATGCGATATTAAAACATATAATGAACTCCAAGATAAAATTACAAAACTTTATGAATTCATGAAAGCTAGAACTGATGTTGTAACTAATTATAATTTTCTTGCTTATTCAATGCATGTTACTTGCCCATATAATACATTAGAAAAAGCTATCAAAAGCAGCAAAGATAAGGTAAGAGAAATTTCATGGATTGTTATGTATAGAAATGCAATTATAACAAAAGGTGAAGATTACTTGAATGGATTAATTCAAATTTCACAAAAAGGTGATTCAGAAAGTCGTAAATTGAAAGCATTAGCCATATTGCAACGTCTCAATGGTCCTTTACCAGATATGAAGAGCTTAATTGAGTCATTTTCTAAAGACAAAAATAGATATCTTTATATTAATCTTTCTACAAAAGAAACAAATAATGAACAAGATATTTCATATCTCAAGCTATTTTTCAACATGTTCTTGGATACAATTGGCAACTATGTTACAAAGCAAGGCGGATTAATCTCAGTTATTGATGAACTTGTAAGTTTCATTAGATTACTTTTGAAAAGTAAAAGTTCAGCAAAACACGAAATTGTTTCGAATTTAATTCATGAGACTCTTAGAGGATTATCGCCAAATTTCAATAATGCTCAGCTTGGTTTATTTGTCGTGTTAGGCGTTGGCGGATTTCCAGAGTTTTCACTGCATTATTTCAAAAATGGAAAGGTTGATTATATGACATATAAAATGAAAGGATCAATTCCTTCAGCAAGAGTTCCTTTCGATCCAAACACATTCCACATTACTAAAGAAGAAGCTGAAAACTTCGAAAAAGTGTTTGAGTACATTATAAAAATGAGCAAGGAAGTTATTCCTGAAAAAAGAAAATTAGAAATTCAATTATTTTTGACATCCTTTGTTTGTATTTTAGAAAACAGAGAAAATTGTATGTTTTTCTCTGATAGTTTCATTGAAACTCTTGATGAAACAATGAAAGTTAAGATTCAAAATTACCCATTTAAGGAGTTTTATTTAGATAATTCTTACATTCCAATTAAACGCCCTTACTCTGGTACGTATTGCGGAAGACATGTGTTTTATGAAGGTGGAATCTACACTATTGTTGAAGAAAAGATATCTAAAATTAGATTTGAAAATGAAGTCGGATTTTTTGTTGAAATGAAACCAAGTCTTGCTCATATAATTGAAGATTCAAATCTCAATCGTAATGATTACTTTAAAGTAAAAGTAGATCCCGATGCTATAGTAGTTGTCTTCACCAGACTATGTTTACTCAATCTTTGGAATGCTGGTAAGTACCAAAATCCGTATTTGTTATACAAATGTCTATTTTCATTTTCCAAAAACAGATTGGAATTGAAAAATCCATTCTCCTCAGAAAATTTCGAGAATTTATCAATATTAAATATGAAGAGCTACAAATGGTTTATCAACAAAAAGATTGTTGAAAACTTTGGAGATGTTTGCAAATCAGCTATTTCTTTTTACAAGAATGCATTGTGTTACAGTTCGGGGGTTGATAAAACTGAACGTAATTCAAACTTTTTATTCCTTTATAAAAAAGAAGATCAAAGATCTGATATAATTATTGTAGATCATACACCTAAAAAAGATAATGATACCCACATATCAAGAAATGGGTATTGGACTCCAATTCATATATATCCTGAAGAAATTTCGATCAATGAACATTACAAACCAAGAAAATTGCATGATATATTTAAATACTGTTTGTTCTGAAATCAGCATTGATGAAACATTTTTCTACCCGATTTTAGGAAATATATTTGGTAAAAATGTTCAATATTTCAAACTCTTATGCAACACAATCATTATCAATCAAATTTTGACAAATGATCGATTCGAATTAGTAAAGCATTTCAATCTTTTATTACAGCTTCAAGACATATTATTCGAAGAGAAACTCGTTAAATTCGAGAAAGAAATGGCAGATGCTCCAGAACCAGTCAATTTCATTCAAGACAAATCTTTGGAAATGCTTCTTGATAGCTATGCAATCCAATTGTCTTTATCTGATTATTCAACATTACCAAGATATCCTAGATACCTTTATGCCAAGTATTTTGCTGATGAAATCAAGGATCTCATTACTTTGGATTGTTCAAAAACATTCAAAGATGTTAAACCAAATACAATATTGACTTTCCATAGCACAGAATGTGACGGAAGAGTATATATAAAAGATGGAAATGTAGCAATATTACCTTTTGTTCCACAACTTAGTTACAAAGTCCAATCAAGTCAATTCAGAATCGAGATTCTAGGTCCCACTGGTAAAAAATTCAAGTTTTTCATGGTTACAAAACTTCCAGTTGGTAAGTCTCTCCCAATTAACTTTAGGCAGATCATCTTAAGTGCTGAACAAAACTATAATTTCAACAATGATATTAGAATATGTCAATCTCTTCAGAGAAATATTGAATGCAGTGACTTTTACGGAACAGACAAAAGACTCTTGCATATGAGAACAGAATTCATTAGGAAATTCTCGGTTTTAAAAGAGAAATTCGATTTCCATCTTGAGTGTTCAATATTCGAAGGCTACCAGGCATTTATTGACAAGTGCAGAGACAAATTGCAAACAATGGTCTATGATTTATGTCATGATCTCCGTCACGATTTCAATCTCTATTTTTCAAGAAATGAGGCAAACAAGAAACACTTTAGAATGGGAGGAAAAGGATATATTGAGCAACTATATTCAATAATGAAAAGTAAAGGTATCAAACCTGAAATGTTAGGTGTATTCTTAAGATATTTCAGAGTCAATTTTGTTGGAGAAGGAGGTGTAGATGCTGGTGGCCCAAGAAGAGAAGCTTACGACAATTTAATGGCAGAAATCATTGATTCTGATGAATATTTCGTCAGATCTCCAAAGTCGAAAGAGATGGGTTCAGTTGTAAAAATACCATCATTAACTGCAAGACCAGAATATATTTCTTTGGTTGGATCTCTTGTTGCTTCAACATTTCTCAATGGTGTCAGATTCCCATTCAGATTCGAGAAATACATTTGGAAATCTCTTTTCGGATATCCTATAACAGCATCTGATGCAATGAGTATCGATTCTGAATTAATGTCAACTGTTAATTCGTTGCGCTGTGGATACAAAGGTGTTGTTAGAATGAAAAGTTTAAGTGGAGAATCACTTAAAGCATGGGAAATTACCGAAGAAACAGAAGAAGAAAAAGTACAATCAATACTTGATGAAATTATATCTCAAAGAATTAAAGAAATGAACAACGGTTTTGCACCATTCAAAGATGGTTTCCTTACAGTAATTCCTTTTAAATATTTGAAGATATTATCACCAGATGTTATTGAAGAATTATTATGCGGAGATAATGAAATTACTGCTTATCAATTAACATCAATTCTTCGTTTCAGAGGCAATTATCCATTACATTATACAATGTTCACAAGATGCATTGAAGAAATGACGAATAAAGAAAGAATTTCTTTAGTAAAGTTCATTACAGGAAACACAACAAAACCAGATTCAATTACTGTACATTTCTATGATGATGGCAGAGAACATGATATGAAGAATGGTCTTTTACCATATGCACATACTTGCTTCAAGTCCATCGACATGTATTTATATACATCATATGAGGTGATGCTTTCAAAGTTGAGAACAGCTATTGAACATGGATCTCTTATATCAGATGGAAAATTTGACTTCTCTGCTTATGTGGGAGGTTCTGGCAATTAATATGACTAAGTTTTATTTTTTCCTTATTTTGGGCATTCCATTATTATAGGTCAATACTTTTGATAAAATATTGTTTTTTATTATTATACTTTTCAGTATATACTCTACTTACAAGGTGACTTGATATGTTAAGGATGCAACGAAGACTTTGCGGATTATTAATTTACAATAAATTTGATTCTTATTTTTTATTACTTATTTTTGATAGTTTTCGTTCAGAAATTTTAATCATATTTTAAGTAAACATATATTAGCATTCTTCGCTATTTGGTTGCCGCAATGCGACAACCAAATAGCAAAAAATTCAATTTTTAAAATTATTTATTATTTAATTATCATTCAAACTCCCAGAAAACTGAGAGTTTTCGCTTAGTGTCTTTGGATTGAAAGTAAATTTATGAAAATTGGAGGGGTTCAAATTTTGATATTTTCTTCATGTAACTCTGTCAATGATATTTGCAGCATATGAAATAATTAGCTCAGATGTTTCTTTACAGTTTTTACATACTACATAATCTTTTTCATTAATATTTGTACCATATGAGAGAAGAAGTTCGGTAGTTTCTTAATTATTATAAAATGCTGTATTTTTATTATTATTCTCCATTAATTGTTGCACCATGCGAAATAAGAAATTCAACCATCTCTTTAGAACTAAATACTTCTGCAATACGAAGAGTTATTCCGAATTCACCTTTCCAATTAACATTTGCACCATGTAAAATAAGATATTCGGCCATTTCTTTATTGTTATTAGCTACTGCACATTGAAGAGCATTGCTCACAGCTTCAGATTTTTCATTAATCTTTTCACCATGTAAAACAAGAAGTTCAGTTATTTCTTTATTATTGTTACGTACTGCAATAGTAAGAGGGAAATTTTCATGCATATTTTGTACATTAATATTTGCCCCATGCGAAAGAAGAAGTTCGATTATTTCTTTATAATCAAAAAAAGCTGCTAAATGAAGAGCTGTCTGTCTATATCCATCTCTTGCATTAACATTTGCACCATTTAATAGGAAATATTCGCAAAGGGATGCAATATCAAACATCGATGAATAAAGAAAACATTCGTTAAAATCATTTGTTTGATCATAATAAACTAAAAATGATTCAAGATTATTATAATTTTGGCAGCATTCTAAATCGATCTCTATATTGTACTCATTCATCAAGAATGTAACAAAATCAATGTTGTGTGAAATAATTGCATAGTACATGCATCCACAATCTGGTTTTTGATATTTCAAACATTCACTCATGATCTCTGCATTTCCGCCTAAAAATGATAATTCTAGACATTTTTCAGTTATTTCTGAACTGAATTTTGTTTTCAATAACTTGAAACAATCAACTGCTCCATGGTAACAACATAACTCAAGTAATGTATAGTGAGTTTCTGGATATAATTTACTAACATGTTTTTGATCTTTATCAAATTCATCTCTTTCGGTGAATATGATGAATCTTTCTTTGTCATTATACATAATTGCTCTGTAAATTGTATTTTCTGTATGAATATCCAGATTTTTAAAATAATCTTTTTCGAAATCACGCGATTTGTCTAATTTAATTCCATATTCTTTATAAAACAGGAAGTTTGACAAATCTTTAACATATTTGACCTCTTTGACATGATATTCATCAGATACGAGTTTGGCAAGAGATAAATATGACTTTGTATAGCGATTGTTAAACGGAATTATGTTTAAAATTTCTCTTATAATCACTTGGGGAAGATATTTCTTTGAACCAATCAATTTTGTCTTGATCATTTGGTAAATTGAGTTTAATTCTCCTTCATTTTCGGTTTTTAGCTGATACAACGTATTATACAAATCGATGTAGTTTTTATAAGTACTTCGCAATTCAATGTATTTACTTGGGTGAATATCTTGATCAGACATGAAAAAAATTAAAAGTCATTTATTTGCATTTGACAATAAAAAATTTCTTTAGAATGCATGTTTGAAGGAGAAAATACTATGAATACCTGTGGAAAACAATGACCGCAAAATTTCGGATATAAATTAGTAATTTTGAATCAGATCATGGGTGTCAAATGGCACACCATTGCAAGTAAGTTCGAAAACATTATGATATTCAATAATAGACTTATTATTTTTCTAACATATTTTATAATTTTGCTTATTTAAGATTCAGTGTGAATGTTGCAACAAATATATCATCTTCGAATTCTACCAGAGATTGATCTCTATCAACTTTTAATTGATTAACAAATTTATTGAATCTTAAGATAGAATTGTTAAGGTAGTATAATATTAATGTGCCAAATAAGAAGCTTGACTGTGAAATCTAGTCGGAATTGAAATTTAAATTCTCCGAAATTGTAGTCACATTAATACTAAATATCATAAATGGTTCCTAATCATCATTTCAGAGGTTATAGTAAATGAAATTTTTTATAGAAATCAGAAACAGTGTAAAAATGGATTACATCAGCCAAACCTGCAGAAAATATGCCAATGAAATCACAAAAAAAAAATAAAGAAGTAAGATAAATTAACACATTTTATTCTGACTTTAGAAACCGTAGAGTGTCTTGCCTTGTCTCTTGAGAGCGTAGACAACATCCATAGCTGTAACTGTTTTACGACGAGCGTGTTCTGTGTATGTAACTGAATCACGAATGACGTTCTCAAGGAAGTGACGAAGGACGCCACGAACTTCTTCGTAGATATCACCAGAGATACGCTTAACACCACCACGACGAGCAAGACGACGGATAGCTGGCTTTGTGATACCTTGGATGTTCTCACGCATTACCTTACGATGGCGTTTAGCACCACCCTTACCAAGACCCTTACCACCTTTACCGCGGCCAGACATTATAAATTATGAACTCAAAAAAGTTGATTTTTATTTACTCGCCAAAAGAAATTCCCCGCCAAAAAATTAGAATCGTCTGAATGTTGTTTTTGGAATATCCCATATTATCTAAATACAAAAACTTACTTAAAGCTCGAATATCTGTTTTAATGAGCAGTGATGGAAAATTGAATGAACTTCATTTTGATGATATTCAAATTTTATAGACCTAAAATGTCGAAATAAAAAATTGAATAGATTTGGCGGGCAAAGTTGAGTTCATTAGTTTTCTAATGGCTCGTACAAAACAGACAGCTAGAAAGTCAACTGGTGGCAAGACCCCACGTAAGTCCCTCGGTGCCAAGGCCGCCCGCAAGTCAACACCAACAATTGACTCACAGGGTGCTAAGAAGCAACATCGTTTCCGCCCAGGTACAGTTGCTCTTCGTGAAATCCGTAAGTACCAGAAGTCAACAGATCTTCTTATCCGTAAGCTCCCATTCCAGCGTCTTGTCAGAGAAATCGCTTCTGGTTTCCGTGGCGATCTTCGTTTCCAGTCATCTGCTATTGCTGCTCTTCAGGAAGCTTCTGAAGCTTATCTTGTTGGTCTTTTCGAAGATACAAACCTTTGCGCTATCCATGCCAACCGTGTTACAATTATGGAACGTGATGTTCAACTTGCCCAGCGTATCCGTGGCGAACGTAACTAAACATTATTAATATGAATGCTTTTTTAAAATCTTAAAATTTTTCATTGTTTTCATCTGTAGCCAAAATATTGATACAAAAAAAAGCATTTGATGAATAAACCTATTCTTAAAAATAATTGCATTTTTCATAATAAACAATATTTTTTATAAATATACAAAATCAAAAGAATATTTACAAAATATATAAGATAATATAACAATGAATTAGTGGTTAATCTTCAAACTCTGGTTAACAACAATTGCTCTTCTCTTTACAGGGAAATCTGAAGCTCCAGGGAAAACAATAAACAATCTATCATAAGCTGACATTAATTTCCATAATTCCATGCTATCTTCAAGTGTTGTTGTTCCGTAATCAGATCTAGTCTTCATCTTAAAGGCCAATGTCTTAAATACTTCATCCGGAATCTTAGTAATCTCTTTAATTCTTTCTTTAGCGGCGTCAAATGTCTCTTTCGGTTTGACTAAGAAGTAGAATGGGTCAGAGAAGTAATCGGAACCTTCAGGTCCAAGTGATGAAACTCTAATGAAGAAATCCGACTGGGCAATGTTCATCTGATATTCAGGAACGATCTCTAGCCTTACAGGGTTCTCCAATTCCCTCAAGTTCTCCTTGAGATTGTAAAGTTTTCCGATCTTTCCATTATTTATTCCGCATGCTCTCACTTTTCTATCGTCGGCCACTTCATTCTTTTTCTTATTGAAATCTATGAGATCCGAAATCGTTTCATCGAAGTCATGGATCTGTACATCAGGCTCGCCAACGTGTACAGAATCTTCCGAGAAATATGTAATTAACCTTAAACATTTATCCGTTTTCTGGTTGTCACTTTTTTCGACGATTAACACGCTTACATTATTGACTGTCGGTGACGGTTTGAAAATGAACGATTTGTTTAAGGCTAATCTTGATTCTTGTATTGGCTTGATGTCATTTTCTCTGTACAAGAAACAAATCTGTGTCTGATCATCATAAATCATTCCAGAAATTTGACAAAGGAATTGTCTTAATTGGTCGAAGGAAATTGAAGAAGGAACGATACCTTTTCCGAGTACTTTGTTACCTGTGTTTGATACTAAATGGAATTTATATTCAAGAGACATGTCAGCGAACATTTGTTCTGGAGTCAATGGCATTTCTTCAGGGAAAACATCGTAGAAATACTCATAACCCTCGTCTTCAAATTGAGGAACTAAAGGAAGTCCTTCAGGAAATGTCGCTTCTTTTTTATCACTTGGCTGAAGGAATATGTAGGAACAATGCTTCAAATGAAGTGTCTTAAATGACATAGCCAAATCCAGTTTGGATAATATGTTTCTGTCATTTCTGAAGCCATAACATGTTGGAGGTGAAGTGAAGTTAACTTGAACAGCAGAAAGATGTCTTTGCAATGCTTCTCCGAGTTTCTCCTTTAGTTGTGAAGGCATCATGTACGTGATGTACTTGAATGGCCTCTTCGGAGATTTCCTGTCGTAATAGATCAAGAAGAAAATGTGGATCGACCTCGGAAAGTTTGGTTGCAGTTTCTGAGCGAAAATGTGACTTGTTGGCATTGCTTTGATGGGAGTTTCGTTGTTTGGAACTTGGCCAACGAAAATATCTTTCGCAAGATACCAAAGGATCACGTTCTTCACGTCAGCTTTCAGTATTTCCGCTACTTTGTTGTATAGATCTGTAACTAAATCAGATGTATTCAAAGTAACAGTTACAGGACTGAAAGTGAATGAAGAAAGTGGTTCGACATACTCGCAAACTGATCGAGAAATGCATTCTTCCGTGTAGAGAGAGAACTTAACTGTTGTTTCCAGAGCAATTCTCTCTTCTTCCCTGCGTCGGAATTCCCTGACAACATCGACAATGTTGCTTGGAATGCATTGGCTTGTTATAGGTGCAAAAATTCTGGCAAGTTCGGTCGTTCTGACGTAAACAAGCATGTAGGCACTGTATGTCTTTGGTTTGCCAAAAAATGGACCGTCATCAATCGAACCTTGGCCGCCGTAATTTGTGGAAACGGCTTTTTCTTCTGTGGCAGTGCGGACTGAGGAATCGTTGAAGAGATACCACTGGGAATCATTCTTCGTCTTAAGATAGGAGTAGTAATGGCCGCCAATTGGGTTTCCGGAATGGACAATTACGCCGGTAAGAGTAAATTCGGTGGATTCGTTCGAGGCTTCGTCCATAAAATCTTTCATGTCGATCTCGGTCATGAACTGGTATCTCGTGTTGATTTTTGTCATGGAAAGAGAGTTCGGATCAAATTCGAACCTTTGTAAGTGTAAAATTAAGACGTCTGGTAGATGAGTGAATAGAGTACTAATCATAGCTTTCTGTTTGCCCCATTCATCGGTCTTGTATTCGTCGATTTTTTGCGGTGAGATGTAATGTTGAAAAGATTTGTAAATATCTGGACATTCTTTGACAAGAAGCTGTAGATCTTCGAATGCCTCTGTATTGGAAAGCGATTTTTTGACTTTCGGAAATTCTATATGATGAATTTGTTCTCCGCAAAACATTTTCTGAATTTCAGCTGCTTCTGGTGTTCCTTCAAGCTTGGATTTAATTGCATCCATAAGAACACGACTGAATTCTTCAATATCATGTTGGACATTCGTATCTGCTTCGTTCCATCCAAATGATACTGTCAGTTCTTCTGTAGAAACGGCATATGGACTCATTTCCATGAGGGCAAAGAGTCTTTGTAAGTTAAATACGATTGATGTTCGATGATCTTCGTTTGTGGTGTTGATAGAATAAATTAATTTTCTGAAATAAGGGATATGGTACAAAACTTGCAAGAAGCTGTTCATGTAGCAAGTTGCACCAAGGTTAAGAAGGCCACAATATGGCGCTGCAATGCCGTCTTCGCCCAATAAAATCTGACTCTCCAGGAAGTTGTTCATTCTGAATTGCTTTTGGGATTTTATATCCTGTGCGCGAGATGTAATTCCCATCGAGCTCGTAGAAAATTTTTCTATCTCAGTAACTTGGAATTCACCATCTGAATCTTCGTGCTTTGACTTTCTTTTACGTTCTTTCTGCTCTTTGGGCGCAATTTTAATTCCTTTCTTAAGTCTAAATATCTTGATGACCACGCAGAGATTGTCTTCAATAGTCCAGCCATCTTCGATGATATCAAAAGGCTTAATTGGTAATTTTACGGTCGCGCTTGATACTGCGGCGCTGAGGACAGTATCAACATATTTAGAAACAACGTCGTTAGTGAAGTTATTGGTTATTGAGGCAAATAATCTAAACGTTTGAGGAGATTTAGCACGTTCTAATGTGAATTTTACCGGTATGCAATGCGAGTCGGTTGATTTAATGGTGACTACAAACGCGTTCGACCTAGGTGAATAATATTGAAATTTGTATTTCTCTTTAGGTTCAGACCAATCAACCAATATGCATTCATCTAGCTCGGTTTCGATGCCTTCATCCTTCTTTTGGGCTGGGGCATCAGATTCATCGGAATCGAAAGACTGTGACATTAATTTTTTTTGGTTTTGTGATTCAAATATGTGATGAAATTTATTGAAATTGATTTTATAATTGAATTTTTGATGGAATTAAGTACCTTATCTATAACCTAATAGAATATCGATTAGAAAAATGTGTAAACAGCTCCAAAAAATGAGAAATTAGATTTTATCCAGGAAATTATGTAATTTTTGATAATAATAAATTAATGAAAGTTTTTTTTTTGTGATTTGAAACATCACTGGTTTAGCTCTTAAATCGAAGGAGAAACAAGCAGGAGACTAGAAAGTACGTGATTGTATAATATTTAATTATCACTTGATATATTATAAGGTAAATCTAATGAATTATACATTTACCGATATGACATCATTGTAAGCATAGCACGTGATTAGTGATTTTAAATATTTCCTAATTGAAAACAGCGGAAGAAACAAAAAACAGGTAATATAGTAGTTATTCCAGCCACTAATGTGGGGAAAAAAAGAAATACATTATAATTGATATATTAGATGTTTAAAAATTTTACCGATTTTGAAAATGTATTAAAAATCAATATAAGTAGTACCTATGATGTAATGAGTGCCAGTATTACCTGAAACATGCAGGCCCCTATAGTGTGAAGTTGAAATTAAATTGATGATTCGCAAATACCGATATTTTCCCTGAAGTTCTTTATAAATCAATAGTATATAACAAATGCAGAATGTCAAGATGGATGATAATGGCTTTTGGCTGTCTATCAGCAATCTTGATAATTTGATAATAGTTAAAATTAAAGGAGAAAGAAATGCTTTATATGTACATGGTATAGCAATTAAAATTGTATTAATTTCATTCATTGAAGGAAGACATATTGGAATTTTGGAAATTTGCATATATTATTATTGATTACTAACTAATGTACTAATCAGTTTTTGATCAATATTAAAAAAATCCGAAACTGTAGCCCGATTTGTGAATTGTGGTGCTATCTCAATTTTTGGAAATATTGGCAATGATTTTAGAAACATTTTTAATAGGAATTAATAGTGTTTATTCATCAAATAAATAAATTGAAAAGAATAATATTTTATGAAAAGAAATGTCCTAACATGGTATATATTCAATATTATGAATAAAGATGATTAGAAAATTTGAGAAGATGGAGATTTAGAAATTGAAAAGAAATAATTAAATGTATGTTCATGAAAGATAATCTATTATAATATAGTAATTAATTTGAAAATTGAATAGTTATCAAAAAATTGAAAGGATTTAATATTATTACAGAAGAAAATTATTTTAATATGATTAATAATTTCTTACAATATATTTTCAAATAAGACTGTTAAATTTTTCAGAAAAATTATTGTATTTGAAAAACATTAGGAAACTTGATTCTATAATAATATAAATTTTTTAATTTAAAGTAAATTATGACACTTTTCTATAAAATTAATTCCCAAATGAATCTTCATACTGATGTATTTTTATTTTTTCATTTTTTCAATTTTTATGAAGCTATCTTTCAAATTTTCCTTTTTCAAAGAGCATACAAAAATTTTCAGAATTAATGAATAAACGATTTTTCGTTCTCAAAAGTTATTATCCTCATTATTGTTGAATCAAATCATCTCTAATAATATTCCATATCTAAAATAGTTGAAACAGGAGAGGTAGGGCAACGATAGGTCAAAAAGGCTTCTCTGATAGATTTCCTTGCCTTTTGGATATGCTATAATATATAGCCTAGCATGAGAGGATATGATTTCAAAAGTTAGAACATAACTTAGGATCTTGAGAAAAATGAAAAATAAAAATTACATAAAAAAAGAAAAATTTTATCTAATTTGTTTTTTTGGACCGAATAAGTAATTTTATTGAATTTCAATACGACACATAGATTTTATTATTAGTAATAAATATAATGGTTTACTATTAACAAGGAACCTAAACTAATGAAAATTTGATTTCAAATATTGTATATGATTATCATAGATTACCAAAATATATTGCTATTTATGAGGATATAATATTGATTATTAGTAAATTGTATAAATTTAATAAATATACCATGAATATTGAATGAATTTCTTGATTCATAGGGGTAAAACGCGCTTTTATATGATTTAGACAGAGAATTTATGAGATGTAAATAACACAATAAAGGTTTATATTGAATATTTTCTAAAAATAAATCGAAATTATAAAAAACAATACATTTATTCATTGAAACTACTTGGACAAATATGAAACAAGCATTCAGGCAATACTTTTGAGACTTCAACGCATCTGATAATTTTTATATAACTTCACCTCTTATGCTTAGAGTGGAGGTATTGAGATCGTATAAGTATAGATGAGCTCACATTCAGATATGATGTGTGAACTTCTGTTTTCACTGCAATTTTGAATCAGAATAAACTCAAAACAAGAATAAAATGATATACTCACTCTCTAAATGTGTTCGAGATTTAAAGTTGTATGAATAAAACGATTCATCTTTCGAAGCCTCCCATTTAATGAGAGACTTCGAAAGATGAATGTATTCATGTAGATGAAATACTATATATGACCATGTGTGATACTAAAGATATCAAAATGTTCATTTTTAAGTGCAATAGAAGGGTTATCTCTCGTAAAATCTCAATTTAAGGAAGATTTAGAAAGAACTCCTTTCCTAAGTAGATAGTGTGTGGTTTCTGTCTTTTGGTTGATCAGGAACTATGAAATTAAGTCGGACAGAAAGAAGTTCTTTCCAAAACAGACTCCAAATGAGTTGTTCGAAAAGAACTTCCTTCTGTATATGGATAATTGTAGTTACCGCACTGAAGTATGTGATTGTGATGATGGAGTTCTCGATAAATCTAAAATCGGATTAAGATTAATTGAAAACTCAAGTAATTCTTTGAAATCTTGTGTTGTCTGGCACTATAATAACCAAAGAATGAGAATATTATGTTGAATGATGAGTACGTGTGCTCGGCATTCGCCGAGCGAATTGAGTTTAACGTACTATGAAAAGTGACAAATTTGGGCTTTTTTTCTTAGGGTTATGATCTCTTCCTTTCTGCTCAATACGACAGAAATGAAAGAATGAATTTGTACTCCCTAATTGATTACTACAATCTGTATCTATCTTTAACATAGAATTAGCTGCATTGTGATTTATACTCCAGAATTATTCAATTTAAGATCAACCTCGTAAATTTTAATCATATTGCACCAATACTCCTACGTTGAGATAAGAACATGATTATACATACCAAAGCCCCATATTAAAATCAAAATTTAGCACCTCCATTATGCAACCACATTATTCGTCGCAAATAAGTATATTTACGCATATTATGATGCATATTCACACAACTCGTATACATGAAAAGTTATTAAAATCAGACAAAATTATTGCAATAAGGAAAAAAAAACAACTTTCTTATATATGTTAGTAATGAATTACAAATATTTCTACAAAGAATGCTCAATACTTCATATAATCTTCGAATATTTCTTATTACAAGTTAATACATTTTGACTCGAACATGATAAACAAAAGCTGACACGCTGATTACTACATTTATGAAAATATAGTACGTTTCCATTCATCTGTTTACTTGTTTTTGTTGGAATAAAATCATTTTTTTTTCTTTCATGAAATAAGAATTTTGCTGCGAAAGCAATATCTCTAACAATAATTAATACATTACGTCAACTCTGGAATGAGTATTTATCAAATATGATATCAAAATCAAAAATTAGTTGTTTTTTATGAGTAAAAACGATGTAAATTGATTATTTGACTAATTATCAAATACTTTGATTTTCCAAATTTTTTTCGAAATTGATTTTTTCATGTGAAAATTCAAATTGTTTAATTTCATTTTTGAAATTTTGAATTTTTTTTGGAATTTTGAGTTGATCAATTCAGCAGAATTGATAATGCTATTGCTTTAGGGCATACCACAAGGTGATGAATAAAAGGTGAACATTAACAAATTATTTTAAATCGCAAATATCATCCTCATCAACTTTAATTCTAAAAAGAACTGTACTGAATTATGAAAATGCATGATTTACATTATTAAAATCTTTGAATGAAAATAGTACAAGATAAGTTTTTATTCATTTTTAATTAGATTTAAACGAAAAACTACTCCATATTAAAATTTAAGTCGAGAAATCGTATTTTGTTCTTATTTGTTAGCATTTTGTAGACATTCTAATCTTGAATTAATTTGTTACATGATATTATTAACAAATTTATCTGAAAAAATATGTTAATATGGAATAAACCATGATTATATAAGCTATCAATGCTATATATACATATGTAAAAGATTCATATTAACTCAATTAACAAAAATGATAGATTTTCATAAAGGTTCAATCTAGGTTCGTCCGAAAATTTTGATTTTTATATAGAAGACATAGTTTCATATACATAATTAAATTTTCAAACAAATTTGATCATACCATTTATTAAGCAGGATAGTATATTAATTACTATCAGTATAAAAATATAAAAATGATTATATTTAATTATTGCATAATTTAGTCAAAGAGTTATAAGCCTCAAGTGATCGTTATAACCTTCAATGCACGTATACTTTATTGATTCATAGATATTTAATCTATGTTTGACATGTTGTTGTCGTCATTCGTTTTGTTTCCATTCTTCCTAAGTTAGAATTAGAGAATACACCATCCACATCATCTAATTTGGTCCTCAGCGATAGATTGGTTCATTTTGGAGGAGTCCCATCAGACAGTTTTCGAGCACCAAATATCAAATTTTAATGTATACAAATCTTTAGTGATTTATCTCTTTTATGATGAGTAAAAGGTTTCTGCTCATCAACATTTGATTTCCGACATATATGATTTCTAATTGCAATTATTTACTTTCTTTTTATAATCTAACTCTGTGACTCATACCATAAATTAATTATTGGAAAGTGTCAATATGTTTGGCACAACGCATGGCGGAAGATACCAAACCATGCAGGGAATATGATACGTTTAAGATCTCCGAACTTTTTTTCCAAAAATTTTCTATCGTTGCCCTACCTCTTTAATGACTGATCACAACGATAAAAATTTTTGAATACCTTCTCAATCTTGTCTTCATTCTTTTAAAGTTTAATCCACAGAATGAGTCAGAGTCTTCGCAAGACATTTTCAAAGAAGAATGATGAGAAACTTCTTGCCATTATTAAGAATATTGGAACAAGTGATTGGAAAAAAATTGCAGATAAGATGCCTAACTTCACAGCCAGACAGTGCAAGGATCGTTATAACATCTACCTTAAAGAAACCAATAAACAAGAGCCGTGGACTCCAGAAGAGGATCAGCTTCTTATAAAATTACAAGCAGAATACGGTTCGAAATGGACACAGATTTCGCAATTCTTCGAAGGAAGAAATATTAATAATATAAAGAACAGATGGCATAGATTCATCAAATTCAGGGTAGAAGAACAAGCCGAAACTACTCAAGATACCAAACAGGAAGAACAGAATACACCAAAAGAAATTTTACCAAATTTTAGCTTTACCGACCTAATGGATGCTATTGAGTTCCCTGAAAATGATATTTTCATGGAATTATGCTTCTTATAGAGATATCCATTTCAATTTTATTTTAAATAGAGGGCTTCTTTGCTTAACAGTAATGCAGAGTTAAGGAGAAATAATATATTATTACTATTCATTTCTGAAATATAAACATTTCATCTATTGCTTCAAAAAATTTTATTGCTTTTCAAAATTTATTTAACCGAAATAATATACTATTTCTCAAATAATAATCAGTCGCTATTCAATTTTTCTTTTAATTAACAATTCATATTGAATGATCTAATTTAATTGTTGAAATGAGTTATCAAGGCATTTCACAACAAAGTAAATCACGATCTTTTGCAATGAATCAATGTCTATTTTTGGATCCTATCAATTATTTTGCTTCAATTTTTTATTGTATTTATTTTATTAAATAAAACATACATATTTTAAAATCGCAGTCTAAAAATTGAAATATATCCTTTCAATCCCACCTTTCACAAATTTGAATTGCAGATTATAAATTGTATTGACAACTTCGATTTGGGAAGATGATCGAATATTTTGGGATTGTGTCATAAAATGAAATTATTTTTCATCTTATTATATTAAAAGTACCAGTAAAAACCATTGTAATTTGAATTCTAACAAAATTCCCAACAACAATGATATTAATTCTTAAATTCAAATCATAATAATTGATAAAAATTTCGTGTAAACCGTTTTTTACTGGCAATCCGATAAAAAATATGCTGATTCAATTTCTATTCCTTCACCTCTGCTTTCCTAGATCCTTCCTTGTATATGATAAATGAAAATATCTAGATTTTAATTTAAGAGTGACCTTCTAAATTTCACAATCATGTGATTCAATATTTGATGATTCATTTCTCAACATTTAATCACTTTATTTCTTTTTAGGTGTGACATCAACAAGCAATGGAAATTTTCAATATGGCTGGATTTATTTTCATTCAGTTGTCCCATCTTCCTTAAGGGTGCACCCGCATGTACGTTTATTTGAGAGGAGGAGGATTACCCTCTCAATTTTGAAAGCTTCGTTAACTTAATATCTCGATGAATATTGGATTAAAATTGAATTTACCCATACCAATATATCTGATACAATATCCTTAAGTTTTACTAAAAAGAATTTTTTAAAATCCCTGCAGATTCGGGGATTTTTAAATTTTTTGATTTTTTTCGAAAATTTTTCGGAAAAAAATATTTTCAGAAGAGCCTTAACGGCTAAGTTTTATGTTTAATGTTGAGTATCAAAAAGAATGGGCATCTGATATAGCCATCATATATCCCAGAAGCAAATAAAAATTCTGACTTTTTAAGCATAAAAAATGAAATTTTATTTTTTGCAAAAAACAGGCCACCCGGATGTACGTTTATTTGAGAGGAGGAGGATTAAATTTTTGAAAGCACTAAAATTTGTAAATATGCTAGTTATATAATAATATGCATTATTTTAAAAAATAAAAATTAAAGCACGTTAAAATTTTTTTGATGAATTTTTACAAAAGCTACTCAGGATAATGCAAGATATGAGTAGTTAAACATAAATTTCAAATCAGATTTTACTTATAATAATATTTTAAATTTCCGAAAATTAAGTTCAGATCGACTCTATACGTAGTAAATACTAAATAAGGTGCCAAAAACCTATTAAACAGTATCAAAACTATCAAGATTGTAATGTTTTTGGAGAAAAATTTATAGAATTATGGACTTCAAACAGATATTATGTAAATAAAAATAATATAATGAATTTATTTATTCGTATAATAGCAGTAATAAGTCGATTATTCACTTCTACTTCTGAGATTTGAATTTAATTTCGACAGAAAAAGAGATTCAAGAGGAAAATACTAGGGGATACAAACAGCCACCATGACAGGATTATTATGGAGCCAAGTTGTATTTTTTGATATTTTTAGAGTTTTCCTACCTATTTAGGTACCAAGTTATTGCTTAAAAATTAAGGATCTAAATTCTGAAGTTTACATGACCCTCCCGGGCGCACCCTTAAAATACTTTTGAAATCTAGTAAGGTCTTGATATGCCTAATCGATATCAGATTTGATCATGTTTAATTCTTCAGATCAATTTCACCCTCTTTTTATAAATCATTCAAATTTCAATAATTTATCCGAGCCGGGTCGTTTATAAAAGAATTCAAATGAAATTTATTGTAAATCTATCTATTTTTCCAATCTGAATCAATTTATGTGGTTTAGACATAAAATACAAAACTAATTTTAGCAGATTTTATTTCATTTTGTTTTAATACAATCTTTTTACCATTTTTAAGCCTGAAAACATATATTACAGATGATATATCAGGTATTTCCAATGAAATTTCGTATTAACACCAATAGTTAATAAAATTTTCATTCAAATTTGTCTAATATACAATCTTTTACCTTCTCTTCAATAACAACTCTTAATATAACTTTTGATTTCAAGACTTATCTATTACGTCATACATCATTAAAAGATATTAATATAGATATGCATGAATGTTATAGTAACAATGAAATAAAATGCTAAACTCCGACATATATGCAGATCATATATAACTTCATTGTAAATGTTACTTCAGTGCCATAAACTACAACATAATCCATAAGTTTTTTTTTTCAATGAGATTTTCTTATTAATTTTTTTTTTGTGAAGAATACCGGAATATTTCAGTCATGTAAATGAGTGCTTTCCCACAGTTTATATCTTCTGTAACATGTCACAAGATACTTGGACCAGATGATTTAATCAGGGATGGTTACGAAAATTTTCGAACAGGGAAAGCTGGCTTTTCTTCGGGACAATTGTTATTAAAACTTTCTTCTATGAAAAACTTGTTTCCAAGGATCTTAGAACGATTACCAGAAACAACTAAAGAAGGACAACGTGATATTGAAACATGTTTTTCGCGAATTATGATTTTAAATCAATCGTTATTTTACTATATTGAACTATTCGACAGCTGTGCACCAAAATCTGCTCAGTGCAGAACATTATTAGCCCAACTTTACAGTCCTCTGCAAGAAATACAAAAACACATTCCATATCTAGCGATTGCAACAGCACCTACAATGGAGAGGTACTTAGATACAATAAAGAAAGCTATCGAGACATCTCAAGCATGCTTCGAACAAATCCTTGTCAATGTTTTAAAATTTGATATCGCATTAAGCAAAAAATCGAAGCCATTACCAGTAATACAAAGACAATATGCAGTTCTTGTATCAAATGCATTACAAAACCTAGGACTATTTGAGACAAATGCCTTATTTGCCGCATCATTTTACAAAATTTCTCAAGATGAGGAAAAATCGAAGAATATTACTAAGATTTGTACAATGATTTCTTCATATATCAAGACAATATACGAGAATAACAGATTTGAATCAGTTTTCATGACAGATAAATTGAATTTTATTATTTCTCAATTTCCATTCATTTCTAGAGTCATTGGCGAAATTAAAGATCTTATGCCCATCAAAGACTTTACGAGTTTAACTGTTTCAGCCATAAACACGCGAAGATCTATAAATGAATTAATATCCAAACTTGAATTACAAACAATAACAAATGTAATCAAAAGTGTTGCCAATGTATATCTAGAAAATGAGCCAACGCAAGGCTTAATCCAAATGATGAAGTCATTATTGAATATAATTTCTGAAAAATACCAAGAAGGACTTCAAAACGGAATTGATAAGACAGAAATTTCTTCTTACAAAGTGGTTTTGACCCTTTTATCTTCTGATCTCAAATCAAAAGACGAAATTTGTTTGGTTTTGCTGTTGGCGGTTAGATTTACAATTTTAAACTTCCCTAATTTCAGTTTGAAAGAAAATTTGTTACTAACCGTTTCTGACAAAACTGTTTTAATCGTCAAAATAATTTACAAAGAGTTTATTTCTTTGTTGAATGAATTACGAGTAATTATTGACCAAAACGTTGAAAATCTCAATGAAAATGATTTAAATCAATTAAATTATTTTCTGAAGATTACAAAAAAACCGCCGAAATTTGACACCGAATCAGATGATTTTTTATTGAGGCAACAATCGATATTTGATGCTTTCACATGTGTGTTATCTCCTCTTATGAAATTAATCAATAAAACACAAAATGAAACATCCAAAAATAATTTGTCAGATTTTTATAAAAAAGTGACAAATTTACAAAGGAATTTTTCGATGTTTTTGAATTCTTATTACATGTGTTTTGCTGATCTAGTAAGAATAAGAAGTGAAGATTGTTTATTTACATTGTTTTATCCTCTCCAAAATTTGACACCCAAAAATAACGTATTTTTCAATTCTTGTCAGAATTTTACAAATATTTACAATTTATTTTGTCAAAAACACCAAAAATTTTGACATTTGACATTTCAGAGATATTTAAATTGATAAATCTTTTGAACGGATTGCCAGATATTTACAATGATTATTTGATTGGTTTAGAACATGAAATACAAAATCCACTTTACAAAATTTTACAAATTTCTGCCAAAAGTTTACAAAATCTTTGTTTGAAGTTTCCGAAACAAATAATAAGTTTTTATTCATTGTTGAACATCAATGACAAAACAGACTTTTCTATGGCTGTTTTGGCAGGAACATTCAGTTCTTTGAACCTTATAAATACAATACAAAACACAATGAAATTCGATATAACGGTTTTGTATCAAATTTCTTTCCCTGTCACTTTTGCAATGACCACTGACCACTTATTGACAATGAAAGAGGAAAATGTGAACCAAAACATACTACAGAACTCAAATACTTTGAAGAGTTCTTATGACGTAATTTGGCAAATTCTTTTGGATTCGATTGTTTCAGAAAAATCTGTAAAAATTTTGAGTTACGTATCGGCTGTCAAAAATTTGAATAATGAGTTGTATAATTTAGTCTTGGGAATGGATTATCCTAAAGTAAAATACGAATTGCCGCAAAATATTTCGCAATTAAAGAAATATTCTGACCAAATTTCTTTGATTAAAGTAGAACAACTCAAAATAAGTTCTCAGGTGTTCATGAAGTACTTTAGAAGCAACACCAATGTTTTGGACATCTATTTCAGTTTGATCAACAAAAAAATACCAAAAATTTTGGATTTTTTGTCACTTTTTGATCAATTCAATTTACAAACTTTTGTTCAGAAGTTATGTGAATATTCTATATCTATATACTTAGAAAATGATATTCCAATACATTTCAGATCAGTTTTCAATGAAAATTTTGAAAATTTGATAAAATATTCTTCTGATTTCATCAGAAAACCTGATCAAGGTAGTTCAATGTTACAAATTGTAGATAAAATCACCAGATTTGATGCTATTTATGAAATCAAAGACCTCAAACAAAATGATTTTGAAAATTATTACAAAAATGTCATGAGAAACCTCTTGATATCATTGAATAACCTAAAGATATCAATAAAAACTCCTAAGAACAATGTTTTGTTCGGAATCTTAAGTTATTTAAACAAAATTGAAATATTCCAAGAGTTTTGTGGCCAAAAACAAGTTGAAACACAAAAGTCAAAGGAAATAGTTATATCAGGATTCTACAAATCATCAACAATTGATGATTTGATCAATCAATTTTTGAGATATCTGACAAACGTTGATTCTGTTCTTTACCACGGTATCTCAATGATGGTGGACCAAGACAACATGGTCAATATCGCATACGACAAGTCCGAAATCTTCAGAAACGAAATCAAAAAAGGAAAAGAAGGAAAAATTTCGGAAGTTTTCCTATCGGTATCGGACATTTTCGTAATTGTGTCCCATGTTCTTTCGATTTCTGACTACATCGAAACACCTTTGTCGTTGAAATGCTCAATAACTTTCTTATCTCTCATCCAGAAGTTGGCTAAGTACAATTCTGACATGAAGAAAGGCTCAAAGAACAAAGATTTCATCAATAATCTTATAAATGACTTGGATTATCTGATAAATATTATCGAATATCCGAAATTCAAGGAACCATCCACTCCAACATCATTTAGATTATCTCAATATGGTTTCTACAACCTTGTTTTGAGATTATCTACTATTTTTAGTTTCATTATTGAATTATCAACGTGGAGCGTCATTCCTTTGATGTATGAAGAGGGTCAGAGGGACTTTTTAAGCCTAATGAATGCTTATATCCCTATAACACAGACTTGTTCTTCATATTTTTCAAATTTAGATCCAAAAATTAAAAAAATTTACGAGAAATTCGAGAATTCAGCGCAAAATCTCGTAAATGAATCAAAGAACATCAGAATTGGACCTGATTTCGAGTCATTCCTCCCAGCTTTGAACAGTTTTGCTTCAGATTTGATTTCATTATCAAATTCAATCTCAGAAATGAAGCAAGAGATGTCAATAAAGATAGATAAGAACGTAATCAACCAAATACCAGATGATTACATACTCCCTGTCACTCCAGAAATAGGAAGATTGCCAATTTCTGTTTTCAATGAAATAAAAATTTTGTCAAAACCGTTTGACGAAATTTTGACGAAGATTTCAAGTAAATTATCAAGTATCGACGAAAATAAAGTGAAAGAAATCATCAAATCATTAATAGAATTCAGGAAAATCGCAGAAAACTTTTGCGAAATTTCTTTATCAATGATTTCGTCTATTCCTGATTTTTCGAACCAAATTCGAGTCCAAACTGTCTTGTACAACATCAGTTCTTTGATATCATCATTGCAGAACATTGTAAGATCGAAGCTGTTGGGTACTTTGCAAAATGACAAAGAAATTTCTGAAAATTTGACAAAAATAAAGTGTCAAAAAGAAAAATTGATAAATCTGACACAAGAAATATCATCACAGAATGTTGTTAAAAACAATGATGATGCAAGTAATTCATTAACTGTTTGTGCACAAGAAGTAGGTGAAACTCTTTCGAAATTGTTTGTTTTAGACGAAAAACAAAAATCGAATTTCGACTCAAAAATTTTACTTTCTGCTGCAAGAATTGTTGAAAGAGCTCGCCAACTGACAATGATGCAGATAGAGAAGCATGGGCACATTGACAATGAAAAGGGAATGATTCACGCCGCAGGGGAAGTTACTGAAGCAGTAAAATTGTTTTTAATTGTTGCTGAAATGAAAAATGATGAAGATTTGAACTACAAAATTGTTTCAGCTGCAAAAATAATCAATGCAAGTGTTGCTTCTCTTGTCGCCTGTGTTAATGTTAAAGGTGGCGACAAAGAAAAGATTATCAATGATGAAATTAAAAATTTGAAGAATTTCACTGAAAAAATTATCAAAGAAACTGAAGCGAAAATTTTCAAGAAATTAGAAGAAAATGACAAGAAAGATAACAAGAAAGTTATGATACCTGTTATACTTAAACTAAATCTTCAGAATGAGATCAACGCACAATGGAAGAAATGCGAAGAAGAAGAGAAGAAATTATACGAATTTCGAAAGCGCAAAATTTGATATTTTTAATATATAAAAAGTTTGTTTGTTTGATATAATTTAAAATATATTTGTACTCTTTTTTATTAAAACATATTTTCGTTTAGTTTGAGCAGAAGTTATAGAACACATTTAACCTTCTTTCTTTTGTATTTGCGAAATTAGTATCTAATATGTATTTAGTATTCTGAGATGAAATTGATGATGTTAGAGTTTCATGTAATTTCTGGTTCAGGAATGTTTCAAGCAATTGCTATAACCTCAAATCAAGGTTAACACCAATATTGATCCATACTTAAACCATTAAATATAATCTAAAAAGATCTCTAAAACTAGTTTGGACATTGAAAAAATTCCAATCTTTTTTTTACTGATTAAACTGAATTTTATATATTATTTAACCATATCTATGGATATTACATTGAACTTTTTTTCGTAAAGATAATCTGATTTCACTTTTTGAATTCATTTTTAAAATTCAATGACATTCAATGCTGTCGTATCAATTTAAATTCTGAACCTTTCAAAATTGAAAGTATTCGATGGATAAATTATATATCTACAATAGATAAGAATGGAAATTTTGAGATTTTGAACTTTTTAAAACCGTAATTTGACAGAAACTTTCTCTGTCAGATTGATAAAATGGTTCCGAATATTCCAGGTTTCAACATTTTATTGGTCCGCCTTGCCATGGACTTGGCAAATACAGCATACAGTGGCATGCGCGCTTTCACAGGCGGAACTATGATGTATAACAATTCTAGAAGTGCAAAAGGACAACCAGTTTTTTATGTCTATGAAAAGAATTCCGCTCTTTGGGTTTGCATTAGAGGTTCAGTATCACAAGCTGATTGGGAAACCGATTTCGATTACAAGGAATCTCCTCATAAATTTGGAAATTATTCAATAACTTGCCATGGTGGCTTCTATAAGAGTGCCAAATTTGTATATAGTAAGATCAAACAACTTCTTTATGATTATGATGGCTATATTTATATAACTGGACACTCTTATGGTGCATCCGTTTCAACTATCGTTTCGTTAATGGCAATGACTGATCCTAATTTAGCAGGAAAGCTTGACAAAATAGGTGGATTTTGTTTCGCTGCGGCTCCATCTGTTAATAAGATTCCTTCTCCATATGATAAAAAGATTTGCACATTTGTATATAATAATGATATTGTTCCAACAATTTCTATTCCTAATTCCTATAACAATTTCAAACCAATGATTCCGAAATCAAAAGCTTCAAAACCTTTTGTGGTTGGAATCATCCAAGCAGCAATTTCAATATTTAACAATCAGAAGCAGCAATTTAGTAAATCTCTTTACAAGGCCATTATGGCAAAGGTGGATCCAATTGTAGACGACTTAATAACTTATAGTATAAACCAAAGTTACATTAAAGTTTCAAATCTTGTTGGCACTGTATACGCACTAAATAATAAAAACGAAAAACTTGAAGCCGATCTTGTTCCCGGAACAAAATATAAACTTGTCTCAATTTCTGCAACTTCTATGGATGATCACCATCAATCTAAATATATTAATGCTCTTAAGCATAAAACCGATTGATTTATTCTATCAATACATTTTCTCTCTAAACAAAATATTATTCTTTTTTTTTTAATTCGAATTAGACTGAACTATAACTATTTCATCTTTATACTATTAGAAGGAGTTAATTCATAACAAACATTTATTCATACATATTGACAATTCGTTTTCAGGCATAAGCAAATCCACAATTGGTCCTGAAAAAAGACAAGTAAATCCACAGTTACCACTAAATTTGAATCCAAAAACATTCCATGAGGGAACAGCATTTCTTTACTCATTCAAAAAATTCAAATTCAAATATTATCATTGTGATGTTCATGCTTCAATGCATGAAAATGATTTCAATATTCGTATAGAATCATCGCTATTCTATAATATATCGTCCAATACTGATGGTGGTGGTCTTTCCATCACAAAAAAATCTTTCAAAGTTTTAATTTTTTCGTCATGTTTCAATAAATGCTCCTCATCTAACTTTGGAGGTGGCGTTTTTGTTAATACAACTTATACAAAGTGCTCCCATTCGGTCTTTTTCAATAATATTGCTTTATCTTTTACAGCAATTGGTATTATATCAGATAATTCAACCAGTAGCTTATTATCAATTTCGAAAAATTCAATAAAATCTGATTCATTGCTTAGCCATGGATGGACCTATGGATTAACTTGTCAAGAAGCTCACTCACAATACATGAATAGTTCATACAATATCGCTAATCATATATGCTCATATTATTCATATTATAGCGGAAATACTTATTATCGATTTGTACAAGCTTATAATGATGCTTCAGTATTACATCACGTGATGATTCAAGCAGCTTACGGTGGGCGTGCTGAATATTTTTATTCTAATTTTTTGAATTGCACTTTGAAAGGTGATTATAAGCACCCAAATATTAGAGCAGCTGAAGGATCAACAATGCTTTTGGAATATTGCTATGGAAAGAATATTAAGTCCGATGCCAATTCCTTTTCAAGTGATGTCACAGTTCGAAACTCATGTTTTGATAGCTATACAGGCAATGCAAACATTGATTCGACATCTTATTGCACCATGTACAATAACTTCACGTTTGTTCCATTCGAGATTTCTGCAGACGAATGTTACAAATTATTTTCAAATGAAATTAAATATATATCCGATTATAAAACATTGATGCAATCTGCCATTATATATGCTACACCAAATTAACATTGCTTTTCAAATTTCTTATATTTAAACTTTTTCAAACATAATTTCTATTTTTATTGTTATTTCGATTCTTTTTATATTTATTTGATGAAAATATGCAAAGTTGTGAGATGTGGGATAAATTATTCTTTATGATTAATTTGAGATTTGAATTTGAGTATGTATTTTGAGTAATGACTCTTCTCCATTAGCCCATAATGGCCTTTTTGATTTTAAAATATAACATACATACATACTCAAAAACCGAAGAATTTTCATCATTTTTATTTATATTTTTTATGTTTGATGTCACTTTCATCAGACTTGGACTGTGTGCTGCTTTTTTATATATATATATAGTGTTTAAGTGGGGAACTTTGATATTTTTTTCCACACCATAGTAGTTTCACTTTTTGCATATGAACTCTATATTGATTCTGGCTAGAAACTAGAGAAATTAAAATTTTTCAATTTTTGGCCCATTAAAAGTACCTTTTTGAAAACAAAAAAATATTTTTATTAATTGCGTGTGATCTTCGACATATATTCATAAAATCAAGTGATTTGGAGTGATTGGCAAAAAAATCTTGTTTGATTTTAAAAAGTATGATGAAAATTTGAAAACAAATGGTTTAACTCTCTGGATAAGGCCAATTGACTATTTATTAATATTATTTTTAAAATTTATGTAAAAATGAATCTGCCACAATCACATTCAAATTCGGAAAATCTCACATTGAATTCTATTTTACAATTGCTATTAGTATTTTCATCATAAATAAAATAAACTATTCAAAATAATTTTACCAATTCAAAAAAATCCACTATTCAAAATGCATTGTGATATTCATGCATGAATGCATGAAAATGATATCAATGTTCGAATAGTATCATCGCTATTCTATAATATATCATCTAATACTGATGGTGGTGGTCTTTGTATCTCGAAAAAATCTTGCAATGTTTTAATTTTTTCTTCATGTTTTAATAAATGCTACTCGACCCACTTTGGAGGTGGTGCATATATTAATACGACATATGCGAAATGTTCACATTCGATCTTTTTCAATAATATTGCTTTCTCTTTAACAGCAATTGGTATTGTATCAGACAATTTAACCAGTAACTTATTATCGATTTCTAAAAATTCAATAAAACCTGATTCATTGTATATCCATGGATCTACATATTCATTGACATGCCAAGAAGCTCACTCACAAAACATGAATAGTTCATACAATATCGCTAATCATATATGCTCATATTTATCGTTTTATGGCGGAATTAATTATTTTCGATTTGTACAAGCTTATAATGATGCTTCAGTGATACACCATGTGATGATTGAAATAGCTTACAGTGGACACTCGGAATATTTTTATTCTAATTTTTTGAATTGTACTTTAAAAGGTGATATCAGGCATGAAGATATCAGAGCAGCTGAAGGATCAACAATGCTTTTGGAATATTGCTATGGAAAGAATATTAAGTCCGATGCCAATTCCTTTTCAAGTGATGTCACAGTTCGAAACTCATGTTTTGATAGCTATACAGGCAATGCAAACATTGATTCGACATCTTATTGCACCATGTACAATAACTTCACGTTTGTCACATTTGAAATCTCAACCAATGATTGTATGAAATTCTATTCGAATGAAATCAAATATATCTCGGATTATAAAACATTAATGCAGACTGCTATTATGTATGCAACACCAAATTAACGTCATGTTTAAAATTTTGTATGAATTAAATTATCAAAACATGTTTTAGTAATTATTTTGATTCTTTTTATATTCTATTTGATGAAAATATGCAATATTTTGAAATATGTTTTAAATTGCTCATAAAAGAAAAATGTGATTTGAATTCGAGTACCCAGATTTTCCTTACTTTTACCACTCCCCATGTAATTTCTGGGGAAAACGATAATTCATTTTTTTTATGGATGAATAGATGGTTTTCCTAGAAAGGACCTCATATCTCTGGCTAAAAAGAGTGTCAGATCCTAAATAGGTTATTGATCTAGTGTACAAATCCAATAAAAAGCCTATTTTTTTGGCTTTTTTGGTGCTCATTTTTTCGAAGATCTACATGAATATGGGGAAACCATCGGATTTTTTTGGTTAACCCACATCTTCATGTAGTCTGGACTATCTTTCCTCGAAGGACCTCTTTACGGGTGTAAAAACTCATAAAGTTCTCAAAAGATTCATTCTCGATCTCCATGCTGAAAGAATTTACAATAAAAAAGAGATCTACGCATCAAACTACAGCCATAAATGAACTGAACCCCTAAAGCTCAGCTCTTAGTTTATCAAAAACGTCGAAATCCTTCTCATTGCAATCAAATTTTCTCAATAACTCATAAGAAAAATCGAATTTTGATTAAGCCGATGTTATAGGTATCACAAATACTACAAACTTGAGCAATATCGAAATTGCCAGCAAAAGTTTGAAATTGCATTGCTCATATTTGTTTTGTAAACTAAAAATCTGCTTATATTATTCATTAATTTTTTATATATTATTCATATACTTTAATAAAAACAATACTATTTCACCTTAAAAATGAATTTCATAAGTCAATATTATTTTTTTGAAAATGTATCAATTTTCGATTAAAACAACATGAGAATAAAATTTACGCAAAATTATTTTAAAAAAATGGTTTTAAAAATTTCCAATTGATTAAGAATAAGATTGCAAGAAGTTTGGAAGTTTAATTTTAAGAAAAAAAATTCGGATATTATTCATGGATCTAAGTAATCTGATATTTGAGTATCGGCACTATGCATAAAACATATATTTATAGTTTTTTTGGATTTTTATGATTTTAAATATATTCAAATTTGGCAATCCAATAGATTTTTAAAAAATAGGTAAATAAAAATAGATTCCATATGCAGCAGATTTAGAACATGAAACAAATCTTATAGTGACCCAAAAAAAATTCATGATCCAAAAAAGAAAAAAATTAGCTAAATGGGAATCAAACCTTGGCATAATGAATCACTATGTAGGATGTTTCCACTACACTACACCGGCAGTTCGGAAAATACCCTTGGTGGTTCTATTTAATAGCTACTCCCAACGATAGGCGGTGTCCCCAGCTTTTGAGGGGTGGTAAAAGTAAGGAAAATCTGGGTAATAAATTTTGAGAACCGAATCCTCATCATTAGTCCATTACGTTTTTTTGATTTTAAACTATAACACGCATACTCAAATACTGAAGAATCTTAAATAATATTCTCATCATTTTAAACTGTATGTTGAAAATTTTAAAATGAATGATTTAACTGTATGACTGAGGCATTATTTCACGAAATAAAGTATTTTGAATAAATTTAATGCTTCGAAATAGTCGACAAACAATCCAATTGACAATCTATTTATTAGATGTAAAATTTGAGGGTTTTCTTTTTCAATATACACTATCCAATAGATAAGAACTACTTTATTTACTGCAATTACCTATAACCTGATAATTCAGTAAAACATTATGTCAATTTATTATAATAATCATGAATTCCATAGTGTGTCACATCCCATAGATGCTCCATTATAATTTCTATTCATTTATCTCGATTTAAAAGAGTTTCATCTTCAAATGTCTTTAAATTTAGTGACTGATTATAAGGTAAAGATTTAAGGAAAGGCATTTATTGCTCCTAGGGCATAGTTGGCTTGCTATACGATAACATCTCAAATTTTATGATAGATTTGTTAGCAAATTTTTAATTTAATTTTTTGAATTTTACAATCTGACAGTTAAAATGCAATCTCACCAAATTAAGGTAATATTGGTTTAATTTGTCTCAAAAATTGAAAAAACTTCGCTGAAAACTTTCAGAGGCAAATTCAATTTTTTTACTGGAAAATCTAAATCAATTACAGATGTCGAATAAATAATCACCAAGATTATTTTCAAATCAAACGGTTATTTGTGAAACTATTAATCTCAATAAAAACAAAATAGTCATGCGGTCAGCTCGGAGTCGATCGATCAGCTCCATAAAGGATCATGCTACATCAAGCGAAAAGATGTCAAGCGATGACGTGAACGATGAGATTCATCACTCAAGAACAAATAAGAATGGCTCAGCTCATATCTCCAACTCTGCTTCTAACTCAGCCTTGAAAACATTTAACCAAAATAAAAATGATGATCATTATCTCGAAGCAAGCTCCAAGCGTTTCGAACGCTTCGAAAAAGACGATTTTAATCAACTTTTCCAGGAAAAGATGTCTCAGAAGCGTTCATCTTCTTCAGATCCCAATAATGCAAATGATGAAGTAGAAAATATATTTGAATCATTGATTATTGCCATGTCTGAGACAAGCTCACAAAATTCGTTCACTTGTGCTCTTGCAGGTGTAGAACCGATGCCTAAAACTGAATCGAGGGCATATCAACATTTCACCTATGAAAGGGAAGTCATTAATTCTGAAAAAGATCTTGATGATTTTCAATATTACTTCATGGGTGTTGAGAAACCAAAGAAGCGTCGTGGAATGGACTCTTCTCGCATAGCTCCATTCAACGAGAAGTTCCGTGAATGGGAATTAGCTGGCAAATCATATCGTATTATTCCAATTCCTCCTCGTCTTAAGACATACTCGACCTCGATGGATTTTTTTCGAATACGGAATACAAGGCGTTCATGAGTGGATCCGAATACCTTGTACCGGAGTTCGACACGGAAATGTGTTATATGGATTCACAATTAGAGCAAACTCGGCAATTAGATGAATTAACTATTGACTATCTCAAATACAGGAACTCACTTATTCGCAGAACAAAGATTGGCCCAGGAAATCAGCTTTCTTCCAGTATTGATTCACTAGTTCGTAAAAAGGAGAAATGCGATCACATGATTAGAGTTATTAACGATGACCACATATCAGAATATCGTCCGTTCGTATTCATGCGACCAAATACAATTTATACGATTCCTTTCCCGACGATTTCACGCGAAACGCTAGCCAAGCTTTCGTTTTTACTTGTCGTTATCGATGCAAACATACTCAAATCCCCAGAATACGCTCTTTCCCACTGCATAGCGAAAACGATCAAAATTCTCCTTACAATCGAAAAAGAGAAGCCCAACTTACCATTCCATCTCATCGTACCTACGTCAGCGGTCATTTTCATGCACCTATTCATGTCAATGATCTCAAGACTTGAAGAATATACAAATGATCCTCAGTTCTTTACATTGTTTGCAGCTTACGACGTCTTAGGATTACAGTTCAACGTACCTCTAATGGAACGCGACCTCAAGCGCCTCAATAAGAACATAAAAGACGGTGGATGTCTCGCGAAACTTTATTTCGAACTCAAAAACTCGGCTACGAATTTAATTGTTCAGAAGGTTTTAGAGGAATTTGAGACAGGCTTGCTTTATTTGACAGGTAAGAAGGATGCAGATCATTATCACGCACACGAACGAATATACTTCAACGGAAGAAAACTTTCTGCAATGACATTTAAATTTGATGAAAATATTATTTCATGTAAAGTTGAAGAACCGACAGAAATGATGGCAAAGTTCTGCAGGATACCTATCATGCCTCCTTACGATGCATCAAATGCTATGTCGGCCTTTGGACATCAAAATTTCAAAATGTCAGACTCAGATCAGGTTGGATACTTCCAGGACACGTATCAGAGGGAAGGATTATCGTTCACTCCAAAGGTTTCGGCTCATTCCACAAGCAAGAAAGCGAATTCTCTCCAATTCAAGCCTGAATCATATGATTTCTTCTTCAACCTCGCTTGAAATGATGACTGCTTTATAGGCCATATCGACTCTTGATAGTAAGTTTTTTGTTATTTGAGAAAATCAATTTTATATTTTAATATTAGTTGTAATATTTTACTAGTAATCTAATAAATGTTTTTAATACTAGTTTGTTTCTAATAATTAATATCTTTTTTTACATTACTGCTTCTGAAATAAATTTTATTGAAATAATTTTTTGAGTTTTGGTAATGTAGAGCATTAGACAACTTTTTCATGTGCAGGAAAATCAGTTCGTAATACTAATGGCTTGTTTAAAATGCTATATTTTGGAATATAAAATTCGTTGTACATTTGATCTTTTCATATAGACAGAATCTTTGACCTTCACATTGCGCTTATTATCTCAGTAGAATATGTAAATATTGTGTCAAAGCTTTCAATGAAAATAATTATTAAAGGGATATGTAGGAATTTTATGAATGAAATCAACTTTGCTTGTTATTAATCTTTTAAGTCTAGAGTCCAAGAACATTTAACATTATCCTTTCAGTAAAAAAAAAATAAATGGCGCGAATTCCACTTTGTCGTTCTAATGAGTATACAGAAATTGTAGCATCAATATTAACTGGTATTCGCATTATTGTAATTTCTGGACCAGCCTCATCCGGAAAAACTACTACAATTCAGGCAATTGTCAAAAATAAAGATTTAGATATGAGAAAAATCCATATGTTTTGCGAAACAGATATGGACAATGGCGGATTTTATTATAAACTTTCACAAGCTATTGCTCCCGATGATAAGAAAGCAAGATCTTTCCAACAATTTGTTGATTATTATGATTCACCAACACCAACTGCAATATTCATCGATTCATTTGATTTGCTTGGTGATCTTGCTAAGCAATTATTTACAACATTCAAATCCGCTGTAGAATCAAACATTATGTCGAAATATTATTTCATTTTTATTTCAAGAACTTCTCCAGTTAACTTTATTACAGATCCACTTACAGTTTTTAATATTGATTTTGCTCCATACACAGATAATGAAATTTTCCAGGTAGTTCGCAGCTGCGGCAAGCACGAAGATAATGATCAGTTTGATCACTATCTAGAACAAGTTGTGAATGTTTCTCGCCCTCTAACTCATGATATTCGCGATATTATTTATATAACGTACAAGTTACAGAAATCAGAGATCAAACCAGACGATAAATTATTCCCCAAGCTAGTACTTCACGAATTACGAGCTATCCGCGAAACAGTTCAATCCAGAATTGTTGATTTACCAAAGATCGCCAATTTACTCTTAATTGCATCATATATTGCTTCCCATACATCATCATTAGCAGATCTTGCTCATCTTTCTCGCTCTGCAAAGAGACAAAGGAAACATCCGAATTTTCTTCAGGAACACGAATACGTTAGCATTAACAGAATCTTTGCCATTGCAAAGGCTCTTAATTTCCATTATTGCGATGACTTCGATTTCGACTATTCCGCTTATACTCAAATTCAGAATCTTTATTCTTTGAATTTGATTGAAATCAGAGGTGATATCAGACTTGATCCGAAAATAAAATGCTTGGCAACAGAAGATGAGGTCAAATCTGCTGGCCTTAACGTTGAAATTGATGTTAATTATTATGTCTCAGAAGATATGAACTAAGTCATATGAATTTATTTTGTCTAAAAACGAATTATTATTTTATTACTACTTTTTTTTTCCTATTTTAAAATAAAAAATTATTCGAAATGACGATTACTATCATATCTACTAAAAATAAAGGTTGCTTGATATTATGGTGGCATTGATGAATTATTTCGCATATATTTTATAAAAAATTTCGATAATAAAAACTAATATACAACTTTATTCAATATAAAAAAACTAAAGAGAATCTTTATATTCTAAAACTATACTGACTTCTTGTGGTGAAATTTCGAAATATGATTCTAACCGACCAGGATAAGGTCGATTCATATTCAGTCTTTTGTAAACATTCATGACTTCAATTATTTCTTGATCTGCATTTACAGAAATTATTTTGAGCGCCGTTAAAATGTTTTTATCAAGCCAGCTTGAGTCAAATCTGTTTGCTTTGACATTAGCAACTGCCTCTTTAACGTCATTACATTGAATATAAGCGACTTGAGCTAATAAATAATTATTTTCATACTGAGCTAATAAATCTGAAACAGCACGAAAATTAGGTTCAAATTTGCCAAGTGGCGAATCAAGATCGACTGAAGATGGAGAAACGGGAATGGATTTTGCTGGTGGAGGAGAACTTATGACAACAGGCTGAGGGATAACTGTTGCTTGAGGTATTTCCTGAATATTTGACTGTTTTTCTGGAGCTTTCGAAGAATTAAATTCTTTTGATATGAAAAATATTTCCATCTCTGCTCGAATTCGGTATGCTTTTTGATCAACAATCTCAACTACAGTCGTAAGAGTCTTCAAAAATATCTTCCCAGGCTGATTCTGAAAGTTATTTTTAATTAATTCAATTAATTGATTTTTCTGTATAATAGGACTCATTGATATCCTTTTGACTATTTTAACATTGTTAAAAGTTGAAATTAAAATTTCAACATTATTTTGTTTTTTTATTTCTTTTACAATGGATGAATTGATATCCGACTTGGTTTCGAATAATTTGTAGTCAAATTCTGTTTTTGCAAATGTTGAAAAATTTTTTTTTTCAACGTAATAACAATTTGAAAATATGTCCTCTAATTTAATTTTTGAGAATGGTTTCTTGATGTTACCAAGTCTAAAAACTATTTCATAGTCTTCTGACCCTTTTTCATAAATATTTTTAAATTGATCAATAATAACCTCTGGGGTAATGTTATCAGGATAATCTATATCTCCTTTTATAAATCTAATTGTTTTCTGCGGAAAGCTTGCTAAGTTGATTTTATCTTGATCGTATTTTGATGGATTATTGGCAATATATATGTTTTGAATAGGGGATAAGTTAAAACTTTTGATTACAATTCGTTTAAGATCGCCAAATAATACATTTTCCTGTTCAATATACAACTTTTGAGCCAAATCTTCATAGCGTAAATTATACATTATTTTTTAAAAGAAACAAATTCTATAGTGGAAAAAAAATTTCAATAGTATTCAAAACCATTTTTTTGAATTATGATATAGAGATAAAGTATAATAAAAAAACAACAATTTTGAAAAATGAAACGAGGCATCACAAAAATTGAGTATGTTCTGTGTAATTTTGACAACTTTTTAGATTTTAATAATAATGATCCAATTATTCTAACACAAATTACAACAGTTTTGAACGGTTAACCGTTGAGGATGATCTTTTAAAATTTTCAGTTGATGGACAAATTCATGATAGTTTCAAGCTTCAGCACGCTTATATATCACTCACACATGAAGTGCTACATATAGAATGCCAAATAATAATGATATTTAAATTTATTTCAAAAAAATTCTAAATTATCGAAGTTCAAGTGTTAAATCAAATTGTTATCTGCATAAAAACGTTGATATACTCCATCGGTGATAATTTTATTAAAATAAATCAATACACTGAATATATTTACAAAAAAAATATCATTTCAAAATCCCAAAAAATATCATTTTAAAAAATTCAAGAATAAAATTATATATGCAATGTGAAACAAATTAGATCCATTAAAGCCAGCGTTTTCCCTTTCGATCTAAATTTTTAATTTTAATTTAAATATTCTGCATTATTTCAAATAGTTTGATCCGTACCTACTACCTGTTTTTGAAACTAGCCGAAAAACAGTCGTTTTGCTATTTGACGATTTTACAACTTTTTATTTTCGATATATTGTTGTAAACAGAAATTCATCAAAAGTGACACCTCAAAAAAGCTAAAATATTGAATTTTTGGAACTTTTGATAGAGCACGTTTTTAAATATTAAGGGTGCACACGAGAGGATCATGTAAACTTCAGAATTTAGAACCTTATTTTTAGGCATTATCTTGGCTACCTATTTAGGCTCGAAAAGCAAAAAATATCAAAAAATACAACTTGAGTCCATTATGACCCTTTCATGGAGGTAGTTTTTATCCGCTAGTATTTTCCCTTTGAATCTCTTTACAATTCGAAATCAAATTCAAACCTCAGTAGAAGAAAGGAAGAATCGACTTACTACGGTTGTAATACGAATAAATACATATATTTAATTATTTTTATTTACATAATAATTGTTTGAAGCTCATATTCCGTCAAATTTTTAAATAAAAACATTAAAATGTTGAAAATGTTCATATATTTTAATAGGGTTTTGGCACTTTATTGAGGAATTACTACATACATAGTCGAACTGAACTTGATATTTTGAAATTTAAGTTATTTATCAAAATTAAAATTTAACTTGAAATTTATAATTATTTAGTCATATTTTGCATAATTCTAAGTAGATTTTGTAAAAAATCAAGAAAGAAAAATTTTAACGTGCTTTATTTTTTCTTTTTTATAATAATACATATTATGATATAATGAACATATTCATAATGTTTCACCCTTTCAAAAATATAATCCTCCTCTCAAATAAACGTACATACGGGTGGCCTCTTTTTTCAAAAAATTAAAATTTGAAATTTTGGGCTCAAATATTAGAGATTTTTTCAACCTTCAACGATATATGTTGTCTATATCAGACCTCCTTTCTTTTTGATACTTAACATTGTTCCTAAATCTTAACCGTTAAGGCTGTTCTGAAAATATTTTTTTTTTCGAAAAAATTCGAAAAAAATTCTTAAAATTCAAAAATCCATTAATTCCTGAGGATTTTGGAAAAAAACTTTTACATGAACATGTGTAGGGATGCGACGGTTTTACGCCATGACCGTTTAAAAATAGAATAATACGCCATTTTTTGGGCCGAATGGCGGCTACTTCGTACCCGCCATTCGGCCAAATAACAAAACAATACAAAATTATCGCCGTCCTTTTTTTTCTTTCTTTCTCTTTTTTTTTCTCTCTCTCTCTTTCTTTTCTCTTTCCTCTTTTTACTCCTCTTTCTCTTTTCATCATTAAACGTAGAAAGATATATTAATATTATTTAAAATTAAAAAAAATAAAGAAAGTATAATAAGTAATTATTTAGTTATCGATATATATATGTAAAGTGATAATCTGAGGATAATCTGAGGAGTCTGAGGATTAGAGAGGAGTAGTCTGAGGAGTTTGAGGATAATCTGAGGAGTTTGAGGATAATCTGAGGAGTTTGAGGATAATCTGAGGAGGAGTCTGAGGATTAGACCGAGGAGTAGTCTGAGGAGTTTGAGGATAATCTGAGGAGTTTGAGGATAATCTGAGGAGGAGTCTGAGGATTAGACCGAGGAGTAGTTTGAGGAGTAGTCTGAGGAGTTTGAGGATAATCTGAGGAGGAGTCTGAGGATTAGACTGAGGAGTTTGAGGAGTAGTCTGAGGATAATCTGAGGAGTTTGAGGATAATCTGAGCATAATCTGAGGAGTTTGAGGATAATCTGAGCATAATCTGAGGAGGAGTCTGAGGATTAGACTGAGGATAATCTGAGGAGGAGTCTGCGGATAATCTGAGGAGTAGTTTCAGGAGTAGTCTGAGGACTAGTCTCAGGACTAGTCTGATGAGGAGGACTCTAAGGAGTAGTCTGAAGAGTAGTCTCAGGAGGAAGATCTGAGGAGTAGTCTGATGAGGAGGGGTCTAAGGAGTAGTCTGAGGATGATGAGTAATCTGATAAGGAGTAGTCTGATGATGATCTGAGGATAACCTGATGACTAGTCTAGGAGTGGTCTAATAAAAATGTAAAATATTTTCAAAGAAAAAATTCTATAAATTTTATATTTTAATTCTTAGCATTATACTGAATAAAATAAACATAAATATCAAAATTTGAAATTGAACACGCCAAAAAATTGATAATCCACATTCAATATTTTGTAAGTGGCGTACTTTTTGAATACTCGCCATACGCCTTGGAGTTCTCAATTTTGAATTAGCCTTTATTTGGGCGACCTCAGAAAAATACGCCATTAAGAAAATATTGTATGAGATTTTAAATTTGAACACGCTCTACCTTAAGGAATTAAATTTATTAAGATATATTTATATATAATAAACGATTACTTAAAAAAAGAGGATGTTTTATTGTCGTCTGGAAAAAGTGACAAAATTATTATTGTCGTCTAAAAAGGTGACAAAGTATTATTGTCGTCTGGAAAAGTGACAAAATTATCATTGTCGTCTAAAAAATAGATTTTTCAAGCATGTTTCGGTACCTAAATAAAGGAAGAACATCAATTCCATCTATGTATATAGTATGCAAACACGCATGATATATGGAGTAGCTCTTTATCTGGCTAAAAATCCTATTATTTGAAAATTCGTATTGTCGTCTAAAACCGCCAGACGACAATAATAATACCCTTAAAAAAGTATTTCATCGCTTATGTAAGTTTCAAAAAAATCACGAAAATAAAAAAATCAAGATTAAAATTTTATTTTTAATTTTTGAATTTATCAAATGGCGAAATTTTTGGGCGAACAAAAAAAATGTACGCCCGGTCAAATGGCGTGTTTAACGCATCCCTAAACATGTGTATATTATATGAAGTATATTGATAAGGTAAAAATCAAATTTTATTGCATATTCATCGAGAAAATAAACTAACGAATCCCTCAAAATTGAGAGGGTAATCCTCCTCCTCTCAAATAAACGTACATACGGGTGCACCCTTAATTAAAGTAAATGTATATTTTGTAAAGATTCTTTTTAATAAAAAATAAAATTTTGAAGAAGAACACAAAATCTTCTGAAAAATAATATCACATAAACTCATATTATTTTCTAATATATAACTATTTTATATAAAAATCAAATTCAATGATCTTAAAAGCGAAGGATAAACCTCAAAATTTACGAATATAATGAGTGGGAATATAATGCTTATCTATCATAAAACCATATGAAATATTAATTTTTGCTTTACGCCTAATTTTTTGACGACAATTAGCAAAAAATGTTAAATGTTAACACTCAGTCCATTTGAATATGAAAAATAAAATTGACTTTGATTAAATGTTTTTATTTATCATGCAATTCTTCTTGCGACCAAAGATTTGAATAAAAGTTCAAAAAATAAGATAGCTTAAAAAATAATATACGGTAGTGTTTACTAATAGATGAATAGTATATAAATTCTATTAAAATGGATTTGATCCAAAAAAATATAAAATCAAAAATAATTGTTATAATTTAAATGAAGAAGTAATTTAAAACGATTTTATTTATGATCAAATTTTATATATTTTTTTGGATCAAATCCATTTTAATAGAATTTATATACTATTCATCTATTAGTAAACACTACCGTATATTATTTTTTAAGCTATCTTATTTTTGAACTTTTATTCAAATCTTTGGTCGCAAGAAGAATTGCATGATAAATAAAAACATTTAATCAAAGTCAATTTTATTTTTCATATTCAAATGGACTGAGTGTTAACATTTAACATTTTTTGCTAATTGTCGTCAAAAATTAGGCGTAAAGCAAAAATTAATATTTCATATGGTTTTATGATAGATAAGCATTATATTCCCACTCATTATATTCGTAAATTTTGAGGTTTATCCTTCGCTTTTAAGATCATTGAATTTGATTTTTATATAAAATAGTTATATATTAGAAAATAATATGAGTTTATGTGATATTATTTTTCAGAAGATTTCATTCTATATGCCTATGAAAAGTACTCTCAAAACTAACTTTTTCCTAATTATAATTAAATCTAGAATATTGTATTATGCTTAGTATTATTTCATTTTTCTCATTCAATTTAGAATTTACAAATGTCAAAAAATTGAGAGCTGTCACTTTTGATGAATTTCTGTTTATTACACTACATTATTTTTAGTATAAATTTAGCGAAAGGTTATTGTAAATATTATTCAACATTTTTTTTCTTCAATATTAGTTCCAAATAGCTATATTCTGACTTTATAAATTTTAATTTATCAATTTGTAACTCTTTGGCATGATTGGATAGTGATACGTGATTTTGGATTTTTTATATACTTTTCATTAGAAAATATAAAAAGGGTTATTTTAGTATGCATACATTTCTAATCTATAACCATCACATGTTTAACAAAAAACCACTTTGCCAAATGAAGAATATTTCTTTTTTACAACATTTAATGAGACATAATAGCTGGCCAAATCTTTATTCGGCTTACTACTACATATAATCGTGCATATATTCAATTATAATCGCATGAATTATAAAAATCAGATAATTTTACTATTTTCTGAAGTCTTCAAAAATCGTTAATGCTCTCTTATAATTGATTTTGTATAGTGAACTAACACAATAATTTTTTATATAATTGTATATATAAAAATGTCAAATTTATATAGAAAGATTGTTTAGTTTTTTATTTACTCATTAGTAACTAAAGGAACTGTATCGAGTTGAGGAAATACTTGTTCCTTTGCTCTGCAGCAGCAATGCCACAAAAGTATTGCTATCATTAATATCAAACAAACGCCTAAAAATGATGCCATGTATACAATTCTAAGAGTTAAATTTGCAGGAATTTCCTCTTCATCCTGTGGAGTAATTGTAACTCCTGGAGGAACAGGACATTTATAAGACAATGGAACATTAAATGTTGATGATTTCGCATTGACAACAATTGGCTGTATCAAAGTATCACAACCATTAAATTTCGATTTCATCAAAGGTGTCAAATAGAAAACGAAATTCTTCGATTTCTCAGGAATTTCTTCAAACGTAACATTCTTCTCAAAAATATCAATTGTCTTGGCGGAAACAGTCTTGTTATTATCAATATCATATAATCCTGCAATCATTGAATGTGATTCTGGCTCAGATCCGAATTTTTCAGACAAATCCGCAAAAGTGAAGTGAACTGTCAGTTTTTTATCGGTTGTGTTCAATGATTCATATGGTTTCGGACTAATTATCTGTTGTGAACTGTGTTTATTAACATAGTTCACTTGAGATATCTTTCCAAGTTTGTTTTCTCTGTTTTCGATGTAAACAAAAAGTGACACATTTGTCAAATAACAAGGAATTGAAATTTTTGTTTCTTGGTTTGATTTGATATCACTTTTAACCAAAAATCCCGAATTCTTGTCTTTATCGACCAAAAACAAATCAAAGAGATTTTCTGTGTCAGAAACAATTTTGACAGAAAATTCTTCTTCACAATTAATTGTTTGAGGTACTTCAAATTTTAATTCTGAGTCAAAGTATTTCTTTTCGTGTCCATTCTTTTCAGGGAGAGTTGGGAGAGATGGCTGAGCAGCAAATCCATATATTTCGAGCTTGATTTCATCCATTTTTCCTTTCAGTTGGTATTCATTTGATGAAATAAATACTGTCCAATTTCCGTCACTTTTTTCACCAAAGAAACCTCTTATTATGTATTCGTATGTTCCATCCTCATTTTCTGTGTTTGCTGGACGAGAAACAGGTATTTTTGTGCCAGAAGGAGAAAGTAAATCGAGATTCAATGATCTGACGTTTGTCGCTTTGAAAGAAAGCTTCAAATACTCAATAAATGGTATATTTATGTCATTACGTGATGTGATGTTTGCAATTTTCATTCTCGAATAAAGAGATAAATTATGAAAATCGAGAATTACGGATTTTTGCTCTGGAAGTGTTGTTATTTGCTTTGCAACATCAATTGCACGTTCTGTATCTGCTCTACCAAAGCCGTATATGTTACTATAATGGTATTTCGCAGAATTTGTGGTCCATGACTCGTGTTTTGGATCATTTTGAACAGCGGAGATGATTAATGCAGTCTGTATTTCTCTGTAAGTAAGTTTGTTGTTTGCTTCAAGCATTAATCCGACAATTCCAGCTACATTTGCAGATCCAACACCATAAGGTGTGAAATCAGTATCACAACTGGTTGAATCAGCAATTCCAATTGTTGGAGGATATGGTAAGTCACGTTGTGAACCATAAATATTTGAAGATCCTCCTGATAGAGCATTAATTAAAACGGAAGAGCCTTTTCCGGACCAATATGAACGAGATCCTGATGGTGTAGTATCTGAAACTGTGATTACATTTGGATTTCTTGAAATTGGATCAAAGTTTGTGTCAAATCCAGATTTTGCTTCAAAACCCGATGAAGTAATAAAGATAGGAGCATCTTGTGATGTAATAGAACTATCTATCTGTTTGTTTTCAAGTGGTGAATAGAACTTTACATAATCAGAAGAGTCATTTTCTTTGATAAATAATTTTTCTAAAGCGATTAACTTGACATCTGTATTGATATTCTCGTACTTCATTGATTGTATTCTACTATCAACATCATTTTTAGTCGATTTGATGCAAATATAGTTCGATGCGTGAGAAATGCCAGCTGTGCATATGTCATTTGCTTCACCTAATGCTATTCCTAGCAATCCTGTAGAGTATCCTGAGTATTTGTCTGATTGACTTGGTTGAACTTCAGTTGTATTATCATCGAAATTAAAATGTTTGTCTGAAAGTTGATTTTGGATTAAATCTTTATGAGAATTGTAGCACCCATTACCTGCAATAGAAAATACTACGTTTTTTCCTGTTAGATTTTCGTTTTTCCAAATTGGAAATAAATTCAAATCTTCGCCAGCCTCTGAATCATATACTCCTATGTTATTGAGATCAAATTGTTTATCAAGGAGTGGGTCAGATGGCATTTCACATAAAATTTTGCCACTAAGTAAGAAAAACATTTTTTGAAAAATTGTGATTGAAATATCATCGTTTCTAAATTAGGGGTAAACACCCTTTGAAATTATGATATGAGAAATCTCTACGATGAAATTAGCTATTACAAAGAAGATATCTTCATATTGCATGAATATAAAGTAGTACCCCGTGTTGCGCATGGTTTTTAATAAAAATTGAAATTGAAGAAGATTCTTTAGATATTTAGGATGATTTAATAGCATTAATAGAGTTTCTTACAGATAAGGTAATTAATGCAATGCTATATGAAGAACAAATAGCTTAATTTGAGTAAAATATAATGCAATTTGATGTATTGACTGCCCATTAAACATTATTTAGATTTTGTTCGAATAGTTTGTCATATATGCAAAAATTCAAGCTTTCCAGATTTTTATAAAATTTTCAGGAGTACGTTAACAAATGAGCGTGCTTGAGGAGAAATCAGAGGCAAACCTCGAATTGCTCCTCAAGGAACTGGAGGATGGCATTAAAAACATCATCACACCATTCAACGATTCTGAAATTGCACTATGCTCGGGAAAAATTCGAGAATTAAAATTAAAAAAGCGTTCTCTTTTTATAGACAGTTTTGAAAAGCAAAAACCTTTACAAATCAAGCCATTTTACGTAGATGAATGCCTCGATAAAGTCTCTAAAAACGATTTCGAAAATTTAACCACAAACCAAAAAATTGCGGATTACTTTTCCTATGAAATGAACAGAGCTAAAAAAATACGTGATAGGCTTACAAGGAATTGTTCAACTTCAGAAGTTTTTAGTCAAGTTGAACCAGAATTTGTCACTTTATTCCAATCTTTATCAGCGCATATTACTACATGCCAAAATATTATCAATGGACTTACTCAATCAACTATTCCAACATATTCTGATGATGATTTAATTATGTTGCTGAAAGGAAAGTTTGTCAGACATCTTAAGAAGCTATTTCTACATGTTCTTAAACTTGAAGCTAAGCAATTAATAGTTTCAAGAAGATATCAAATTATGAATGACTCATTTAATCGTATTGAAGCAGATCTTACGCGTAATAATACCTTAACTCAACCAGAAGTACCTGTTATGATTGCAGAAACAGCAGATTTAGATAAAAAGTTAATTAGCCTTGCCACTCGTTTTGGAGTTACAGAACCAATGGATTCTCCTGATGCCCAACGATATCTTTACATATGTGATAAATATTTTACGGCAATTTGGTCGAAATTGGAAAATATTTCGTATACTCCAACAAAAACAACTTATAAAATCAATGCTGTTAAAAAGACATCAGAACATATAACAGAAGAGTCATATTTAGCGGAAATACCAATTGAACAGACAGTTAACATCATTTGGGAGAAACTTGCATCAGATAATTTTCCAAAATTACTTGCAATGATAAAATCTGATGCAGGAAACTACAACACACTTGTCAATGGCGAATACAATAAAACTAGAACAGTTTTAACAAGAAGAGAACCTTTACAACTCGAAAAAGTTAATGTTTATTTCAGATTTAGAACTGCTCGAGCTAAATGGCTCTTTTTGATGATCCAATCACAGTTAAATATGTTTGAAGCCATGCTTTCGAATATTTGTGGCTCAAATTACACTTGGAGAGAATCAAAAGAAATTTTACATTTAATTGACGTTCTTGATGAAAATGGAAACTTAGTTATGCTTTCCTCAGCACAAGAAAGATTTGAGGATGTTAAAACAACAATTCTCAAAACTGTTGGTTATTATACAAATATTTATGAAGAAAAGTTGATTGCAAACAACAGAACAGATGTAATGGTTGATAGAGAGCAAATGATCATTAACATGCTTGAAGATGAAGCTATTTATCTCAACGCAAAAAGAAAATTATTGCAATGTCTCTATGAATGTGCAGTTCATCACAAAACAGAGGACACAATTAGAATATTTGCTCATGCCGTTGCTGATAGAGCTTATTTGAATGTTCCTCTGAACAAATCTTACAAGATTGGTTATAATCTTGCAATTCAGCTTATCAACAAGCAAGCAGATGTTATTTCATCAATCATTAAAGTCCAAGTTCTTCATGAACGCCACATTTCTGCGATATTACCAAATGATGTTCCTCTTTTTGACAGATTATGCATCAGTCCAGCTCAATCCAAGTTGTTTATAGAAAGTGTTCCTATTTCTCCACATGAAACCTTCAGACTTTCTGATATTCCAAATCTTATTGAGTTATTATCCAACGAAGCTCTTTCATTTTGCGAGCAAACAGATATTAAGAAGCTCAGATACACAAGATACGTTGAACTTTCCTTATGGAACTCATTTAGTGACAGATTTTCCGAAATTTGTCAGTATCTTCCATTTTCTTTGACAACATATCCATTTAAATGCGAACTTTCTTCAGGACCATATTCATTGATTTCATCTCCTATCATTAACACATTATCAGGAGCGATGAAATTCATGGAAAATGTTCCGAAAAGTCGCAGAACAAGATTTCTGTTGAATTTAATCGTTGCAGTTGATGTTTGTTGGGAATTGCAAGATATTTTGATCAAATGCGATGCATTACAAGATGTTTATATATCACAGAGCAGTAGATGCGGTTTCAATGATCCGAAAGTATACATGAATCCATTTACAGCTCAAATGACACATGAAGTCATTGATATTGGCGACATCATTAATACAGAAAAAGTTTTAGATTTCGGAATGACTGATTACGACAGAGTTGACTTTAATTTCAGCAAATCATATATGCTGATGGATGACATCATTTCAGGTCATTTCAAACAGATGAAAGAAATCAACCAATTCCAGAAATTGCATTATTTCATCATGGATGTTGCTGTTCGTTACAATTTCTTCCTTTTAGATAACGATATAATTGTTGACCACTTTAGTTTGGCCATGGATGAGTCAAGTGATTTCTTCTTGACACAAGCAGGTGTAAATGGTGATACAATACAATCCAGTTTCATCAGATCTTTCATGGCTCCTACAATTTTGTTGGATGCACAGTATATTGTTGATAACTACAAGAAAGCACAAGAAAACAGAGATTGGTATTTCGTTAATATCAGAGCAATAAAGAAAGAAGCCAGATTGATATTAAACGCACAAGCAAAGCAACAATCTATTAACTATGAAACATATATTTCACAGTTATTAGATGTTTTCAGTGGCCCTGCTTATCGAATGGAAGTTGCTTTTGTTTGTAGAATATTCAGACAGTTTTTGCTGTTGAATGCTTTCTCTGATGCTTTTATCATAGAACCAACAAGCAAACAACTAGTTACTGAGTCAGGAAACACTCAGAACTCTTACATTATTCCTATCTGGGGAACAATCTTTATATACTGTAGATCAGCTCCAATTGCAAGACAAGGTTCGATATTTAAAGCTGTTTTGAGTCATGTTTCTTATATCTACAGATTGAATCAGATGATAAGATTCGAATGCTCTCTTTCTCAGCCGAAAAGTAAAGTTCTGATTGATTTAACAACATGCCAATTCCAAATGGAAACAACAATGCCGCAAAGAATTTATAATGAATTGTCAAGAATTCCAGGATATAATGAATTCGATGTTTCTTCACGTTTCTTGTGTGACAAAGTCAGACAAATGGAGATGAGACAAGAATTAGCCATTTATTCAGCGTTCGAACAAAGTTTCCTTACAATGGAATCGAATGATGCAAATTTGAGATCGTATTTAGTAACTTTGTTAAATCAGATGAGTGATTTTCCTGATGTTGATGGAATGGTTTCTTTGAGATATTCTCCAAGTTGGTGCGCGAGATTCTTCTGTGATGCTGATGAATCATCGAGACAAGAATTGTTGAGAAGAATTAACTTGGTTGATCAAAGAGTTGATGGAGATTTGGCTGCAAGAGATATCAGATCAACAATAGAAAGTTACCAAGCAGTTATTGAGTCAATAACATTCATGGGAAGTTTGTTGGCCCATTACAGATTGAAATTTGCTTTCTTCTGCTTGTATTCTGGTATAATGGAGTTCACTGATCCTCTGAGTCAAATGACTCCTCAAATTTATAGTCATGGAAATGATATTTGGGACGAAAGAATTGTTAGTCAAGCTCATCATATTTTAGCTCCTCATGAAGATGAAATACAACTTCTCAAGAAGAAACCACTTCCTGAAATCAGAATCATTGGTGCACAAATAGAAGCATTGAGAAATGAATGCGACAAAGCAATTCTTACAAAACAATTCATAATTGTTAAACAAGAAATCGAAAGATTACCAACAATTTTGTCTCCTGATAGAAACCAGGGAAGACTTGATCCAGAGATGATGAAATTTTCTCTTTCATCGAATGATATCAACAATTTCTTTGATGGTGATGCCAAAAACGCAAGAGCAAGATTAGTTCACAAACTCAGCAATGTTTTGAAGAACGCAAGAGTTGGAGAAATCCAAAATGGAGAACAAACAATTAATTTCGATATTGTTGAAAGAAAGATGCATCATTTAACACCTTTCTTGTACGAATATGAAAAAGAAAGTTTAGAACAACAATCTTCTTTGTGGCATGGAATTTTCGGATTCATGTTAGATCTTTATAATGAAGATAATAACACATTGAAATTAATTGACATCTTTGAGAAAATTGTTTTAGGAAGATACGATTATGAGTTGGCAACAAGTTTGTGTTCAATGTTAGGCAGTGATTTCTTAAAGATCAATAATCTTGAAGACAAAATCAGATCGAGAAAGAAGGCAATTATTTATGAAGACATTGATTCAACTGAAGAAATCAAAGCTGAATTCGATACTTTATTGTATGATCTGAGGAGACAAAAAGATAGAACTAAGAAATCTTTTGCAAAATGCAGAGAAGAACTATATGGATTAGTTCAAAGCAGACTCAAAGCTGCAGGAGAAGTCCAGTTCTCTGTAGAAAGATTCAAGAAGATGACAATGCAAGGATTCAAACAAGATACATCGAGTGAATTCAACAGTGATGAAGAAAAGAATGATGAAAGAAGTATGGCAGTTAAAAAGGACATAGAAGCATTGAGAAAGAAGATTACTGTTATGAGAATAGTCAGATGTATGTCTAATATTGCTACAAGGAGATTCTTCATTAAAAGAATTGCTTCATCAACTTCCGACATGAAATTTGAAAGCGCAAAAATGTGGGAAGGAAAAAGAGATTTTGAAGTTTATGAAGAATCAACTTTGGCATCATTAAAGAGATATTACAGAGCATTATCTGATAACTCGATAGAAGCAGCAAGAATGCGTGTAATGATTGACAGTGAGAAGCAGAATACAATTCAATTAGTTCATTGGAAAGCATTAAACGCAAAGAAAGAAGATGAATTGAACAGAAAACTGAAACAGTTTGATGGTGTTGGAGATGTTGATGTTTCTGCTTTATTACATAAACTTGAAGCAGCACAAGCAACACTCAACAAACTCAAAGAAGACTCAAATAAATTAGATGCACAAGCAGAAATTGACATAAGAAGACCAATGACAGCAATTGAAAGAACAAGAAAGAAAATTGTTGTTTCAAAGATAGAAAGAACAAGAATTATCTCTGAAAGAGTTCCTGCAACATTATCAAGAGCTGCATCAACATTAAATGCTACAGCTTTAACTAGTAGTCATACTTTAACTTCTGATGGATTGTTACAAACATTACAAAGTGAAAATGAAATGTTATCTGTCAGAAATGAATATTTAAGAAGACAAATTGCTGATTGCGAAGCAGCAAAGAATTCAATGCCTCCTGAATCATTGGCAACAATGGAAACTGTTGTTGTTCCAAAGAAACCAAAGCCAGAACCAAGAGGTGTAAACAGCGGAAGACCAAAGAAAGAGACAGGAATCACAAGACCTTTCTCAGCTGCTGTTTCATCAAGATCAAATCTTACAAATACTACGGCTCCAAGCTCAACTCCACCACTTTCGCTTGGTCCATCAAGGCCACATACAGCACAAGGCACAAAGACAGCTAAACCTTTGAATGATACTACTCCAAGAAGAGAAAAGAAGAAAGTTACAATTAGATTTAAATAAATGTTTTGTTATTTAGTTATTGTTATACGAAAATAATGCTATATTTTCCATAACTAGAATAATTTCTATTCCTTACTAACATAAATGTCTAATTTGTTATGAGCCGAAAATCAAATAATGGATATTCTTACTCTCATTTGATAGTTCGGTTCCACTTACCGTACACATCCTATTTGTTATGATATAAAATATTTAGCAAGCAATACAATCCGAAATTTTCATTATTTTATAGATTTTCTTCTGAATTTGCTTTTCTAGAACACAATAATCGATGGAACTTTCACTAGACGTATTTTTAGAACTGTACTCTAACTTGAGGTCTGGCAAAAATGTCCAAGAAGTGTCTAATTTGCTTGAGCAATGTTATTTAAATTCAGAATCTATCCAAATCAATTTACAGATCGCAGAACAAACAGATGATATCGTTCTAATGCAGTATGCTCTTTATGGTGTCTGCGTTTGTATTCGAAAGTTACAGAAGAAAATCGATGATTCGATCATATTACAAGCAAGAGCAAAGATTTTAGAATTCCTAACAACGGCAACAGAACCAACAGTAATTAACTCGATAATTGCTGTTATCGCTGAGTTGATAACTTATTGGCAAGAATGGCACGAATTCACTGCATTGATATTCGACCAAAACACGCCTATAGAAACTGTTTTAAAGTTACTGTCACAACTTATTAATAGCATCAAGAGTACTAAAGTCATTCAAAATCTCGAATTTTTTCAAAATTTAATTCAGAGAGGTTTAGAAACATCAGAGTTTGAGTCGATTTCATACGCCATACAGCTTTTATTTAACCTTGCCATACCAATCAAGAACTATTCTAATACAGATGAAGCTTTAATTGAGTCATTTAATAATTTTGGTGAACCACTACTAGCAGTTCTCAAACAAATCATTCCGCAAGGTAACCTAGAAGACTTTATGAAGGTTTCCACACCTATAATCAGTGGATTAGAGAAAGGTGTTTCACTTTTACCTTTTGAAGAGACAATTGACTTCTTCATTACATTACTACAGACGCAGAGTTTCGAAATCGAGTATTCTCTGCATCTAAACAATTTCATTTCTTCGATGATCTGTTATTCCGACGATGTATACTTTGGAGAGACAGAAGAAGAGAACAATGAGAAGCTGTCTGTCATATTCCAGTTAGAAATCGCACTTTCGATGAACTTTTTCGAATCAGATGATATGGATCCGACAATGAACTGGCTTTACGACTTCGATCAGATGTATAACCAAATATACGGACGTTTAAAACCTTCCGACGTCATAGAATTGACTCAACAAGGAATTAATGTTTTAGATGCTCTGGAAACGCCTCAATCGAGAGCTGCTTTGTTGCTTATGATAGAGAATGCAATGTCCGCTGAACCTTGGGAGTTTAATTTGAAGAGAAACGACATTTTCGAATTATTAATGGAATCTTTCAGATCCGAGGACTATATAGTAGTTAGAATGGCCATGAGGTTCATAGATGTACATGCTTCATTGTTTTCTCAGAAAATTAATGACAATTCTACAGATTTTATTAATTTTGCCGTAAATTTGATTCATGGAGAGGATCCTTCATCAGCATCGAACATGTTGAACTCTGTTATTGGTGTTTTGGTCGATTCCGACCCTGTTTTTGAAATAATTTTCCAAACTTCTTTTCAATTGTTGCAATCAAACAATCCTGGGCTCCAAATCAATGCGGCAAAGTCATTGTCGGACGCAATACACCGCTCCAAGTCCAAAATTGAAAGTCTTTTCAACGAAATTATCACCCCAACTTTAGAATTAATTGGACAAGTGTTTTCTGAGCAAGATTCCATGACAAGTATTATTTCCCCTCTATTTGGAGTCATTTCGTCCCTTGCTTTTCGTTGTCCCGACCAAATTGTTTCTTATTTCGAAGATATTTACAATATTTTGCTAACAGCCATCTCCTCTGACGATAAATATACATGTATTGATGCCCTGAACTGCTTCACGAGCTTAGTTTCTAGTATTCCTGAAGCATTTGGTGATAAATTCAGCCAAATTCTAGATTTGGTCCGACCACTCTTTGAACCTCACTGGAATATTGAAATGGCTCAACTGAACAGGATGAAAAACAGCAAAGGCCTCGAGGAACTGAGTTTGAAATTTGATGCGGCGATTTGCGGATTGAAACTCATGATTTCCATCTCTAAGGTATCAGAAGATGTTGGATTAATCCACGAATCACTTGTTTTCATATTAACTATACTCGGAGTCCCAGATATTAACGGAATCATTTCAGGTTTCGATTCTTTGTGTCGGATTAGCGAAATAATATCTGTTATTGAAGTTCCATCCGAAATATTTGAGCTATTTTTCAGAATGATTCAACAAATTTTTAATTTATTAAATTCTCTGAAAGATAGGAACATAATAACCTCTGCATTGCATGTAATATCTCAGATTGTGTCTCTTTTCGGTCCTACTGTCCTCGGAGACTATTATCAGATGTTACCTCCGATTATGTTGCAGCAAATCTACGAAACGTTCAACTCCAACAACGGATATTATGTTTACATCGATGCTATATTCGATAAAAACGTTTATTCCGTTTTAATGATAGATTTGCTTATGAAATTGGACTATTCCATCATTTCCAACGCTCTTCTACCTATTTTCGATCATCTATTGGTTGAACAGAACCCAGATGTCACATCTTTTGCCATAGATGTCTGTTCTTCAGTGATTGTTGCAAATCAAGAGTGTTTTCCATCAGAATTCCAACAGAAATTCATGGATTTGCTACTAAAATACATCGCTGAAGGTACTGCAACACTCGCAAAGTCTTCAACAAACTTTTTCTGCCAAATTTTGAAAACAAATTCTTCTTTTGTTGAACAAATAGCGGAAAATGTTTATTCGTTATTGATACAAAGACTTCAACAGCAGAATTGTGATGATATAATGACAAATGCAGTACAATTAGAAGAATTTTTGTCAAATTGCATTTTGTTGTTTTCTTCTGCCTTCAATTTCAACTTTTATGATCATGTAGAGATAGTTCTTAGATCTCTTCCTTATCAGAATGAAGTTGAACTGAATAATTCCGCATTTTCTTTCATTTGTTCAGTTTCTTCTTCATTAGATATCAATTTCGTACCTTATTTTGTGCGTCCTTTAATATCCTTATTCGCACGGACTGTAAATCAGCTGAAAAATCTCGAAATTGAAGATCAAATTTTGAGATCTTGCTTAGAAACACTGAATTCCCTACTTCAGAACTTCCCTGACAGAGATTCTTGCATTTCTCAGACACTTAACGGAAACCAGGAGTCAATTGACCTCTTTAGAAACACGATTTCGGAAGTTGAGGCCTCTCTTCAATCATAATAGCTTTGTTTTTAAATGTTTTGTTATGTATTCTTTTTATATATATTTTATTTAATATTTCATATCTCAAAATATTATTCAGATTCATTATGGGGAAATTAATTTAAAGTTATCAAAGAGTAAAGACTTATTCATTCACATAATTCAGATTCAATGTCTCTATTAAAAAGATAAAATCTTAATGGATTTTCTTATAAGATAAACTCTATGATATAAAGTCGTCTAGACTTGATTCAATCCATTTAAATTCATTGCTGGATTCGAAATCCGAAATAAATGAAGAAATAGGAACTATTCATTCAAAACATTTTGATTGAAAAAATTCTCAACTATATTTGGTACACAAACTTGTGATTTGATTTCGGCAGTTAATAGTGATTTTTATTGAGTAGTTAGAAATGCAATGAGATAAAGGTTGTTATTGCTTTTGCATCTGCAGAATTTGTTTTGTAAAATAGTTTTGTATTTGATCTTAACGAGAATGCAAAGAGAGATTATGTTATTATTATTTAATTCAATATCTCCATTCCCTGATGTGATCATTTCTATTTTCTGGTTATCAAGAAAGCACTTATCAGCAATGATATCTGAACTTGATTCAGTTGAATATAATAAAATTTTCCCTGAATTATCTTTCATGACTGAATTAGAAATATAAATTTGCGAATTTGCACTGGCAAGATTAATAATTCCCGGTTGAGATGCGGTTGAAGATGAAGAACTATTTAAATAATTACTGCAATGAATATAATGTTGGGAATACCAATGCCAATAGCACATTAAATCTGCTTTATTTGAAATAAATTGACAAAATTTTGTGCTTGATGTTCCTGATGCATCATTATAAATAAGATATCCAACTGCATATCTTGTTTTGCAGTTACTTTCATTGATTGAAACAAATGAAACATTTCCGTTCTTGTGCCAAAGTACAGAGCCTGATGTTTCACTTGAATAACCTGAAATTGATGATTCTTCAATCAGATTTAGATCATAACTATTCTGTCTAGCTAGAACTGATGTATGAATTCCATTATGTGTCAATCTTGTAGTGCAGTCTTTTCCTGTAACTCGATATTGGAAAAATGATCCATTTCGAAAAACAGTGCATGGACAGTGATCATCTGCACTGCATTTATTAAATTCTGTTTCACTGATTCCTAAATAGTTCGGACCTACTGATTCAACAGAGATACATTTCGTCTTTAAGTCTCCAAAATTACAGTCTGTAACAAAATATTTTCCATTTGGATCTGATTTCAGAAATTGCTTAGATCCATCAGTATTTATGACTGTTGGTGGATCATTGAAGTATCGATTCCAATCATCTCTCGATTTATGAAAAAACAAAGTAAAATATCGAAGTCTATTTGTGCAATATGGTAAAGCATTCATGTGTTATATAATTAAAGTGATTTATTGTAGAAGATTTTATAATAATAGGGAAAATTCCTTTAAATTGATGGTTCAGAAAGATTTTGTTGAGGATTAGCATGTTTAGTTGAATTGTATGTGAGAGTTAAATGATTCTATTTGTTTTTCATCTCGATAATTCTTCGCTGAATTTTTAAATCTTTGAATTTTGATAATATTGAGCATTGTTAGAAATTTGGTAATGAATAAAAGATTCAATAAATGAATCAGCTATTGTTTATTCGATTAAATTCTGGGAATTGAAAGAAATTAAAGTTCAAATCAAACATGAATTTTAAAAAAAAAATTCGAAAATGTTTATGCGTGATGTTTCCAATGCAATTTACAGATTTATTGTTGATGACGACGCAGAATCATTAGCCTCAATCCTTTCAAATTATCAAGATCCTAATTTGAAACTGACTAAACCAACAGACTACAAGTATCCAGCTTTAATAACTATTTGGCCTTGGCCAATTCATGTTGCTGCGTTTTTAGGATCTGAACGTTGTTACAATTCCCTCTTAAATTATGGTGCGGATGAAAACATTAAAATTGCAAAAAAATTGGATGTGCGCCATTATGCTGCAGCTGGAGGACAATTATCTATTCTGCGCAGATTCTCAGATTTTGATGATTATTCTATGATTTATGCAATTCAGTATGGAAATCTTGATTGTGTAAAATTCATTTGGTCGAAAGGTATTGATTTTTCAAGTGATTATGTCTTTGTTCATGAAGCTTGTGAATCTAAATCCCTCGATATTGTTCAATTTATTTATGATCAATGCCCAGATTTTAAAAAAATAGCTAGTAGATTATATGATGATCACACTGGTTTAATGCGTGCAGCAAAAAGCGGCTGTGTTGATATTGTCAACTTTCTTCTCAAGTTAGGTTTAAAAGACAATGTAACTTCAAAATCTGGTCTTACGGCGATTTTTCTAGCAGCTAGATATGGATCTCTTTCATGTGTTAAAGCACTTGTTGAATCAGGATCTCGCTTCAAGAGCCGTAACAGGAAGTATAACTGTTTCGTTGAAGCAGCAACTCAAGGACATTTGGACATAGTTAAGTACCTTCTCGACAAAGGAATTGATATCAATATAACTACAATCGATGGGTATGATGCACTCGCATGTGCAATTGAGAAAAGTAGACTTTCTGTTGTTAAATATTTGTTAATGAAAGGAGCCAAGAAAACCAGAGATAGTAAGGAATTTGCACAGACAACTCCAGAAATATATGATTACTTCATAAATCACGATGGTGCCATAGATCCTATTTCAGTATTAGAGAAAATTGTGTTAGATAATCTCAAAAATATTAAGTTAGCAAAGCATTTATTTGAAAATTACATAAAATTGGATGATCTACCACATGATCTGATCTCAGAAATGTTTAAACGTGATAAAATTATAACTAGAAACTATAGGGTGTCCAAAGGTGCGTTTAGCACAGCGCTCTATATGAGACTATTAAAGGAGATATATGCTGATTATAAATATATAATAAAAAATATGAATATATGTATATGATGAGTATGTTGTATTTTGGCGCCATGCCGGGATATAAAATGAATTTTGAGACAAGAGGCGGTTTCGCGGGAAATTTTGGCGGGATTTTTTTCATTTTTTTAATGAATCATAAAGAAAACATCCTCGCTCTTGCAAAAAAATGCAAAGACTGTAAAAAAATCTACGAGACATTGGTAAAATGCTTCGGTATGGATGCTCCTAGCTATTCCACTGTAACGTATCATGTTAGGATGTATCACTTCATGAACAAAAAGGCGCCCATCATAAAAATTGACAAAAAATCGCCGGATCAAAGAAAAATCAAAGCAATTCTTCAAGCGCTAGATGAAGACCCAAGAGCATCACTCAGAAGGATAGAGGAGATGACAAAGATACCACGTACAACAGTCAGTTATTATCTGCACAATTATTTGAACTACAAACTAGCGTATACACGTTGGGTTCCGCACAGTTAGTATGGTTATCTTGGGTATGGTGGCACTACGCTCCACCCCACCCAAGATAACGGTTTGACACTTTACAAAACCGCTAACGTATATTTTACAACACAAACACAAACACTAACTTAACCTTAAACATTTACAAAGCCACCAACCACTTCACCTCACTAACGTTTTCGCTAACGACTTCACTAATGAAAAAATAAACGTTCCCACTAATGTTCTCATTTACAAAAGTATTGCAGCGCTTCCCATTGCTGTGCTTCACATAACAGCTCATAATCTTCTGACTCACTTTCTTCTTCATATAGGTCAAAATCACTGTCATAGTTTATACCTGTAAGTTTTGACAAAGCTAATGAAACACGCTTACCGTTTGTATCTATTGCTTTTATATATCTCCCATTATGTTTGTTGTCGTAAACGCTCAAACTAACTTTACCCTTTCTCCCTCGTATCTGATAGAATGTATTTTCACGAGGAACAAAGAACAAATTCTTGAACTCATGACCGTTGTAGTTTGTTATCTCAATAGTTTTCGTCATTTACATCCAAATAAAAATTTTCAGTAAAAATAAACTTAAAAATAAATGATATCACCACCCTCACACGTATGAAAATATAGCACAAAAATAAATTTAGGTGAAGTGGTGAGATCTCACCTCTTTTTTCACCTCTTTTTTTTCACCCACTTGAATTCATTGTTTTATAACTCTCTTCCTTTCTCCAACTCTTCTAACTTCTTCTTAAGTTCAGCAATGTTGTCCTCATGAAGTTTAATCTTTCTCAAAATTCCTTCTTTATCTAATGGTTGCTTTATCTTTCTAAACTGAACTCTACCATCCTTCATAGTATGAATGTAAAAACCTTCTGGAATAGTTCCTGATTTAATGTATTCTACCAAAAACTTTTGTTTCATTGCTTCAGTGACTTTATTTGTCATTTCAATCAAATAAAAATTTTAATATTAAATAAAAATAACGTTATTTTTTCAGTAAGGAAACGCAGGAGTTTTACGATTTATTTGAGGAGTAGGTTCTGGTTTAAATGTTGGAGTCGGTTTAGGAGTTGACTTTTGAACAGGAGTTTGTACTTCCATAGGTTCAGGAGTCATTGAAGGTGTTGTTTGTGAAGGCGTTGGTTTTGACGAAGGTGTTGGAGTTTGTTTAACTTCAGCTACTTCAGTATTATTTACAACATTTGCTTTATTTCTTTTCAACATCATTACTGCTACTGCTGTAGCTAGCAAACCTAGTGGGAGACCATATCTTATATAAGGACTTGACCAAATGCTATTTTTGACAGGAGCTGGTGGAACACCTAACCTTGGTGAGACTGCTCTTTGCCATTGTGCAGCTCGTAAGAAATATTCAATAGGTGCTCCATAATCGTTTGGTAAAGTTTGTTTCATAGATGGTGAAGGTTCACGAGAGCTTGATGAAGAACTCATTTATAAGCTTTAAAAATAAACGTTCATCCTTTATTCTTCACTGTCGTCAGTTGCTAAGTTATAGTCGTCAAGTCTTATTATTGGTATGCCTGACTGTCTTACTTGTATTGCAAAGCAACAATCCCTCATAAATCCAATAAGTGGCTTTGGTACGTTTTCAGTTGCTAGTTCAATAGGTCCTTTAACAGACAATTTGTATGTTATTGGAGCAGTAGATGTTTGACCTTGCTGGAAGCAAAAGTCCACTTCTGTTGGAAAACCACATAAGAAATGTGTGTTGTCATAGCTATCCCATTTATGTTCCACACTACCATCATCCACCAATGACCTCATAACATCTTCATTAAATCCTATCATATCATTGTTTGTATTGCAAGCGTTCGCAACCATTTCATAAAATACAGGTCCATATGATTTTTCAGGTTCTGCAGGCATATTTCCATAAGCTCCCATGGAAAGCTGAAGATATTTAAACTTAGGGTTCTCAAAATTAACATAATAGTTGTCTTTCTTTCTAAATAGTGCCCAAATACTTTTAACATTAATAGGCGTATAAGCTGCTGTAAATGTTGCACTTGAACTATCTGTATTCTTTGAGAATGAACCATCCATAGGAATCCAATCCATAACTTTAACAGGAAAACATAAAGCCTCGTTTGTATAATGTTCTACAAGTTCTGTATAAATGTTAGGGTCTAAAGAGAATGACTTTGGATGAATGAAACATTCATTAAAATCCATCTTTGTTCGAAATAGTTGCTGGTTACAGTTGTAATAGTAACTGTTCCACTAGCTTCTACTGCCTTCGTTATCATAGTGAATGGTTCATTCCATGGAACAAATTTATTTGTCGGTGGATTTGAATCTGAAGCAAATGCAACTTTAAGAGTTGGATTGAAAGCAATGATATCATTTACAGATATAGATGTGCATTGTAAGGCGTCGCTACTGAACTTTACTTTAAGCTGAATGTTTCCTGCAAAAGCTGGAATAAATCGAATAGCTTCTAATGGAAGGAATCTTCTAACAGGAATTCTTAAACGAAGCTTAAAATCAAATGATTTTCCTGCTGTAATTGGACCACTAACAATTTGTCCTGTTCTGCATGTTCCCGAATGACTCCATACATCTTCATGTCGAGTCTTTGAGAAAACATCTACTTTCTTTATTTGTTCGGTAGTTTGTGAGTTTGAAGTTATATATGCTTCTTCTCTTGCGTTGTCTTGAGAATATACGATACGACCATTTGCAAGGATTTGATATCCAGCAACTGCATAGAAAGCGTCATCGAAACCAATCCAAAATCCTGGTGGGTTTGTTTTATTGGAACCTGAACCAATTTCTTTATCTACAATAAATTGACCTTCCATTTTATACGTAATGAATGTATTGTAAAGGTCCAACATATTTTCACCAGGAGGTGAGAGATTGAATGTTACCCATGTGTTATCTTTAGCAGTTCCAGGTTGTGATGGAATCTTTGCGTCAGAATATTTTCTATTAGTGTCACCAATTTGAACTGCATTGTCTATGATATCGAAATATGAGCGAATC